TATTCCCGAGGCCTAGAGTGATAGAATTAGACTTTCTCTTTGAAAGAGAAATGTTTGTTCCCTAAAGAATGTGTCCTCAACAGGCACAGTACAGCAAGCCTACCTGACACAAAAGGGGGTGGGGCAGGTCTTAACCATCGTCACAATAGGTCAAGGAGCATGACAGGAAATGCTGCTAATTACTCCCAGCTGCTACCAAGAGGGAAATATCAGAAAAAATGGCAATGTCGGTTTCAGAAAGACCATTCTGTTTACCTAAAAGTGGATGGGCACAGGCCTGGGGAAACAAGGATTAGGTGCAGCTTCTCTAGCAGCTGGGGAGAGGCCTCACTCTGTCTGACCCTCTCATGTCCCTTCCTCACTTCTAGATGACTAAAGAGTACAAAAGGCAGCCCTATGGCTTCCTGATTCTAGAAACATTCCCACATCTAACTCACCTGCAGGTGCAGTGACCCCACCAAGCTCACCTGGCTACGGAGCAGATGCAGGCTGCTATGCTCAGCCAGGCCTCTCGCCTTTCTAGTCTGGAGATATGGCACTATCTACAAGGCTGGAAATCCAAGCTGCCTCAGGACTTACTCATTCCACGGTGACCTCCTTTCTTTAGAAAGCTGGTTTCATCCCAGAAAATGTACCCGTGGCTGCACAGTATGTTAGCACGGTGTTAGCGGGACCGAGCTGGCCCAGACACAGGAGCTGAGCCACCATGTTACAATGCCTTGTTCGCATCCAGCCACCCCACCACAGCCAACACCAAATACCTTTGGGTCATCAGCCTCAGGTTTTTCAGTCTCTGAATCGTCATCTTCCTACAAGACAAAGAATTTAGAGGATTAAGCTTAAAGGAGTGGGCCTGAGGGTTCTCACATGCATAACTAGGGGCTGGAGCAAGGTACCCAGGCTGGGCCATCCCAAGAACCCCTCCCCTGCCCTATGACCCAGAACTAGAGAAAGAGAAGGGGAAAAGGAGATGTTCCGGGGGGTGGGGGTGGAGAAAAGAACATCAGCAGCTCAAAGTCGTGACTCCCGCAGTGCCACAGTCTAGGCAATGAAAATGCCTGAGATTAAAAATCACATACATAAAAATGGAAAAAGGTTGCAATGCGTCAGAAAAGAATAAGACCAGGCCCCACAGGATAAAACACGCATAGTGTTTCCAATGAGATATCACTTATTTAAAACCAGGAACATGAACCTTTTTTTCCTTCTCTGCCTTTCATACACACAAGGACGTCAGACTCAGACCTACCATGACATCATTCACGGTCAGAGTGCCATGACCCCCACACAACTACACCCCAGCACTTCAGCTCAGCAGTAGTCACAGCTACATGAACAGCAGGAAGGCAGGTGTCAAATGACCGGGGCAAGTGACCCAGGGAGGGGGGCTAAAGAGCAACACCCGGCTTTTCCTGGGTCCCGGCCAAGTAGGCCCTGCCTCCATCCAAGCTCTCACAGAGTTGCCACTGACCCGTTCTATCCAGTCTTGTTCCTGATCCAAGCGGCGTGCCTGACACAAAGCACCATGTGAACAAGGCATTCTCCAAAGCGTGCACTGGCCTCACACGGCTAGCCCACCCTTCCAATGAATGCTACTGGAGTTTCAAGATCAGTATCTGTATCTGTTCCAAGAACACCCCAATGCACAAGAGCCTTTAACTTAACACCCAGGAAAAAATTAAGTTTCATTTGAAATTGCTTTTCTCAATCGAGCTATGCTTTAACCCAAACATTAAGTAGCGCCCCAGATGTTAATATAGACATCACCTGCGAGACTGGAACAAACTATACTGATGGTTTTGAGATTTAACGGTCCTGTCAGTTGCCAGTGAGCCCAAAGGTTTAAATGCAATCTCCATGATTTCCTCAAAATGAAATCAATCAAGCCAAATAATCAGAGATGTAGCTCAGCCAGATACAATCACATTTTAGAATGTCTATATTGGGATTTGATGAGAGGATTTTAGTAGAATGATATAAAGCTTATATATGATGAAAATTCTAAGCAAAGCAATGTGGAACAACACTTCAGAGACACACCATACACATTTACTAAGAAAACAGTTATGGTGTTAAGCCAGTATGTGTGCACTTAAGAAAAACCAAGAAAAGAAAACAATTTGCAAAGCTTTTCTAAACTATTTTAGTCAATTCTGAATTATCAGCATTAATGGTGGGGCTAAGGACATGAAAATATCTTCCAAAAGAGCATCCAATACAAAATGCTTTTTTGTTTTACTTAGAAAGTCTTTTAACGCTAATATTTAAATATCAATGCATAAGAAAACTTCCAAACAAATAATAGAGAACATTGAGTATCTCAGTTAAAGATACTGCTGAATATCCAGATTCTATATCCAGATTTCACCTTGTATGTCTTTGTGCTAAGCACCAAGTTAAATCCTTGCTTTCTCTCCAAACTTTTAAATTCTGGCTCCTGAGGCTCAGGCAATAGTGTATCCAAAGGCTTTCTGGTTAATTAAGACCAAGTTCTCTTTTCTTTGTTGCCAGCACATACCAAACATCAGGCAAGATTTGTGCTCAAGAATCGTGGGCACTCTGATAAAAAGTTTCAAGTAAAATATCAAGAAAGAAATTAAGAAGGGTCAAACCACAAACAAAAAACTATATAATTTCCCTTCCAAAAAAAAAAAAAATTTCCCTTCCTAATCTTTTTGATAAGCTGAAAGATTTGAATAAACCAAGATTAAAAATAATACAGAGTTGATTGCAGATATTAATGATACATCAGTTAGCAAGAATGCATTGTTACAAACGGAATAAACTATCTTAACAGGGAAAACCAACATGAAACATATCTCAGTTAAATAAAATAGTCCATTATCTCTTCCCCCAAATTTCAATTCAAAAGTTAATACAAAATGGTTCAGATGAAAACAACTTTCGTTTTCAAACAGAGCACTGATATCCACCCGTTTCCTCAACTGATACCAAACAAAAAGCGGGGGAAGGGAGGCGAATGACTTTAGCTGTGGAATGGAACACTGTTGGTACAGTTCGAAGATTTCTGACAAATGAAATGGTGCTTTGAGCAACTCTGGATTTTGGAACAGATTTACTTACCGACTGTTTGCTGTTCTCATCCTCTTCTTCTTCATAACCATCTTCATCACCTCCGAGCCGAGAAAAGTCATCCTCTCCATAGGCATCAGATACTAATCCACCTTTCTCCTCTGAAACAGAGGAAAAAAGAAAAATGAACGAAGGCATACAAAAATGCAAGACAACATTTCGGTTATTTGAGTGGCCAGAACTACCCCTGAAGATCAAAGGGGTGCCTAAATCTCATCTAAGTGACTATAGATCCAGAATCTGCCTTTGGAAAGACCACAATTTAGTGGATAAAATCATTAAAAGAACATGGAAGAAAACCAAATGCTAAATTCTTTCTTTCATGCTTCCCATCCACCTAGTATGCCAACTGAAGCCTTCTGAACTACTACTGTTGCACGTTGTCTGAAAACCTCTTGATATGGGTATCTCTACCTTGTATCAGAGACACCAGAACTTGTCTTCTCATACAAGGACAAGGACTCTGTTGCCCTCATTTTTGTGTGTCCTCCCCTAGGAACAGGAGCTTTAACTGGGGCCCTCAGAGGGGCTACCAATCATATCTACTCCAGAAGCAAAATCTTCTTCTACCTTTAAACCAAAACAACCAACAACAAAAAATATAAAATGCTACAAAGTACTGGGAAGCCACCAGAGAACCTCCTGACTGGAAGACACCACACAAAACTGAGAGCAGCTAACCTCCAAATGAAGAAAGGAAGGCCCCCATATGTTAGGTAACTTGCTGCCCTCTCTATGATCCCAAAGAAATCTGTTCCCATTTCCTAACACTGTGATTCTCTACCTGAGTAGGGCAACAAAATCACTGATGGGCTTTAACAGCTCACAAAGTAAGCGAATCACTGAGGAGCATTAAAAAGCTCACAATATGCCCAGATCCTACCCCGTATCTACAAATTACTCCGTCGCCAGCGAGATCAGACATACATATTTAAAAGCTCCAAGATGCGTCTAGGGTACATTCCTAATGCGAAGTTATAAATTTAACAAGACACAACCTTTATCACCCTCCACGTACGTTCTACTCATCGCTGTCCCCATTATACAATGAACCCGGAGGTCCATCCCTATGCTCCACGGTGCCCGGCACGGAAACTTTCAATAGTTTCGGCAGAATAATTGAATCAACGAAAGGCGATGGCCCATTCTTATTCCAGAGCGTCTATTCTGTTCCAACCAGGGCCTCGATCGCGCTTCGCGGCTCCCGGACCCGACACTTGGGGCACAATGACCATCTTTCCCTCCCGCCCTGCTAGGGGAGCAGCATTCCGCGCAGACACCAGATTCTCCCCTTCCAGTTCCCTCCTCGGGCCTCACCAGGCGCGCCGCCCGCCGTTTCGACCCCAGCCTCGCCGTCGGACTCGGGCTCTGAATCTTCCGCGTAAACTGCCAGAGACGACAGAACATTCTTCTTCCCCGCCATCTTCCTCCCACAACCCCAGAGTGCCTCACTCCTATGCGTCAAAAAAGCCGACTTCCGTGAGGAAAGGCGACTTTTTCCTATCCCAGGAGAACCCGCGCCGGTTCCTGTGCAGAAACCAATCAAAACGGCCGTTTCTGCGCCTGGCCCCACCCCTCGCAACCGATCTGCCTAAACGTCATCACTGCGCGACAGATACAAGGTTGAGTGGGTTTTACCTGACGCTGACTCCCAGCCATTTGGCTCCTCAGAATTTAGGGTGGCTTATGGGGGTTTTCGAGTAGTTCCCGGTCGGCGGGCAGCAGCGACCCGGCAAGAGTCCTTCGCTCCTGGGTGGCCCACGCCCAGCTCTGATATCTTGGGGTGAAGAGAGGGAGGCTTGGGCTGGGGAAGGGAGAAAAGAGCGGATCTGGGGCTTAGAGGAAGAAGACGGATGAACTCTCTTCTGGGAGGTGGGAAGAAGGGATCGGGGCTCTGGGGCGGGAAAGAATGGCCGTGATAGCAGCGCTTATAAAAGGAGCAGGAGGTGATCTTAGAAAAACAATTACATCTTCTCCAGATTATTCCAAAGACACAGTTTGTGTTTCTTGTGATCTGATTTCTAGCTCTGGGCTGTATCATGGCATGGGATAGTTCAATGTTTCTATTTTCCTGAGCATAAAAGTGGAGATGTTAATTGCCCAGGAACGTGTTGCTTGAGGCTGTTCATCTGGAGCTATGTTAGTTGGAAATAATCTATTGCTTGAGAGTAATAAAGCAAATTTTCTTAGAGAAAAATAAGCAGTATTTTAAAAGCGGAACAGAGTTTTCATCGTAATCATGCGATCATCACCTTTACCTTAACTTCTGGCCACTCTCTGTCGCTAAGATGAGCACCCGCCCTTCTTTTGACCCTGAACGTCGAGTCCGGAGCACATTGAAGAAGGTCTTTGGGTTTGACTCTTTTAAGACACCTTTACAGGAGAGTGCGACCATGGCCGTAGTGAAAGGTAACATTGCCAAACCACCTGTGTTTACATTTGTGCTGCCTATACTGTAGCGTTGCCAGAAGGTGCCAATGCCCTCCTTTTGACCCTTCCTACTTCCCCACCCTTGGTCCATAATTGTTGGAAATCTTGTAGACTTGTCACTTAAAACTTGCAGTTTTATTGGCAGAATCATCCACCTGTTCTGGTTCTTACATTTCATAGCCAGTGCTGCAGATTGTCTTTGAAAACAACTCAGAGATTTCAATTCATGTTCGTTTGTGTGTAGGCAGTAGCTCGAGTGGCAGGAATAGCCTAATCCAGTCACTGACCTTCTAAGCCGTTTGTTGAAGATTGAGTGACCTGGGTCCTAAATAGGGAAGAAAAGAGTCATAGTATTATAAACCTGAGATATATTGGCAAATGGAGCTTCTCAAGAGGAAAGCAACAATGTAATATTAATTACATTATAACAACTTACAAACCAAAGATCTCTAAGTGATGTTGCTTCCATGTCTCCACAGCTATATACACTCATCTAGAAGTATTCAACGTTTATGGCTGTTTAATTCAATCATCCATATCCCAACAGACTCAGACTTCTCACCCTTGTGGTTGTTATTGCCATTACTGGAAATGGTTTGTGCCCATTTCCAAGTCTCTCTGGATCTCTGCCCTTTACACGGGAAGGATGGGAAGGAAATTAGCATTATATTGAGACCTTTCCCGGTGCCAGACACTCTGCTAGGTGCTTTTCCTATACTCTCATTCAGTTTTCAACAGCCTTGAGGAAGAAAAAGATAAGAGGCGGGAAGCATTTATTTATTTATTTATCTATTTTCTTTTAAAGATTTATTTATTTATTTGAGAGCGAGAGAGAGCGAGCTCGTGTACGAGTGTGGGGAGGGGCAGAGGGAAAAGGAGAATCTCAGGCAGACTCCTCACTGAGCACAGAGCTTGAAGTGAGGCTGGGCTCGAACTCACGACCCTGAGATCATGACCTGAGCTGAAATCAAGAGTCAGACACTTAACCGCTTGAGCCACCCAGGTGCCCCTAGGCAGGAACCATTAAGTGTTGTTGTCTTTTCTTTTTGCAGGTGACAAGGATGTCTTTGTGTGCATGCCCACAGGGGCAGGAAAATCCCTTTGCTATCAGCTCCCTGCTCTGTTGGCCAAAGGCATCACCATCGTAATCTCTCCACTCATTGCTTTGATTCAGGTGAGGCTTAGGGGAGTGAAGATGGTAGCCCAAAAAGTTTAGGGGAAAGTTTTCTTGTTTTGTTTTGTTTTCTGCTGGAAATGTCACTTCTCATTTGTTTGGTCTTTTGCCTTTTCTTCGATTTGCCTATCTCCCTTTCTGTATTGGGTTTCTGAATTGCCCAAATGTGGGGGCTCTACTGGTGGATATCAGGGTGATACGGTTATGAATGAGTCTCTGTGTCTTGATGGCCTGAGGTCTCTCACCCTCCTTTGTTACTTTTCACCCAGAGGAGTATGGAAATGTATCTGTATACACATAGACAATTACTCGTGGACACGGACACACGTGTGTACTCTTGACAGGTTAAAAGATGCAAACGGATAGAAAGCAAAATTGATATAAACGGGTTGGGACGTTGTCAACATCTGCTCTGCACCTCTGGCTATATTTAAGGCCTGCAGATGGGCTGACAGAATCAGAAATGAGGAAGTGTGGCCGTGCGGTTAAGAGCCATCCACCATGAAGAGAAATGGAATGACAGGAACAGTGCTTTGTGAGTTTCATGAGGTCTCAGGCTTTGTGCTCAGTGCTTTATGTGCATTCACTTCACCTTTGCAGTGTAAAATTTCATTTAATGCTAACAACTATCCTGTTAGGTAGTTACTGGTTTTACAGGATAGAGAGAGAGAGGGAGAACGAACAGAGTCTTAGAGGCTAAGAGCCAGCCAAAGAGCCTGTGGTGATTCAGTGAGCCAGAAATGAGCCAGGACCATCTGCCTCCAGAGCCTGTGCTCTCAGGCAGTTCGCCTCCTGTCCTTGTTGTATGCACAGAGAAGAACTTGGAGGTTGGGAGGAGGACGTTTATGGCTGGGAAATGCCCAGTGAGCAAAGGTGACATTGACTACTGGGTCCTCCCCTTGGTGGCCTGTTTCCTTTCTTTCCTCAGGACCAGGTGGACCACTTGCTGACCCTGAAGGTACGAGTGAGTTCCCTGAACTCCAAGCTCTCGGTACAGGAGAAAAAGGAGCTGCTCTCTGATCTAGAACAAGAAAAGCCACAGACCAAACTTCTGTACATCACGCCGGAGATGGCGGCTTCAGCCTCCTTCCAGCCCACCCTGAACTCACTGGTGTCCCGCCGCTTGCTCTCCTACCTGGTGGTGGACGAAGCTCATTGTGTTTCTCAGTGGGGGCACGACTTCCGTCCTGACTACTTGCGTCTGGGCACCCTCCGTTCACGCCTGGCACATGCCCCGTGCGTGGCTCTGACTGCCACAGCCACCCCACAAGTCCAAGAGGATGTGTTTGCTGCCCTGCACCTGAAGCAGCCGGTTGCCACCTTCAAGACTCCCTGCTTTCGGGCCAACCTCTTCTATGATGTGCAGTTCAAAGAACTGCTTTCAGATCCCTATGGGAACCTGAGGGATTTCTGCCTTAAGGCTCTTGGACAGAAGGCTGATAAAGGGGTGAGGGCCCTAAGGCTGGGAGGCCAAGGTGCTCAAGAGCAGTGGGTGGTATCTGCAGCATAGAGATGGAAATTGGTTTTTTAGGACCTTTGCTTAGAACTAGCTGAAGCTTCTTCTTTTTTTTTTTAATTTTTATTTATTTATTTATTTATTTGACAGAGAGAGAGATAGCGAGAGCAGGAACACAAGCAGGGGGAGTGGGAGAGGGAGAAGCAGGCTTCCTGCCGAGCAAGGAGCCCAATGTGGGACTCGATCCCAGAACCCTGGGATCATGACCTGAGCCGAAGGCAGATGCTTAACGACTGAGCCACCCAGGCGCCCACTAGCTGAAGCTTCTTAAAACTTGTGCACAGAGAGTTGTTCCTTTGGTTTCCTGGCATTATTCCCCTTAGTGGAGTTCCCTTGTCCTGGAATTCTTCTCTGGGAGATGAACAGCCAACCCCTGAGTGAGGCCTTTGCAGACCTATCCAAGGTTTCAGCACAGGAAGCAGAGGAGTTAGATGAGTTATTTTGTTGCAGTGTCAGAGCTCTGCTGGTGGCCTGCCTCAGAGGAACCTGTGAGGCTGACAGGAGAAAGCGAGAGCTTCTTTTAAAGGAGGCCACAGTAAAATGGGCAGATTGTTCTATTTATTTATTTATTTACTTACTTACTTACTTACTTGACAGAGAGAGACACAGCGAGAGAGGGAACACAAGCAGGGGGAGTTGGAGAGGGAGAAGCAGGGAGCCCGATGTGGGGCTCGATCCCAGGACCCTGGGATCATGACCTGAGCCGAAGGCAGACGCTTAACAACTGAGCCACCCAGGCGCCCCAGATTGTTCTGTTCTTAATGCGCACTCTCTTCCCATGTCTCCTCGTTCAGTTGGTATCTGGCTGCGGCATTGTCTACTGCAGGACCCGAGAGGCTTGTGAACAGCTGGCGACAGAGCTCAGTTACAGGGGTGTGAGTGCCAAGGCTTACCATGCAGGTAAGGGGCGCCTGGGCCATGTGGTCACTTCTATCTCCGAAGCCTCTCGGTGGGTCTCTTGTTCTTTAAGGATTCTGGATAATCAGATGGTCTGTCGTCTTTTTCTGGATACCCAGGCAGAGCTAAAGCAATTCCCTTACATCCGTAAAAAGGAGTCTGAACACAAATGAGATCTAAAATGAGAACTATGGCTCCTGAATTCTTTTTTCTCACCCTGTGCCCTCAAAGCAGCAGATGATGAGTTTTTAGAAGCCCAGGTATTGGTGTTGTGGAAAGAGCACAGGTTTTGGAGGCCAGTGGACTTGGGTTGTTTGAATCTGGGCTTTAATGCTTATTGAGTGCTATGTGCTCCACACGGGCTAGGGTCTTTTTGAGGTCAAGTGCATGGCCCAAGGCCACACAGGTGGTAAGTGATGGATTCAGGGTGTGTGTATAGCACCCAACACAGTATCAAACCCAAGGTAGATTCCAAGGGAAATATGGGTTCCTTTTGCCACCTTCCCCTCTGTCATAGGGCTGAAGGCTTCCGAAAGAACGCTGGTGCAGAATGAGTGGATGGAGGAGAAGGTCCCGGTCATTGTTGCAACCATTAGTTTCGGGATGGGAGTGGACAAAGCCAATGTCAGGTGAGTGATGGTTCTTGCCTTACCTTCCCAGTCGGGGCCTGGCTCAAGTGGGCTGCCTAGTTCTCTGCCTCAAGGACCTCCTTCTAGGGCCAGAGGGGAAGGAGGCCCCAAGAGAGAATCCCCAGTGCATAGTCCACATGGTGACAAGTGCTACACAGCCCACTCTCCTGGTGACTGCACAGCCGGGTTCTGCCATCCCCCAGTAGAGGGCAGCACGCAGCCATCAGGCCCATCCATTAACGCAGCCCAGATCCCTCACATCTAGCACAGGGTCCCTGTGAGGGGGTGGAATAACTATCTTAAACTGCCCCCTGTGGGAAATCAAAGGCAATGTCTTATTCCCAGCATTCCTTGTTACTGCTTACTGACAGTCCAGAAGAGAGAGTGCATCCCAGCCTCCTAGACCCACCCTGGCAACTGTTGGGAAGTCTTTTATCTCTAGCCCCACCTAACCTTCCAGAACCATTTTCAGCTACAGCCTGAAGCCCTTTGCTCTGATTAACACCAATAATAATGCCTTGTATGATTTGCAGAGCACTTTTGCATACATGATCTCATTAAGACTCACAGGGAAGCTCAGTTGGTCAGGGGAGGAATGAGTCTATGTGCTTACATTACGAAAACACAGGTTTTGGAATCAGAGTTTGGACCCTGGGTTGGCTGTGGCTTGTAAGGGCCCAGATTTGAAATCAGACGCAGCTAGGCCCAAGTCCTAGCTCTACTGTCCCCTTGCTATGCCACCTTGTACACATTTTCCTGATCATTTCATTGTCTATAAAATGGAGTTATCTCACCTGATAGTAACTACAATTAAACGAGACAAATAGATAAACTGGCCCATAGTAGGTATTTAATAATGTTATGCCTCCCTCTCTCTTCAAAGAGGTTAAAGGGATTTACTCGAGGTTGTGCTGCTCATTAGAGGCCTTACCTTATTTCTTTAAGCCCAGTCCTTTTTCTTCTGGGCGGGGACTGTTGAGTGTTTTTGGTTTCTCATATGTGCTGGAATTGCCCCCCTTAACTCTGCTGCGGCCTCTAACTTGGGCCACTCCATGGCAGGGATGGGATGTGGGGGTCTTGGCCACATTTACTCTGAAACTTGCTAGCCTCCCTGCTCCTGGTCACTGTCGAGAGCCCTGCTTCCCTGACACTGATCACTCCTCCCCTCAGCTCCTCTGCCACAGCTCACGCTGCTTGTCCCTTTGGATCCTACAGGTTTGTTGCCCACTGGAATATTGCCAAGTCTATGGCTGGGTACTACCAAGAGTCTGGCCGGGCAGGCAGGGACGGGAAACCTTCCTGGTGCCGTCTCTATTACTCCAGGAATGACCGGGACCAAGTCAGTTTCCTGATCAGGAAGGAAGTAGCAAAACTCCAGGTAAATCCTGGGCAGCAGGAGCCCTTTCCGTCCAAACCCCTCGCTCTCCAGTTTCATGCAGCTTATTTCTGAACCCAGGTGGAGCTTCTGTAAGCTACAGGGTTGCTCCTGGGGCTAGAAGGTATAGCGGCAGGGGGAATGGTGTACTGGTGAATAGGCATCTTGCAACAGCTAGGTTAGACTCTTTCCTTTGTATTTAGTGTATCTTAGTGCGATCTCTTGTGTGCCTGTTATTTTACATAGCCAAGATCAATCCTGCCTTGTGGTTTTTTTGGTTTTGTTTTGTTTGGGGGGGCAGGGGCAGAGGGAAAAGGAAAGAGGATCTTAAGCAGGCTCCACAACCCTGAGATCATAACCTGAGCCAAAATCAGGAGTCACACACTAAACCAAGTGAGTCACCCAGGCGTCCTAATCCTGCCTTGTTTTAATTAGCATTGTTACATAAGCATTTTCCCATAGTGTTGAAAGTTCTTTGTTTATGTTCTCAGCCTTTTTTTTTTTTTTTACTGGTTGTACATGCTTTACAGAGAGCCTAGAAATAGACCCAAGTACGTAAATGAACTTGATGTATGATAGGTGACATAAAATATCAACAGGAAAAGGATGCACTGTTGAATAGTGCTGGAAAAAGATAAAATCAGGTACTTACCTCCTGTACCATACACATGTGAATTACAGGTGGAGTAAAAACGTCAAAAAAAAAAAAAGTAAAATTGGGGGAAAATATTTTATTTCCTCGACAAAGGGAAGAGCATGTCAAGATTTTAAAAGTGGAAGTCATCAAGGAAGACATGATCTATTTGACTAAATTCAAACTAAAAATTTCTGTGTAACGAAAGATACCATGAACAAGGTGAAAAAATGAGCCATTGTTGGGGAGGGTATTTGCAATATATATGATTGAGTACGTAGAGAACTCCTACAGATGAATCTATAAAAGGCAAACAGCTGCAGAGCAAAAAGTATGAATTTCACAGAAGAGGGAACCAGAATATCTAATAAAGGTATGAAGAGTTGCTCAGCCTCCCTTGGGAATCAGAGAAATGCAAAGGAGATCGTGAGCTGTCACTTGATACACGTCATACTGGCAAAAATGTACAACATCTTTATAATTACTGTTGGCAAGGATGTGGGGAAAGGGGAACCCATGGTGTTGTAAGGAACATGAACTGGTATGACTGCTTTGAAGAGAGACGAGGTGATACATGCAATGGGAGGGTACTGGTGTTCTGTGATTCAGTAATTCCACCTCAGGATAAACAAACTGTCATGTGCACAAGGATGTATGGGGGTGTTTGCTGCAGCTCTGTCATAATGAACTCTTCCTCTGTAAGGTATTGGGTAAGTAAACAGTGGGTTAGTCACACCGGAATGGTCTAAAGCAGTTAAAAATGACACAGGAATTCTATATTAACCAAGAAGGATCAAGTCCCCCAAAGCATCATTTATGAAGTTGCAAATGGATACATGGAGACTTCTCCTTATAAGAAATATTGAATGCCAAAAAAAGAAATACTGTATGCAAGTATTATGTCTGATCTTTGCCAAAATGACATTAAAAGGACAAAAAATACATAAACCCACAGGGACAGAAAGAATAGAAAACAAGGTAGAAATGTCAACAAATGTCTGCCTAGAAAACCCCAGACTCTACTGGAAATCTATTAGAATTCGTAAGAAAACCTGGCAAGATGGCTAAATATAAGGGAAATATTTTAAAAAGCCTAGCTTTTCTCCACACAACCATGAATGCCTAGGAATGGAAATGAAAAAAGTACTTAGTTTGCAAGAATAAAACTTACAGAATACCTAGATGTAAATGTTACTGACTTTAACAAGAGACTTAAAAAAAACAAGCAAACAAACAAAAACCCTCCCCAGTTGGTTTTAACATGCAGCCAGGGATGAGAACTACTGATTTAGATGAAGAAAACTAATATCTTGTGGAAAGAAAACAAGCTCTGAGTAGTTACAAAAACTGAGTGGGAAGACATAAAACTGTCAATTCTCCTCAGAGTTAATATAAATGAAGTTCCAGTTGAAATCCCAAAAGATCTCTACTGGGAAGTGGAATCGTAGAACTTATGTGAAAGAATAAGTGCCCGAGAACAGCCAGGAAAAGTCTTAAGGGGAAGAATGGTGAAGGGCTCGAGCTTAACCCAGTGTCAGAATGTGCTGTGGTGTTGCTGTAACCAAATCCACGTAATACAGCAACAAGGAGTGGCCCAGACAAGGAAATTAGAAATAAGGCCCAGAGCACATGAGAGTTTACTATGTGATGAAGCAGACAGCTCAATTTAATGGAAAATGAAGGGACGGTCTAGTAGGTGGTGCTGGCATCCCTCTGGAATAAAATGAAAGTGCCCCGTTTGGCACCTTATATAAAAGATTTAAGGACCTACAAGTGAAAAGCAATATCTTACAAGACGCTTTATTCCAGTGTATAACCTAGGGCTTGAAATAGTTTTGTAATGAAAATTAGAAATTCAGAAAGCCATCTTTTAAAAAAAGTATTTGAAATAACGTTTTTTTTTTTTAAGATTTTATTTATTTGTTTATTTGACAGAGAGCGAGACAGCGAGAGAGGGAACACGAGCAGGGCTAGTGGGAGAGGGAGAAACAGGCTTCCTACTGAGCAGAAAGCCCGATGTGGGGCTCGATCCCAGGACCCTGGGATCACGACCTGAGCCGCAGACACTTAACGACTGAGCCACCCAGGCGCCCCTGAATTAACGTTCTTGAACCTTTTTTGGGGGGATGGGAGGGCAGCAAAGCAAGGTTTATTGAGCGATTAACAAAGTGATAGTACAAAGCTCCCAGGGAGGGAGGGGACCCGAGAGGGTTGCCCCTGGAATTTCCTAAGTCTTGGGATTTTTTATGGGCTTGTTGGTGGGCTGTTTTAATCTGATTAACCCTCCCTGCGCCTGTCACCCAATCAGGTGTTTGTCATCTATCATATGGGAAAGGATGGAGGGTTCCTTCCAGGGTGGTGTAAAATCCTTTTAAGGGTGGTTTCCTCTTAGGGCAGGGACTCCAAGTGATTGAACTTCTAAAATCCTGAACCCATGAAAAAAAATGTAGGCAGCAAAAGATACCGTAAACAAAGCCGGTACATAAGCCGCAAATCTGAAAAACTGGTTACCGTAGAAGGCAAACCAGAGGTTGAAGTTGAGGGTAAATGGAGAGATTTCACCATTTTTGGTGAAAGCAGTGTGTGAAAGCAAGTTCCCAGAAAAGCTCATCCAAACGGCACGTCCAAAGATGTTCAAATTCAATAGTAATCAGGTGAATGAAAATTATAGTAAAATGACACATGTGCAAAAGGGCTCTAACACTCGTGGCTAGTGAGCACGTGCAGGAGAGGGCCTGCACTTTGCCTGGAGAAGAAGAAAGCTTTTGGGGGGAAGCATTCTAGAAATATCTATTACACTTCATTTTTTTAAAAGATTTTATTTACTTGAGAGAGTGAGCATGAGCTGGGGGAGGGGCAGAGGGAGAGGGACAAGGAGACTCTGTGCTGAGCGCGGAGCCCGATGTGGGGCTCGGTCCCAGGACCCTGAGATCATGACCTGAGCTGAAATCAAGAGTCAGATGCTCAACTGACAGCCACCCAGGCAGCCCCCCTATTACACTTTAATACACCCTTTGCCCCAGATACCGTATTTCTGGGACCAAATCACCTGAAATAAAAGCTCATGTGCTGGAGGGCCTGCATGGTAGAATTGGTCATGAGGAACTGACACTGGGGAACAAACTGAATACCCAGCCACGAGCAGTGATGAAATTACAGTACGTGCTCACCATGGGCCTCACAAGCATAGCTGAGCGCCCAGGAGGGCTCTTCTGCTTTTGGAAAAAGAAATCATGTACTGTGTGATGTTAGAGATTTGCTCATTCTCTGTCTGCTCTGTTGAAGTATAAGTTCCATGAGAGCAGGGCCCTCTTGTTTCCTGCGGATCTGTAATGGCCAGACTAGTGCTGGGAACATAGTAAGTGCTTAACGTTTTTTGACTAGATGAATGAATGAATGAACGGGGAGGGGAGTACAAGTTGGGATGGGGAAAGAAGGGGCCTTGCGTGGACCTGGTACTTTGCCAGGAATGAAGGGGGCGTGATTAACTGGTCCCTTTTATCTGAAATTCAAATTAGATGAGATTTTGGTAAGGTGATTAGGTATAAGATATTTATTTAAAACTTACACAGTGGGGTTTTTTTTTAAAGATTTTATTTCTTTATTTGACAGAGAGAGACACAGCGAGAGCAGGAACACAAGCAGGGGGAGAGGGAGAAGCAGGTTTCCCGCTGAGCAGGGAGCCCAATGTGGGGCTCAATCCCAGGACCCCGGGATCATGACTTGAGCCGAAGGCAGACGCTTAACGACTGAGCCACCCAGGCACCCCTACACAGTGAGTTATAAGAGCTCACACTAGGCTTATCAATAAGACATGTAAGACAAAGAGAAGATCCAGAAAGCCTCCAGAGAGGTGATATGTGGAGGGCTGGGAGCCAGAACAGCACCAATTTTCTCCATCATAATATCAGAAATGAGAAACGATGAGGCAATGCCTTCTAATTCTAGATAAACCATTTCCAACCTAGAATTTCCTACCCAGCCAGCCAGTTAAGTGTGAAGACAGGTTAAAGACATTTATAGCTTCCGGTTTGCTAAGCAGACATCGGACTTTGGAAGTGCTGTTCTTTACAGGCTCTGGGAGTAGAAGGGTGTTGATAGCGGCACGGAGGGGGTTAACCGAAGTGCTCATATTCTCCCGCTGGGCAGGGATTTAACCGCTACCATGTCCAACAAAAGGGGCAAAGACCAGGACCACCAAGAAGCACCCCCAGTGCTCAACATCCAACGTTTTCGCCATGTTTGACCAGTCACAGATTCAGAAATTTGAAGAGGCCTTCAACGTGATTGATCAGAGCAGGGAGGGTTTCACTGACAAGGAAGATTTGTATGCTATGCTTGCCTCCCTGGGGAAAAATCCAACTGTTGAGCATCTGGATGCCATAATAAATGAGGCTGTGGGGCCCATAAATTTCACCATGTTTCTCACTGTGTTTGGTGAAAAGCTAAATGGCACAGATCCGGAAGATGTCCTCAAAAATGCTTTTGCTTGCTTTGATGAGGAAGCAGCTGGCACCATCTGGGGCGATTACCTGAGAGAGCTGCAGACATCGGTGGGAGGCCAGGTTACAGGTGGGTGAGCTGTACAGAGAAGTGTCTGGACAAAAAGGGAAATCTCAATTCATGTGCTTCCTTAAACATGGAGCAAAGGACAAAGATGACTGAAAAGAAATGCAGATTCCAGCCAAACATTCCTTGTTGCCACTTGGGGTCTTTCTGAGACTTTCTCTTAGACCCTGTTGCATGCTCTTAGTTTTGCAGCTTTTGCCTGTCTTGTACTGATTCTCAGCCATTTGGGGCACATGCATTCCTATAATCAGATGGGAGGGGGGGACTTTTTACGATTTTCAGAATAGAAAAATGGGCAGTTTAACTTACCAGCCCCCTCCCCAAAATAACTGCAGTCTACACAGAGTCAGTATGTATTTTCAGAGAAAGATAGAGATCTGACCCGAGCCAGGCAAAAGGAATGTCCTGGGGTGCCATGGAAGGGTGGTCTCGGCTGGGCGCCAGGCTGAGGGAGGGGCAGTTCAAGTTGAACCGGGGGGATAGGAGCTCCAGGGGGGAGGTTTCTAAAAATAAAAGTGGAACCTGCCATCTTTGGCCCCTGTTGACATGAATTTTTTATTATATCACAGCATTTGGGGGTGAGGTAGTAATACACTAAAATTTAAGTGAAAAAACAGCTGTTAATTTTGGGAGAACAAAGTTGTACAAGAAAGGATATGTGATCATGAGAAATATAAAAATGTAGTCACATGGTTTAGCTCTGAATGATGTTGCTATTGTTTCCTCACCATAAGGAAAATTATGATTTCAGAAGAAACTGTGATATAAACAGATTAGCAGAATGAAGGGAGAGGTAGTAGGTGTATTTATGTGTGTTTAGGTGGTGGGGATGATTCATTCACCTTCCAGAAGCAGAAAACCAATAGATGAGATCTCATATACCAGTGTCTGTTATATTTTCATTCCTTTTCTGTGTATTTTTCTGTATTTTCAAAAATTTCAATTTTTTGAAAGGAAACTTTGACAAATAGACATGTACAAAAAGGCAAATAATGCATAATCCCAGCACTCAGAAGAAATCACTGCTCACATTGTAGTATATATCCTTGTGTACACACAGAGGTATGTGTGTCCCTTCAAATCTAAATACACCTGTGTGTATATTTACTATTAAATTGGACACATGATATTGAGACACCTGGTTGGCTTATTTGGTGGAGCACGTGACTCTTGATCTCAGGGTTGTACGTTCGAGCCCCACGTTGGGTGTAGAGATTACTTAAAAATAAAATCTTAAAGGAAAATATGGATCATATTATATATGGTTCCCAAATGCCAATCCCTGGGCCCTTTGTATGAGAATCACCTGAGCAGCTTTTTGAAAATAAACTCCCCAAAGCTCCCGTTCCAGAAAGTTCAATTCAGTAGTATGGGTGTGGGCTCCAGGTCACTTTTTGAAAGTTATCCAGGTGGGGGATGCCTGGCTGGCTCAGTCAGTGGAGCACGTGACTCTTGAGCTCAGGACTGTGAGTTCAAGCCCCTTGTTCGTTGTGGATGTTGCTTGAAAATAAAATCTTTAAAAATAAAAAATAAATAAAAAATAAAGTTATCCGGGTGATTCTGATGCATGGTTTGGTTTGGGGACACCATTTTGTAAATGGCTTTCTTACTGTCATTTGATATTTTTCTCCCTCATGATTGTTTAGGCTGCAAGGTAGTTCAGCTATGTAAGACTTTTGCTAAGTGGTCTTTTCTTGTCTCCAGGAAAAGAGAGGGAACAAAGCATCTGATAAAGCTGCTGTCTTGGCCTTTGATGCCCTGGTGACCTTCTGTGAAGAACTGGGGTGAGTGACTTATTTAATATGTAGAGCAATGGGTTAGTGAGATCTCCCTCCCGCCCCCGGAGCGCCTACTAGTTAACCAGCTAACGTAGGGCAGCTGTTGGGTGACCAAGGCATGCTGCCTGCTGAAGGCTGCTGTGTGGGGCATTTCCTATCGGGCAGTCTGGAAGTCCGTATCCTTGACAGGAAGGCCCCAGAAACTAGCAGTGTGAAGACTCATTCAGTATTTTGGGTGGTCATCCGTTCACCCCACTCCATCCACTTCTGGAGTAGATGGTCCCATGAGTGACCCTGTCATGAATCATGTGATTGGTTCTGAGCCATGAGCATTGTGGTCATCACTTGGCATTGAGCTGGACCACTGGCTTCACTTGAGTAGGATTCACTTTTATCCTGGACCCAGAAAGAGCCATGTGACCTGCCGTATCTCTTGGGGGTGGATAATAAGCTTGGAGAGAAGTCACCTTTTCTATCGTAACACCAGCCCGCCTGCTTGGAATCCACTTCTCTGTTTTATCTGTATGTGCTGGTGGCAGAGGCTTGAGAGAGCCTGATGGCTGGTCAGTGACAGGCAGGTTGTGGCAGGACAGGTTCGGGACACGAGGGACAGCTGGGGTGATTGTGGATGAGCTGGGAGCACTTTGCATGCGTGCAGCCCTTTGATCTGAAAAACTCATATTGGTCTACCTTTGAGGTAGATGAGGCAGAAGTGATTGCTTCAGACCTAGAGATGAACAGACCAATGCCCAGAGAGGTCATGGTCACAAAGCTCACAGTAGACAGACACCACTAATCCTGGGTCTCCCAATTTTTAGTGACATGCGCATTTCATATATATGCCCCATCTTGGTTTTTGCAAGACTAGATTTTTGAAGCCTGGAGCTGAGCAAGTATATAGACCTGGTATCTAGCAGATGTTTGGGGCTCTCCTCTGGAAACTAGAGAGGTACTTATTTGGGCTATGTATTTTGATTCCCACCCCCTCCTACTCACTGATGATTTGGTGGCTCCTCTGAGTCTCTCCTTTGGCCTCTGTGGCACAGCCATGCCCAGCAGAGGTGGTTGGCACCCTTGCCCACAGCCATCTCGACCAGAGCCCTTTTCAGGCACTAGTACAGGGAGTTGTTAAATTAGGCCCTCTCGGGCTCCTTGAGCAAAATGCTCATAATGAAAGGGCCGGGTGTCCTTGCTCGTTGTCAGAGTCCCTTCTGCTGGAAATACCCCTGCTGGGTTCTTTTCTGGGATGAGTCTGAGGCTCTGTGGGACTGTCTGAAGGGTTAGCTCTGCCATGTGCCTCTGGGCTGCAGCCGCCCAGCAACTGGCCAGGTTTTGCTAGGGGCCCCTGCCTTTATTTCTCCTGTGTCCTACTGGGGAGCTGGGGCCTCTCAGTGCGCCCGGGGGTCTCCGCGTTAGTGGGCCTCCCGCTGCGCCACACGCAGCCTCATCTCTCCTACGTCGTGTGCTGCGTACGAGGGCTCCTGATTCCAGGACTGCCTGGCATGAAATAAGCACTGCTGTCGTGGCTGAGTGTGCAATTGCTCTTTGAGTGAAAAAGAAATGTCTCTTTATTTGGATAAGTGGTGTATCGCCCATTCCCCACCAGATATTTGCTCTTTTTCTAAGAATAGTCCTGGTTTGTGGTTTAAGTGAAAGCAGCTGTTTGCTAAGGGAGGGCACCTGGCTGCCAAGGCCAGGCCGGTGTGGCGGCTTTGGCAGAGGCAGTTACACGTCTACAAAGATGGTGTCGTAGGGTGGTCTGCGGTGCGTGGGGGCTGTGGGACCCTGTGAGGGAGACCTGGGCATCTCTGGGACCAGTGGCAGAGACACTCAGGTCAGTATGAATGAGGTTGGGGCGGGGCATCCAGCAGTGCTCCGCTCTCCTCCATGTCCAGCTGTGGCCGTGACAAGCATTTGTTCACTCCGGACGGTGCTCTTCGTCTCTTAGTGTCAAAAGGAACCGTCATTAGGTTGAAGCAACTTCCAGCTTAGAGACCTCTGTACCTTGTTTGAGATAGAACAACTTTGTGTTTGGGCCTCAACTGAACTGGGCGCTGTCATCTGGGGACTGTGGTCTGGGGGGGCCGGCAGCCCAGCATCTTTCTGTCTACCCATTTGTTTGATCATTTATTCATTCATTCATTCATTTATTCAACCAACAAATATTGTTTGAAACGGACTCCGCGCCAGGTACATTGGGTATGGGGATACAGTGGTGAGCAGAAAGAGACCCATCCCCTGCTTTTGTGGTTTTCTGTTCAGTGGGGAAGACAGGCACTTATTAGACAATCACATTAGTTAATTAATTAATTACGTTAACATGTATGTATAATTGCAGACTCTTAAAAGGGCTTTGAAGAAAAGGTACATGGTGTTTTGAGAGTTAACAGGTGGGCCCCTTCTTGGCCCCCAGAAAGTCAGGTCACGACTCTTCATACCGGTTGACCTTCTTAAGTGGAGGGAGTAAACCAAATATAATGGCGAACACAATGAGAAACAGGATCATGGTGATGAATAAGCTGATCACTGCCAGGCCTCCCTGGTCCCATGGATTCTGCCAGAACTCATCATTCCACATGAGCTTCTGGTTTGTCAGTTTGTCCGTGTGAACCTGGAAAAGAGGGGACAGAGGCCTTGAGTGCCAGGGCCTCTCCAAGGCCCTGTCCCAGGAGCTGCTGTCCACCCCCACTTCATCCTCTGGAGCGGCCTCAGACCAGCTGTCCCACCTCTGCAGGGATGCTGGGCTCGACGCCCTGGTGTGAGCAAGCACTTTCCCATCCCTGAGATCTACTCAGCTAGAATCTAAAACGCACCGCTACAGATCCTTGCTGTTTTCCCTGCCTCAACTGCCAAACATTTGGGAAGCATTTTGAGAGATCAGCATCAGAGTCAAGGAGCGGACTGAGTCCAGCCGAGGCCTCAGTAGCTCCCCGGGAGGCAGCTGGAAACAGAAGAACTAGCTAATCGTGAAGCAGCTCAGGTGGGCAGGCTGCGGGCCGGGAGCCAGTTGAGGGGAGTAGCGGCAGGAAGGAAGGAGTCACTACCTGATTCTGCTGTTAACACTCCCGTGTCCTAAGAGCGGGCCGGTCAGGGTAATCCCGCAGACCCCACGCTTTGGGGGCCCCAGCCGCACCCTGACTGTTGGGAGGAAAGGTGTTGTCATGGCCAAGTAGCCCTGACCAGACCTCATTGCTGTCACGGGAGCGAACAAAGGGGGCTAGGGCCTGTTGCCTAGCAACTGCCTTCCCCTTCTGCCTTTCATACTTACCCCTTCAGCTGCGTTCTGTTCTTTTTGTGATGTCGTTTTGGGGGCTGCTCAGGGTAGTATGTTCAGGCGTCCTCACCGAGAGAAGTCAGGCTTGGGGTAGGGTGGGGAGGGAGACTGGATCCAGGACCCTTGCGTCAGGCCACCTGTCTGCCTTACCTGTGGCTGGGTCCTGCCTCTCCTCTGTCTAGCTGCCAGCCTGTGGACTGGGAGGTCCGGGCCAGAGCACAGGAAGCCCAGGACTCCAGGAAGCCCTGGGCTGGAGCCGCACCCGGGCTGCTCTCTTCCTGCGGTGCTGTGGGGCTGGTGAATGGTTAACTAGCTCTAGCTGGCGCCTTCTGGAACGAGGTCTTTATCACCATTGAGGCCCCAGGGTCCTGTGGAGGCTAACTTTTCCCTAGTGCCTTTGCCAGCCTCTCAGCTGCTTCATGTGGTTGGGTCCTACCCACTGGTGTGATGGATGGGGCAGCGAGGAAGCAGAACTGGAGATCTAGCGGCCACCATTTATTCCTTAAAGTTAGGATTCAAGTGCTTGGTGTGGCCAGGAACTGCGCGAGGTACCTCATGTCCATTGTGAACCAAGTGAGGCAAGTCCTGCCCATCCAGCCTTCCATTCTAGCTCGCTGGTCCTCAGCCCTGCTCATTAGAATCATCTGGGCCCTGCCTGGTATCACTTAGCTCAGTCTCTGGGCAGTCAGAGCCCCGTGCTCTATAAAGCCTCTGGGCCAAGGCTGACGTGCAGCCGGGGTTGGAGGAGACAGATGATGAGCGAGTTCAGTAAAGTCCTTCTTGACTGTCATGGGCTCACCTGATGTTTCAAGTTTCCCTCCATAAAACATACTGACGCTTGGCTGCTGAATGCTTCCAACCGGCAGGCTGGTCTCTAGCACAGCCGTCTACTTCCTCCATCAGTGAAGTTGGATGCTTATCAGGAGTCAGCTGTTTGTTCCCAAACCTGTTTGTGGCATTTGTCCTTGTTGTACTGACATAATCACACTTAATGTTACATAAAAACATGGAGCAACAGGAATCGTCGAAACCCCAGTTTTACAGCTGGGGAGCAGGCACCGAGGTGAAGCAACTCACCCAAGGTCATCCAGCTAAGAAGTAACTGCTCGGGGGTTTAAACCCAGCTGTGGAGCTTGGCTGCAGAGCTGAGCCCGGAAGCTCCCTGCCACACCTCAAGGGGGCGGGGGTAGTGTGGGGTCCGGGGGGGTGGTGGTGGGAGTTGTTGCTATAAGCACCTATTTGACCACTTTGGAATGACTTTGGAATCACTCAGTATGTCTGTCAAAACAGATGTGGCAAGACAACTGGAAACATGTTGCAAAAATCCAGGATTTCACACGCCGATTTCTGTGGATGCCTTTTAAGTTCTTGTTCTGCTTTGTAGTAACCACAGTTAGCAAATAGCCAATATAGGAACTCTGGCCAGCAAACCCCACACTCGGAGGAAAGGCGTTGGCCCTACAGCAAAAAGATTGGCCAAGGAATGTGCACGTATATGTTTCCATTTAAAATGAGATGCATGGGGAACGTTTTGTGTCATGTATACAAAACTCTTCCAGTTAATTGCTGGCCCTGATCAGAAAATCCTACGGAAATGATCATCATGAAGGGGACATTATGGGAAGAGGTGGAGAATGCTGTTGGTGTGTGTGGTGTAGCCTGGCCTGGGGGCGGAGGGGATCCCCCGTAAGGAGTGAGGTTAGGCTGAGGCATGAAGACCACGGAAGAGGTAGGACCAGGGGACGGTGTTTCATGGCAGGCAGCAGGTCCTGAGGAGGGTGAGGAAACTACTTTTGAGAACAAAATTGTCCTCAGTTTTGGGGTCTGGAAGTTGTGTTACCCACAGGCAACTATGTCGTGAAGATTTTTACTGTAGGTTGCTCTTGAACGTTAATGCTTGAGAAAACAGCTTTAGGAGAAGAGTGTTTTATGTGCTCTCTGCCAGGTTTTGCTAATGAGATTCTTGTACCCGGGGCTCTACTGTGGTTTCTGATAAGGCATAATAGCCGGTAAAATGCACAGATCTTGAGTGTGGACCTTTGGAGGAAGCGAGAGGCTCCTGTGGAGTAGAGGCCAGAGTCAGGGGAGGCCTGATGAAGCTGGGAAATCGGTGCAGCAATGAGCGCAGGCAGACTTGGGGGTGGCTTGTTCCAGTGGGCCTGGTGGCAGGAATGGAGACCTGTGATAGCCAGATGCCCTTCAGGGCGCAGACAGCCTGCTGGCCTCCCCTTCCATGGCCACCATTGCTGTACCTCTCTTTTTGTTCTTTCCCACAATGGGGGGATTGCTGCTTCCTCTCCCTGCCTCTCTTCCCTAGAAGACCCGTGCTGGGAATGTGCCAGGCTGCTGTCGCGCTGGAGCCGATCTGATTTGTTGAGCTGAGTGGGACCAAAGCCTGCCCAGGACTGCCGTGGGGAGCCGTTAGTGGTGGGGCTCTGCGTGGGCCAGTTTGCTGCCAAGTGGGAAGGAGTGAGCCTTCCCAGCAGCGCAAGGATGGCATCTTATTTGGGCTCAGCAGTTAGGAGGAGGAGAATGCCAAAGAAATGGCCCATGGTCGCCACCTCTTGGCAGTCAGACCATGGAGCCAGAATCTCCTAGCAAAGAGGTACAGCCTCAGGAAGGGACGTTCTTAGTGCTGATGTAAACTTGCTTAAGGGAGAGGCCCATGGGAATTGGGCTGCCCCGCTGTTGAGCATCTCCTCAATTGAGGGCTTCCTGGGGCCCCTCCAGCTCTTGGTGCCTAGACTGAAAAGGGCAGGGTTTCCCAGCTGGGTCCCTCCCACCTTCCCTGTTTTCCTTCTGGGAGGGAGACCTAGTTGGGCCCCACCCTAGCTCTTACTTCTTCGGGCTCCACCCACTCACAGGGAGGTGATTTTAAGACAGTTTTGGGTATGGGATCTAAGATCGGTTGATGGAGGATAATGGGATGGGAGCCTTATCTGCACTGCAGCTGGGAGGCCTCAGGGCCTGGGTGTGGTGGGCAGGGGTTCTGCAGCTGGGTGGGCTGGGTCCAGAGGCTGGCTTTGCCACTCTTTAGCTGGTTGAACTTAGGAAAGTGACCCAGTGTCGCTAAGGCTCAATTTCCTCATGTCTAAAATAGGGATAATAATGGTACCCATGGCACTGAGGCTGTTGTGATCAAACAAAATCACCTGCATCAGAATGCTTTAGGCTTGGGGCACCTGGGTGGCTCAGTTGGTGAAGCGTCTGCCTTCGGCTCAGGTCATGATCCTGGGGTCCTCGGATCCAACCTCACATCGGACTCTGCTCAGTGGGGAGACTGCTTCTCCCTCTCACTCTTCCTCTGTGCCCTCCCTGCCCCCCCCCAAATAAATAAAATCTTAAAAAAAAAAAATGCTTTAGGCAGTGACCAAGCAGACATAAGCCTTCAGGGAATTTCAGCCAACCTGATCATCACCTGCCACCTTCACCATCCTCATCGTTATCATTGTTATTCTGAATCCCGTTCTTGTGGGGTGGGTTCAGGCTGGTTCTTGAATTTCTTTTCTTTTGTGTGGAAGTACTTCCTCTCTGGGTCTTCAACCTAAACCAAACCCGTCAGACAAGTCAGTGGACACCAGGAAGTGAAACCAGCCAGAGTTTCTCCCACCTGCTCGGCATCCCCTCTGCACTCCGTTTTTCTAGATAGGGCTCCACCCCTAGTGACTCTGGGGGACCAGCGGGGATGGAGGGGGAGGTACCACGGAGAGCTTTTTGACTCCCCCAACCTCTTTCCTGGGTTGGCAGCTCTACCTGGAAGAGAAAGTGAACTGAAGGGAGGGAGGCAGGGTGGTGTTACATTGTGACAGGGCCAATCCTTAAAATGGGTCCATGTTGCTCTTGTTTAGAGGGGCAGATAATGACGATGGTTCATATCTCCAGAGCTCTTAGGATATGCCCAGTACTGTGCCAAGTGCTTGCTGTAGATCATCTCAGTTTCTCCTCAGAAGCTCGCCCCAGGAGGCAGCTACCGGGGTTAGCGAAGTCTCAGAGGGGAGGAAATGTGGCTCGAGGAGGTCGAATCACTAACCCGCATTCACACAGCTGGTGAGTGGCGGGGTGAGGATTTCCTCCCGGACAGCCTGGCACATGATGGGGAAAAGACTGAGGGGTCAGGATGCAGGTTATGGACAACAGTAGGGGCCTGACCTCTCTTCTCTGACTCCAGAAGTTTGGGAAGACCCGGTGGCCTGAGCCCGCTGGTGTGGGGTGTGCAGGTAAAGTAAGCGGTGGCGGAAGCTGTGGAGCGGCCTTCCTGAGTCCAGAACCCGGTCCATGCAGTGGGGGCATCTGGAGCCAGAGCTCGTTAGCAGTTGCTGCCGACGGGACTTTCACCCTCACCCTTCCCCTGGTTCCCTCTTGCATGGCATTCCTGCCTGTGTGTTTTTCCAGCTTTCGTGGGCACAGGGAGTGCAGAGGCCTGGCAAGGACAGTCACCGGCCACACCCCTGGAATTCTGGCACATTGCCCTTCAGAAGCACCGAGCCCAGGCCAGGGAGTCTGGCGCCGCAGAAACACATAAACAGAAAGCTTTTACTGGGAAAGAAATGGGCAAATACCGGAGCAGAATACTGACATGCTCCCCTCTGGTGGGAAGCTTGGGATCCAGTAGCTATTGCACAAAGCCCCTCTTTGGCGTGGGGGCCCCGAGGGCCAGCTCCCCACAGATGCAGGCTGTTCTCCATCCAAGTATGGGGACCCTGCTTCTGTGTTTTGTTAAAAGGTGCAGGTTGGGAAAGAATCCCGTTTTTGTTTACTTGGTGTTTGAAACAGTTGACTCCTCCCCGGCCCCCGGAGTTCCCTGGCAGGTCAGAGTTTGGTGGCTGTCCCAGCCCTTGCTTCCTTGGTAAGGCTGCAGGTGGCAGGTTCCTGGGCAGGGCCGGAGCCGGGGCCACGGAGTGCCGTCTTGTGGGCTGAGGGCCACAGGGCCAGGTGGCACCTGGGGTCATGGCTCTGGCAGCCTCCTCGCCAACGTGCCGTCCTCGTGTCTGCCCCTCACGGTGGGGTTACGGGCCGGGCATGGACCTTCCCGCGTCTGCGCTCAGCGGGGCAGCAGCAGCAGGCGCTCAGCAGCAGTAGCAGCACGGTAGCTGGGTGGGGGAGAGAGGAGCAGAGAGCACGGGAAGCCCGGGCGGGGGGCGGAGGGGAGCACAGACCCCCGACTTGAAAGGAAAGCCCTCTGGAGGTGTGCGGGATCTTTGCCCAAAGAGTCTGGTGGGAGGTGTCGGCTGTCCCCGTGCCGGCCACGGGGCCCTGACCTCCCTGTCCTGCCTCCTCCGCTGCCCACAGCCTCGCTCCTTCCACCCCTGGTTGGGATTCCGGGCTGCCTCTGGGCCCTGCTTCCAGCACCACCCCATCACTGGAGCAGCTTGTCGAGGATTAGGGCGGTCCCTTGGCTTTCCCCCAGGGACATCTGCTTCTCCTCGGTCTGGGGGACACCTAGCCAGTCCTCTGGCCAGCACCACGGTCTCAGCTTTCCCGGATGCCAGGAAGAGCCAGGGCCGCCGGGGAGAATGGGAGAGCCCCAGCTTACCTGTGAAAAGGAGGATGACCGAGAAGGCCACGATCTCCACAGGCTCGGCCTGCGGTAGTCTCTGCAGCTTGAGCAGCAGCTTCTCACCCATGGAGCGCATCTCCTGCACAAAGCTGGCAGCTGCCATGGTGCGCCGGCTCCTGCCGGGCTCCTGCCGGACTCCTGCCGGGCTCCTGCCGGGCTCCTGCCGGGCTCCTGCCGGGCTCCTGCCGGGAGTGCTGAGCAGAGACAGGGCTGGGAGGCCACACCCACCTGCAGCCCGCAGAACGAGTTCGTCAGGTCTCACCCCTGTACCCCTGTGGCTCATGAGCGGGGAGGGAACCACTGGGGCCCTCAACCCCGACCCAGCTGACACCACCCGTGGTGGGGGAAGCTGGTGACGGCAGGGAGCCCGAGGCCCTGCCATGGGGGCTGCCCAGCACAGTCAGACATAGGAGAGGTCTGTCAGCCGGCCACGGTTGGCCAGGGTTCCCGACTTCAAGGTGGGGTGACTTCACTGTTACATTCCTTTGTCTCAGGCACCACTCCTGGTTTTGCTGGGGCGCCTAGGGCTGGCACAGCTCCCCTGGTGACCCCTGGGTCCTTCAGGACTTTGGGTGCCTCCCCAGTTCCCAGCAGGGAGACTGGGCTTTAGGATTCCAGCCTGGTACTCTTGCCTCCCATCATATGTGGGGCAGAAGGATTAGGTTCTTCTTCCAGCACGCACATGGGGGCTTCTAGCTAGGGTCAGCTGGAAGTGAGAGCTAACGGGGAGGTGGTCTGAGCCCCTTCAGGCCCCCCCCCCCAGCCCAATTTCTTTACTCATTCAGTGTTCTTTGAGGAGGAAGAGATGACGTTGTGTTCCTGCAGTTTTTCCCAAGGGGATCCTCTCAGGATGGGATCAGCCTGGTTTACCAGCCCCTCCTCTGCTGGTTCAGGCCAGGAGAGTCCCCTCTGCCCCTACCCCTGCCCCAGCTATGTGGCAACTCAGCCCTCCAGGCCCCTGACTGAGAGCTTCTTCCTGTCCAAGGGTGCTCGACAGGCTGAAGGGGAAGGTCCAGGCTGGGACTGTGAGTTGGGGCGTGCTCGATGTCAGTGTCTTTCCCCTCCGGCCTCAGCCAATCAGTGGACACAAGGGAGCAAGTGCCTCTTCAGAGATGGACCAGGGACAGCTTGTGCCAACCCAGCCTGAACTTGTTCACCAAGGCAGCTCTAATCCAAGGGAGGGTAACAGGTGGCCAGGGGCTCGTGCCAGACCTGAGGATCTAATTACTGCTGCCTTGTCCTGGGTCGGGGCCAGGCAGGTTCTCCTGAGATGGCCGCAGTCTTGGAAGCCGGTCACTGCTGGGACTCCCGCCACAGTAGAGCTGTCTTAGAACTACCTTGAAGGTCGTCTGCTTGAACCTTTTACCCTGTACCTGGCTCCCTGCACTCCTTTTGGCATGCAGCCTTTTTGTGAGCCTCTCTTGGTGAGATGGGGGTTCCCACCTGCTATGGCAGCCTACCGTCTTCCTTCTTGGAACAGCGCTGATCGTTGTAAGGTGGGACCTCCTCCCCACCTCATTGGTCCCGCCCGTGGTCACACAGGACACTTGTACCCCTCTTCTGCCTCGCGGGCCTTCGGGACCTGGACGGCAGCTGGCATGTGCCTCCCGTGTCTCCTCTTCCACAGGGTAACTGCTCTCCGTTGGTCAGCTGCCGCTCCAGGGGGCATTGTTTCGATGCCGCCTGCCCCCTTCCCGCTTCCGTGACATGGACGTGTCTCACTTTGCCTCTCTGAGTCTGTTTCTTTTCCTCATTTTACGTGAGAGGAGATGCCCATCTTTCGAGGCTGTTGGATTGACTCCTGGAAGCATAGCGGTGGCTAGCCCAGATCCTGGCACACGTTGGGGCCCTGCACATGTGATTCCCCTCGGGGCGGGGGGCGTCTGGCCACTGCAGGAGCATCGAGGAAGCCTTTGGGGGCAGTCGTACCCCCTTGTACACTGTTTCAGAGACCCTCCCCAAACACCTCTGGGGAGCTTCATCTATGTCCTGCGTTCCCAGGATGTTTGTGGTGTGTGAGGTGAAGGTAGGTGGTGGGGCAGGCTGGAGACGGGAGCTGTGTTTTAAGTGATGGTGAGGGTAGCAGGCAGATGGGTCCCTGGAGGATTAGAGGGTTTCCTGTCAGAAGTGGGAGGCTCCTTGGGCGCCTGGGTGGCTCAGTTGGTTAAGCGACTGCCTTCGGCTCAGGTCATGATCCTGGAGTCCCTGGATCGAGTCCCGCATCGGGCTCCCTGCTCAGCAGGGAGTCTGCTTCTCCCTCTGACCCTCACCCCTCTCATGCTCTCTTTCTCATTCTTTCTCTCAAATAAATAAATAAAATCTAAAAAAAAAAAAAAAAAGTGGGAGGCTCCTGGAGTTTAGATCCCCCCTCTTCTCTCACACCCCACCCCAGGGTCAGCATGTTTCTGCAAAGGAGATCAAGATCCCGGTTTCCAAGTGTACTAAGGGGCACGGGGTCCTAGAATGCCGTGGTCATCTACCCCTGCTTCCCTTTATGTATGGGAAACAGAGCTGGGAGAGTAGGAAGAGTAAGTGGCTCCTCTGAGGTCACACAGCAGGATGGGGAGCCTGGCCAGCCCCCCTACTGCATCACGCTGTCTCTCATGGAGGCCTATCTTAGGCAGCCTGCTCTCTGGCTGGCAAGGCAAGTCAGCCTCCAGCGCGGCCTACTGAGGGCACCATCCATGCAGTAGGCGCAGTGCAGGGACTAGGGCCCCAGAGCCCTCTAGAAGTGGGTGTGCTCTGCCTGATCAGCCCCATTCCACACTCATGAGTCTGGAGCACTGCTTTTATTCAGGCACCTCATGCCCAGGCCAGGGCCACACCTATTCTCTGAGAACCACATGTAGCTTGTCACCAGACGGCCAGATCTTGTCTCAGATTCACCAAACTCCTTCCCACGCATAGGGCCCCTCTCCTCTGGTCACACTGAACACGCCCCGCCCCCGCCCCCTGTTGACCAGTGAAGTGGACTTGCACCAGGAGGGTGGTCCCCTCTCATTCTGGGGCCTCTCTGGGCATCCCCAATTCCCGTGTTTTCAGGAGTGCAGTAGCCTACCTGCTGGTCTCATTCCTGGAGGAGGGAACAGAGGTGCCCAGCAAAGCCCTGGGGGAGACTTTGCATAGGGCTCAGGAGTTGGGCACCTTTTCTCCTCCCCTCTTCGTCTCCGCTTGGTCTGGCTTCTTCAGCCTGATTGGCCCTGTGCCTGCATTGCCTAATGTAGCCATCAGAGACTCCTTGAAAGAGGAAGCGGGCAGAGGCCACCTGGGCAAGAGCGGCTTTTTCACTTGTGTTTCCAGGTCCAAAGACCCGGGGAGGGATTGTGGAGGGGAGGGCTCTGCTTGTGAGCAAGAAGCGGTGTGGAGACCTGGCCATTCTGAGGGGTGTGATCCCCAGAGCAGGGAGGATGCAGGTTGGGCCCAGGCTGCTTGGCTGTGCAGGAAATGTGGGCTTTGTTGGTCAGAAGCTTTGGCTCTGAAGTCGGCCATCCTCCAGGCATTATGAAGTCAGGACGCTACAGAGTCCCACCCAGAGGACTCTGGGGCATAGGGCCCCACTCTGGGAGGAATGCCAGTCCACGCTAGTGGCAGGCCGTGCCTGTGGCCGTGTGGCCGTGGATGGCATTGTGCCTTTGCGCCCAGGGCTCCTCTGGTGAGCTGAGTTAGCAAGCTGTACCAGCTGTGGGGTTTCATCCCGGGCTGCTCACTGATTCTGTCTGGGCTATGAACGGGATGGGGCCACTGGACAACCGAGGTTCTGCCCCGAAGGCTGACAGGGAACCCCCTTTTTTTTCAGTTGACGTTCTGCCATTTCCACCTTGGGCTTGAGCAGAATAAACTTCAGTGGGTACCATGGGAGCTGGAGGGACCTTGTTCTCCTAAGAGGGAGGAGGCACATTCTAGCAGGTCCCAGGCACTCTTCCCAGTGGGCTATTTAAAGAGAGGCCCGGGGGGTGCCTGATGCCTGGTGCCCAATATAACCAGCAGTCGTCAGGTGACCGTGCGGTATGTTCCTCAGCCGTGGTTCTGTAGGGAGTCCCAGTTCCCAGCTGTGACCCAGGAAACGTGGGTACTCTGAGGCTGGCTGCTTCTTGTCCCTTTTACTTTCTCAGGTTTGGAGGGAGGAAGACAGGGAAGGCCAGAGCGGGTACTGATGATCACGTTTATCTTTCTGGTCTATCTCAAGGAGATAGGAGGGTCATCCATTCTCCTTCCAAAACTGTACTTCCCCATGAACCAAGGCAATCAGAGTCCGTCCCAGCCCTATGAGGCTCGGGAGTGCTTCGGTTGGAAGCAGCCTAAGCAAGTGGCTTCCCATGGCCCCAGGAAGGGAGAGCAGCCTTGGCTGCCTGTGTGTGGCCCTTCTAGGAACCTTTGGAGGGTGCTCAGTGGCTGAAATGGCAGCCCATGGCAGGGGAGGTGAGCCGGGCAGAGGTGAAGGCTGGCAGAGTGGGAGGGACCAGAAAACATTCCTTTGTGTGGCATCTCCTGGCACAGAGAACCTTGTGAGAGAGCAGGCGGGCATCCTGCAGGCCAGACAGCTGCCACTGGGTCCTGAAGCTTCCCGGTTTCCTCCTTGCAAAACTGATATTCCAACCCCAGGGGCCCTTTGTGGAAGAGAGCAGGCAGCACGCCGGCCTGTTTAGGACTGATAAGTGGTGTGCTGATGGCTCGGGGCCCCTGTCATCTTGTCATGGTGGGTTGCAGCCACTCTTGCCCCACCGGGCCCTGTCTTGTTTGAGAAACAGCTATGATGGGGCAGACTGATGGTTGTGGCAGATTTGCGGGGTCCAGGGGCCTGACCAGTAAGGCAGAGGTGTCCACTGGGCACTGCATCAAGCCTTAGACGATGCCCTTTTCTGCCTTGGCTCCAAGCTGCTGTGGGAAGTAGACATTTGAACCCAGAGCAGTCCTGCTTCCCTAACCCCGTGGCTTTCCAGGACCGGAGGAGGCACTTCCTGCTGCTAGGGATGGTTCCCCCAGCCCCAGAAGCCAGGCATCACCCTGCTGTTCCAGCTCAGCGCCTGTGTTCAGGGGACCCAGACCACCTATGTCCTGTGGCTGCAGGGACTCAGCTCCCCACCCGCTTGCCTTGCAGATCCGAGCCAGCAGGGGTAGCCCTGGGCTCACCACTGCGCCCTTCCCTTACCCAGCCCTGCCCACTGCCTGCAACACGGAACTGGCGCCTGGCCCCTCTCTGCCATGCCTGGCTCATCGCTGCAGGGCTTTTAGTCTCCCCAGCCACCAACCCAGGCCAAATCCCACAGCCTCTTATGAGCCAAGAACACTTGGACTGATCCTTGGTTTCCACTTTTCCCTAGATTGTTGTTTTTCTTTCTAAGTAGATATTAGCTTGTTTGCTTTGGGGGAAACATCTGGGGGGCGGGGAAGGGAGACTTTAACCCTAGGGTGGGGGCAGGGAGGCAGGAGGAGCAGGCAGCCTCGGCTCATGGGGCCCTGCCCAAGGGGGCTGCTCCCGGGGCTGCTTGAAGAGCCGTCTTGGGCTCAGCATTCCAGTGGCATGGCAGAGGGCCAAATACCAGGCGGGTCCTCCACCAGCCTCACCATCATCGCCTTCTCCCCACCCCACCCTCAGAGTCAGGCCCTCATGCTTCTGGCGCAGCATTCAGGGAGACTTGGGAGCTCACGGGATTCCAAATGGGCCCAGGGAGGAGCACCTGGGCTTAGCTCTGAGCTGAGGACACCTGGCAGTGAGTGGGCCAAGCCCCTCACGCGAGGTGGCAGCTGCCTCGCTGATGCAGGACACAGATGGGCAGGGCTGCTGCGGGTACCGCCACGTTCCTGGGGGGCGCAAACTGGCGGGGCAGACCCTGCGCCGAGCCGCCTCCACTGGGAGAAAGCAGGCACACAGAGGGCTCTGCATTGATCCTGGGAAAAAGGGAAGCTCAGCGGGCAGGCAGCAGTTCTCTCCCAAGCCAGGAAGGCCAAATCCCTTGTTTAAGCCCCCGAATAGAACAAGCTTAAACTAACTTGCAGAGTAAGCAGGCACTTGGGGCCCCTCTGCGTGCTCAGCAGGCCGGGAGGAAAGCGCTCAGCCCGTGTCCCCCCAGTGCCGGGTCCCAGCAAAAGAAGGGAGAGCCCACGTTTAAATGAAGTTGCACCCCCGTGAGCCTCTGTGTTCCAGGTAGATGGTGGCTCTCCACCCTTGGGGCAGGGGACCCTGGCTGCCCCGCACCCCGCCCCCCCCCGCAACCCTATCATCTGTGGCTGGCACCACTCACCTAGGAACTCGGGTGTGGGGTTGGGGGGCAGCCGCACATGCCGGGGAGCCCAGCAGCCTCCTGGGGCTGTCTTCGGCCCAGCCACCACCTCTTCCTTCCTTCTCGGATGCCTCTTTCCTGACCTGCCCCTGGGCGCCTTCCTCAGAGCGTGTGGAACTCCCGGCTGCTGACAGCCAGCTGCTGTCTCGGCCTTAGCTTTTCTGTTGTTGGTCGTCCTGGAGATCCAAGTGTCAGGTTACATGGGGCGGTCACCAAGTGGGGGGGGGGCAGTGCCACTGCCTCCTCTGCCCCGGTGAGGGAATCCCTGCTGGGACCTTGGCGGCTGGCTTCAGGCTCCTGTGCGCTGTGCTGCCCCTGGAGGTCTGGCTGGGCGCGCTCGGCTCTCCTGTTCCTCCTCTTCCTCTCCTCTCCCTCTGGGCGGGTGTGTGCTAAGCCATTGTGGGCTGGGCCTGGGCCGGGAGCTGATAAAAGAGGAGGTCCGCTCTCTTGTTCCCTGGGAGGCTCCACCTGAGCCTTGGGGTGGCGGAGGGAGGCCGCACAGCACTCCCAGCTCTTTGGCCCCCTCCCTACCCTCAGAAGGGCTCTGGGCCCATCCCCCCCAACCTATCTCTCTGGAGACTCCCTGGCTGGTCCCGCCCTCTGGCCCCTCTGAAGAAAAAAAGTGAATAGTGGGGGAGCTGCCAGCCCACCCACAAGGCCAACCCCCTGGGGAGGCATCTTGGGGAAGAACTTGGGGGTGACTCGAGAGTAACCTGAACGTGGCCTGCTTGCCCGGGGAAGTGCCTGGTGTTCCTCAGCCCCAGGAGGAGGGAGGACCCTACTGATCAAAGTCTTTCCAGTGGGTGTTTGCTGGAGCTGTCCCCGCACGCCTGGCCCTGGCTGGCAGGGACGGGCTCCAGGGCTCAGTGGCTGGCAGGGCCCTTTGACATTTGGTTGGTTGTGCCACCCCAGCAGGACAGGAGCCGACCCCAGCCCGCATCTGTGAGCTCTCAATGGAGCCCTTTGAGTGTGAGCACAAAACCCCAGTGAGTCCGGGCTTGAGGGAGGGTGGGGGGAAGGAAGCCAACCGTGTAGCCACACCACTTGGATGCCAGAGCCTCCCAGAGGCTGGACAGGCGGCCACTGTGCAGATGCACAGACTGGCGATGCAAAGAGTCCCACGGTGATTTAGGAGTGGCAGGAACAGTGCCCTCTGGTGGCTGCCTGGGCCCCCTTGCCATCTCCTGCCGTTCAAAGCTGCATTCTCTAAACAAGGCAGCCAGACCCCACTTCCTAGGGCCTGTGTAACCATCAGCTCTTGTTCCTGGTGCCTGCCCCTCAGGGGCTCAGCTCCTGAGAGTGTTTCTTGCAGTTCCAGGTGGTGCCCACGTTGAGAGGCGTTCTGGTTAGTGACGCCACCTATGCTTGTCCCCGGCCGGGATGTGGTGCCTGGACAGCCCTCCCTCTGCCGCCCAGTCTCACAGTCTCCCCTACCCCGTGCCACATTCCTGCGGCAAGACTGGCCCTTGGGAAGGGCCCTGAGAGATCTGTGGCCCCTTCGGGGGCCTCTGCAGCTGCCCCAAGGACCAACTGTGCCCCCATCCTGGGACTCATAGGAGAGACAGCTGGAGTCTGGTACCTGCAGCAAGGGGGCTGTGGCAGGGTTGAGGCACTGGGGGGTGTGATGAGACTCCTGCCAGGGCTGGTCTCCTCGCTGCCCTCACAGTGAACAGCATATGATGCCGGCTCTCAGAGCTGCTGGTTTCCGCTCTCGGGCAGTCTCCCAGCTCCGGGCTGCATACGCAGCCTTCTTGGGAACAAAGAAGGTTGCCAAGAGATAGAAGCAGGGCAGAGTGCTGACGCAGGGGTAGGGCCACGCTGTGCTGGTCCTCCCGTCCCCCGCCTCCGGGAAAGGGTGAAGAGTCATAAAGAGGGCTCGCTGGGCGCCGTGCGCCATGCCTCAGAGCGCCATCTCCCCCAGGCCTGCAGGAACGTGTGGGCTTTGAGCCGTCCAGTGCTTCCCCTAAGGATCTGTGCCCAGAGCCGCAGCTACTCCCAGGGCGCCCCACCGCCGGAGGGCAGAGGAGAGAGCAGGAGGCCAGGACCTAGAGGAGCAACCTGTAGTGAAGCAGGACAGAGTGGGGGTCACACCCTGGCTCCTCCGGATGTGTTGTATGCCCTTGGGAAAGCTCCTTCACCTCATTGTCGTCATCTGTAAAATGGGTGACCAAATGATGCCTTGTCGGGCTCGTACAGCAGGAGGTGTGTGAGGTACTGAGTGTGGTGTCCACGTGTAAAGCTCCTCGGCCGGAGTGTGGGGAGTGGGTGGATGAACGCTGGCCTGCCTGGGTCCCTCACCCCTCACCTCTGCTGTGCTGCCCCTGCCAGGTGCCGCCATGCTGCCATTGCCAAGTACTTTGGGGATGCGCCCCCTGCCTGCACCAAGGGCTGTGACCACTGCCGGGACCCTGTGGCCCTGCGGAAGCAGCTGGAGGCCTTGGAGCATAGAAGCAGCTGGAACAAGACTTGCATCGGGCCTTCCCAAGGGAATGGCTTTGACCCTGAGCTGTATGAGGGAGGCCGCCGGGGCTATGGGGGCTTCAGCAGGTGAGGGGCTGTGAAGTCAGTCAGGGGCCCCCAACCCACTGCAAATAGGCTGGCCTCCCCCCTTGTGCCAAGGCACCCCAGTGCCATCGTTCACTCCCTGTCCCCGTGGGCCATGTCGGAGCTAGGAGCTTCGTGTTGTTCCTACCTGCCAGACTATCAGAGACATCAGTGCCCCACCAGAAAAGCATGACAGGAGGGCCGAACCCAGGCCCAGGGCTGCTTACACCTAGCCTGTCCCCTAGGTACGACGAAGGTTCTGGAGGTAGTGGGGACGAGGGCAGAGATGAAGCCCACAAGCGGGAATGGAATCTCTTCTACCAGAAACAGATGAGCCTACGCAAGGTGAAGGGGATGGGGGCCTGCTGGGGTCACAGGTGGCCCCCCGTTCACATGCCCTCAGCCCCTACCCTGGAGCTGGATGGGGGGGGCTGTCCTACAGCTAAGTGAGATGCCTCATAGGCCCTTCATGTCATCTTCCAGGGCAAAGACCCCAAGATAGAAGAATTTGTGCCCCCAGGTTAGTACAGAAATGTCCCCAGGGGCTTTGGGGCTATTCCTAGGGTATAGATGTCTCATTGGGGGGCTGGGGACTCCAGAAAGCAGAGGTAGAGTGGACGGACCCACCCCTCTTTGCACTCCCCCCCAGATGAGGACTGTCCCCTGAAAGAGGCTTCTAGCAGGAAGATCCCCAGACTCACTGTGAAGGTAAGCGGTGGACAGCTCCTCACACCCGCCCCCCGGACTCCTTCCCCAACCCTGAGGCTTGAGTGACCGACTTCCCTCCCCTGTGTAGGCCCGTGAGCACTGCCTGGGGCTTCTGGAGGAGGCTCTGAGCAGTAACCGCCAGGCCACAGGTACCACCCATGGGTGAGTGACCTGGGTCACAGGGGCCAAAGAGGCTTCCCCAAGCCCCCGTTCCTTGTAGACCACAAGAACCCCCATCCCCTCTGGCTTATTTGGGCACCCCTCCCGCAGATTGTGACCCACCCTTCTCCCAGTGCCTGCAGGACAGTAAGCCCCCCGGGTGCCTGGGGTCCGGGTCAGAATCCCTGTGCCCACGGCCATTCCCACCAGGCCCGAAAGTCATCTCCAGGGTCCCCAGGGAGAATCCCATAGGAGCTCCACAGAGAGAGGGCTCAGGCCCGCTTGACGCCTAGTGCTCCTTCCTATCCTCAGACCCGATCTCCAGGCCAAGGCTGTGGAGCTGGAACATGAGATGTTCCGAAATGCCAAGGCGGCCAACCTGTACAAGGCCAGTGTGCTGAAGAAGGTGGGCGCTGGGCAGGGCATGCTTCTGGGCTAGGGTGGGAGAGACGGTCCCTCCAGCCTTCCAGGCTGTCTGCCTTCCTGCTGCCAGGAGGCCACTTACACGAAGGGAGCCTGACCTCCCTTTGCCGGCTGGAGGTGTTTCCAGCCAACCCCGTCAGGACTGGAATTCGACCAGTGTCCAGTTACCTGCAGCCACGAGCCCCAGAAGCCCACTTGTGGAAAGCCTGGGTTGGAGCTCTCAGGAGCTAGTGGGTGTCACGGCGTCCCTGCCCGTCCCTGAATCAGGTGGCTGAGATCCACAGAGCCTCCAAGGATGGGCAGCTCTACGACGTGGGGAGCAATACCAGGAGTTGCAGTGCGCAGGCCCAGCCCCCAGAGCCCACCGAGTATGACATCCGGCCGGCCTCCCAGGTGTACTCGGTGAGCAGCGTCCTGGCATCCACCCCAAACCTGGGTCTGGGAAAGGCATCACGTCCTTTGTCCTCAGCCAGGGCATGGCTGCTTGCCTTCTCCTGGCATCGCAGCCCTGGCCCTAGGCGCCCCGCGGCAGACCCTCCAGCTTCCCTCTGCAGCCCCCACAGCTATGCTCTGCTCAGCCTGACTGCCCTGAGCTGTCCTGCCGGGTCTCTCCCTCCCCACTCCCAAGAGCCCACCAGCTCAGCCCTTCCTGGACCAGCCCATGAGTGCCCTCAGAACCCTTTCTGTTCTTCACAGCTCAAACCCAAGCGGGTAGGAGCTGGTTTCCCCAGAGGCTCCTGCTCATTCCAGACGGCCACTGAGCTGATGGAGAAGATGTGGGCTGAGGAGCAAGCCCCCCAGCCAGTGTGGGGAGGTGAGCAGGAGCCCCACAGCCAGCCCCACAGCCTCCAGGGGGACTACAATGAGCCCCTCCCTGGGCCCAGAGGAGAGGCCCTTGGAAGCAGTGCTCATTGTGGGGGGTCCTCCCCTGAGAAGAAGGTGAAAAGCCCCTCCAAGGGCGGTGCCAAGGCCCGGGCCAGCAAGAAGCAGCAGCTCCTAGCCGCAGCGGCCCTCAAGGATTCACAGAACATCACCCGCTTCTGCCAAAGGGCCAGGAGCCCATCTCCCCTCACCTCAGCCCCAGGGGCAGAAGGTGCCGGCCCTTCCTGTGAGGGAGTACAGGGACCCCCAGCAGCCCCAGAGAAGTGCACAAGGGAGGATGGAGCCCTGGGGTGTTTGGCTGCGCTCCCCCAGACCAAGGCGTGCACCGGGGAGAGGCCAAGGTAAGGGCCCTGATAGTTCTGAAATTCTCTGGAATCCTTTTTGCTAACTGGGCCTCTGAAGCTCTGGCCGTTCCTAGGGTGCGCTCTGCTGGGCCGGCTGAGCTGAGGGTGCAGCTGGTGGCTGGAGTTCTCATGCCTGCTCTCCCCTCTGGCCAGAGCCTGCACACTCAGAGACCAGGGGCCCCCTGAAGGCCAGTCCACCCCCACAAAGGAGACACACAGGGGCAAGCGGTCCAGACCCCAGCAGGTACTGACAGGGACAAGGCCATAGGGGAGGAGGCCTGTAGACCAGGCCGATACCTGTTCTGCTCTGGATGAGGGGTTTGGGGAAAATCATCTTTTTTACATCCCAGGGATAGACGGGACAGGCTAGAGGAAGCCAGCGGATGCTGAGGCCCAGTCTTCCAGAACGAGGGGAGGGGCCAGTGACAGGGAACCCAAGAGTGACTCTCCACTCTGGTCCTACACAGGAGAACCCAGAGAACCAGGCTCAGAAGAGGCCTCGCCCCTCAGCCAATGCCTCCATCTTAGCTGAGGCCAAGGAGAGCAGCTCGGCCAGCAATTGGGGCACCTTGAACCCCACAGCCCAAGATTCCCGCCTTCTCCCAGCCCCTGGCATCTCCCTCAAGGAGGCTGCAAATGTTGTGGTCAAATGCCTGACCCCTTTCTACAAGGAGGGCAAGTTTGCATCCAAGGTAAGGTAGATGGGTGGGTTCTGCCCTCCGCTGGGCCTGGGACACTTGGGCGCCGTGGGGCCAGGGAGCAGAGCCAGAGGACAAAGCAGGGTAGAAGCAGGCTAGTCCTGAGGTGGACTGCCTCCCTCCCTGGGGTCTGCCTTGCCCTTGGGTCATGGCTGAGGGCCACTGGAGGAGGGGGGCAGGGTAGGGGTCTGTGCTCTTTGCTCCTGTCACCCTCTGCCTCCAGGAATTATTTAAAGCCTTCGCCCGCCACCTCTCACACTCGCTGGCTCAGAAGGCCTCTCCTGGAAGGAGCGGTAAGTGCCCACGTCACCAGGCCAGAGGTGTTTGCGGGGCTTGGTGGTGGGGAGGGGACTGGCCCTCACGTTCCCGCTTCCCGAATCTGTAGTGAAGGAAGAGGCCCAGAATTTCATCAAGCAGTTTTTTCACGGTCGGGCCCGGTGCGAGAGTGAAGCTGACTGGCACGGCCTATGTGACCCACAAAGATGACCAGCTCCTGCCCACTAGGGCCAGAGTGCTCCCCCAGCCTCAACTGTGGGCCAGCCTGGGCCTCACTCAGGAACAGGGAAGGTGGAAAGCCTGCAGCCATCAGGGGCATCCTCTTTGCTCAGGGGCCATACCTTCCAACCATACCTTGCTTTGAAGATGGCCCCAGTCACCTCCCAAATCAAGGCCAAGGGACAGAGGCCAGCCACTTTCTGCTTGCAGGGTCTCAGGTCTTCTTCCGCCCAGCCTCCCTGCCTCTTGGCTGGGTTTTCCGAACCAGATCCCCATATTAGAAGCTTGGGGCGGGGTGGGGGGGTGGGGTGTGTGTGGCAGGAGGAAAGAATTGTAGGCCACGGCGACGCCACCTGTCTGAGGCATTGGGCCGCCTCAGGAAGAGCCTGCTGGCCTCGGCTTCTTGGCCCACTGCCCTTTTCCCTTGCGATGCCAGCTTGTGGCCTGGCCCCAGGTGCAGAGCTTGGGAGCAGGGCAGCAACTAGGCCCTGCTCTCTGCTCAGCTCCTGGTCAGGAAGGCCGGGCCGGACGGAGACTTAGCAGAGAAATAAAGTCCTGTTGGTTTTGACACACACCCCCACAAACACAGCCTTTTTCTCTTGGGAGTTTTATTTCCTCACTGTTTGCTTCCCCCAGGCCTGGATTCGTGCTGATGTTAGCCAGGGCCTGGGGCCAGCTGGGCACCCCCCCTTCCCCAGCCTGGGCAGCATCAGATGCCCAAGCGAGTTCCTGCAGCCCCTGCTCCAGGCCCCCCCCAGGGGGAGTCCTGCTTTCTCAGCTGATGTCACTGGAGCAGCTCCTGCCTCGAGGCCTCCACATGGGCCAGCAGCGCTGTGCTGTGGCAGGTTCCAGAACAGCCAAGTGGGGAAGTCCAAACCAAAATGGCCTGACAGCACCCAAGGGAGACCTTCCCTGTCAGACTTGGACCTGGGAGGGGGCCCCTTCCTCATCTCCTCCCCTCCTCCATTCCTCTTGGGTGAGGCCGGCCGCTAGCTGGAAGCAAGGCTGCTGTCCAGCAGGAAGGTGATGGTGTACTTCAGCTCCTGGGCCTGCCCGGGGAACAGGCATGTGAGGACAGGGCTCCCCAGTGTGCCCCCCGCCCTGGCCCACACCACACCTGAGCCCCAGGCATGAGCATGGGCCCAGGCTCCGGGCATGCCAGGCCCAGGTCAGGCACTCCCCGCCTTGCCAGGGTGTCTGTCGTCAGAGGCCCCGGCCACTCACCTTGGGCAGCTCAAACCAGATGGTGTGGGGGCTGTCAGCAGAGCCGTAGTTGAGTTCCAGGCCAGGGGGCCCCCTACTCTCCAGGGGGCTCAGCAGGTGGAGCCGGTGCAGGTCCCTCAGGGCGATGGAGCAGCACCGTTTCTGGGGCAGCAGAGACAGCAGAGCCTGGGGTCACCATGGGGGACGGGAGAACGGCACAAGGGTGCTCAGACTGGTACTGGGGCAGGAGCCTGCCCACCTGGCTGTAGGGGTCCATGAGGAGGAGATGCTGGCGGTTCAGTCCCAGGAGGCTGGGTCCAGGCAGGGCCAGTTGACTCACGCGCAGCACCACATAGACAGTGTAGCCAAAGAGGGGCAGCTGGCTCACAGCCTCTGGGAACGGAGGGGCCAGGATAGGTGTTCTGGCCGTTCGGGCCCTGGGACCTGCCCGACTTGGCCCCCAGGTTGGATGAGCGGGGCAGGGCAGGTAGAGAAGCTTCCTCAGCCCCTCCACCCCCCCTTCCCTTCTGGGCCTCTTGCCTCGGCCCCTGCAACTCCCGGGCCCCAGACCCACCGATGAAGTTGATCTGTGCCTCTTGGGAGCTGCAGACTTGCAGCTGCCTCAGCTCCTGGTCCATCAGGTTCTTTATGATGGCTATGTTCACCTTCGATTGCAGCGGCTTTGGCAAGTAAGCCAGCAGGTCTCGCCTAGGACACAGACCGGTCAGTCAAGGCTGGGTATACAGCAGGGGCTAAATAAATGAGCAGGGGCTACTGTGAGTGAGATTGGGGATCCAGACTTACGAATGAGGCCTGGGCCCTGCCTATGAGGAGCTTGGGGTGGGCAGGTCAGGTGTACATAACCTCCACGACTCCAGGCCCATCAGGTTAAGGCCATGAAGGGTACAAGTTGAGCAGCCTTGACATTGGAAGACCGGGTGGGGGATGCGGGGGCTAAAGGAGAGGCCCTTAGGGTACGTGCTGAGGTGGGCCTCAGCACCAGCAGGGACCAGGGGTGGCAGGAGGTGTGGGGCCGTGTGCACACTCACTCCGACAGGTGGTCCTCTTGGTCCTCTTGGGGCTTGCTACGGTGCTGCAGGGCAGCCAGCCTGGCGAGTCGGGTGCTGGCCTGGGGGCTGACCAACAGCTTCCCCTGTAGGTAGTCCTGCAGCACCTGAGAGGGGACGGCAGTGAGGGGAAGGAGGCCTGGACATCCCCCACCCGGGCAGGGCTTCATTTGCAAGCTGCAGCCCAGGGTCAAGCCACCAGCTGGCTGGGGTTGGGGGGTCACGGGGTCGCAGCAGCTGACCTGCATGTAGTGGGTGGTGATGTAGGTGGGGTTATCGAAGTGCAGCGGGGTCTCCCAGCCGAGCCGCCGGCTGTGCAGGCTTATGTCCTGATCCACCACGTTGTTGAGGTACTCATGGGGCCACAGGGGCCGCACCAGCTCGCCTGCGTGGGGAGCCCAGGTCCACAGCCCGCCCTGACATCCAGGGCCAGCCCTGCCCGCAGTCCTGCCAGCCCCAGCCTGGGAACTTGCTCGCACGCACACAACCGGCAGGTAAGCCGCCTCCTGGAACCCAGCCTGCCCCCCCGCCCAGGCGAGGGGCTCACCTTCCCTTTTGATGAGGAAGAGGGCAAATTCCTGCACTTCCTGGGGGTCCGTGATGCCCATTTGCAGACATAGTTCCTCCAGCACTTCTACCACCACCTGGGCCGTGTCGACAGGGCCGTGTGTGATGGGGGCAACTAGGCCGGGGTGGGGGAGGCCCAGATCTGATGCCACAGCTTTCCTGTCTCTCCCCAGCCCCTCTTCCCTGGCCCCATGCTCACCGTGAAAGTCCGGATACTGGTTTTGTAATCCATACCCCCTGGCAGGTGAACTACAAGCGAGCGGATTCCTTGCCCTTTCTGCCAAGGCAGGTTGTAGGGTTGGTCCACCAGTGGCCAGAGGCCCCAACTCCCTGTCCCCCACCAGGGAGTTCCATGATGCCCAGCCTCCTGAACCCGCCACCGCCGCCCCCCTCCCCAGTACCAGGAGAGCCTGAATTTCGCCTGGGGAGGGCAGCTGCGGGCGCCCCCCATATTTGACTGTGCGCTGGAGGTGTTCCTGACTGTTCCAGGCCAGCTCTGCAGAGGGGAAGCAGGCTGGGGTCACAAGCATCTCCAAACCCCTCCCCAAGCTGCTGAGACCCCAGCCTGGAAGGCCCTCCCCTAGGCACCTTGGCTTGGGCCTGAATCCTGCAGAAACTTCGTTACGTAGGGCATCAGCGTGGCTGACGGGGCAAAGAAGCCTGTCAGGAGGCTGAGGAAGCTCCAGCCGCGAGCACAGTGTTCCCTACAGGGCAGAGAGCCTGGGCTTCAGGCTGGCCAGACCATGCCCCAGCCCTGGGCCGCCCTCTGCCACTGCCCCCCAGCCCTGCATACTCACGGCCGAGGGTGTTTGGTGACCTGCTTGATGACTTGGCAGTAAATCTCATCCCTGAGGTTCTCCTTCTCCTGGCACAACTGTGGGGACGGAAGAGCAGAGGGCAGGGTGGCATGGGAGCTGAAGTCAGAGAAATCCTGCTAACAGCCAAGGCCGGGGCCACCTCTCAGTCTTGGACACAGCTTGTGCCTAATTCACTGTCTTCATCTGCTTATGGGCTCTGCTCAGCCCTGTCTTCTCTGCTGGCTCCCCTTATTTCCTTGACCTCCAGGGCTGCAGTGCCCTTGGGCCTCAGTCTACACGCACTGATGATCTCAGCTGTTCCCACCTGCTGATGACTGCCAGTGCTGGCCTCCAGCCCAGGCTTCTCCCTTGAACCCAGGACCCCCACTTGGAAGTCCGAACTTCACACTCCCTATGTTCAAAACAGATTCCTGCATCAACCCAGACCCATTCCTCCCTTAGGCCCCCATACCGAAGACAGTCTTGACTCTGGCCAAGGCCTCCATGACATCCTTGGCCCCGCTCTGTCACACCCCACATATAATTCATAGCAAACCCTGTTGTTCTGAGTCTTCTCCCCTCTGCTGCTACCTCTGGGCCTGGCCCTCACCATCCCTCACCTGTGATCATTGCAATAACCTCCTCTGGCACTTCTATCCCCCTGGGAGGGGTGGCAAACAGCGTCCCCTGAAAATGTAAGCCAGTCTCTGCACACCCCGAGTGAGTGCCCATCTCTCTTGAGAAATCAGAGTCCCAAGAGTAGCTTACGATGGCCTGCCGTGAGCTGTACCTGCCACCTCTCCCCAGCCTCATCCTCCACTCTGTCTTGGCTCACTGGGCGCGCCAGCCACGTGAGCCTTGCTGGTGCTAAGGCTCACCCTCATCAGGACTGTTGCCCCTGCCCCTCTCTGCATGTGATACCCCCAATTCACACCTGCCTCTCCCCCCAGCTTCCCTCAGATCTCTGCTCCAGGGTCGCCTCGCCCCTGAGCCTCTGCCTTAGAGCAGCCCCCTCCCTGCTGTATCATGCCCCACAGCACCTTTTACTCTTAGACACATTGCATCATGGTTTACCAGATGTCTCCTCTCACTAGACTGTAAGTTTTGTGGGGACTGAGCCTGCTTAGTTCACCACCATGCCCCCAAAATACTTTTGGATGATTTGAATGACTAGTGACGGAGGGAAGGGGGAAGCCACTCAGGCCCAGGCAGGAGGACAGGAACAGACCCTCAAGGCACACAGAATCCCACCCAAAGCTTTCAGCACACAAGCTCTTGCTTACCCTCAGCAGGTCATAAAGGAGCTCCATCTCATTCTTGCCCCGGGGCTTAGGCTGATCCCCCATAAATTGCATCAGAGCTGCAGGCAGGATGAGAAGCATGGTGAGCTGGGTTGGGGGCCTGGTTTTGGCTCATGCTGTCGCCAGACAGGGCTTTCCCTGTCATCTCATGCCTTGCTCCCAAAAATGCATGTGAGCCAGGCAGAGCAGAGCAGTCTCCTCTTTACTGATGAGGAAACAGGGCTCAGAGAGGTTCCGTGGGCACCTGAGGCTGCTTATAGCACGTAGACATCTGGAAATAGCACTACCTTCCTGTCCAGACTCCACGCAACCCACCACCCCTTGGGAGTGAGTAGAAATAGGTGAGAGCTATGGGGATTCAGTAACCACCAGTGAGCTTCCCTGAGTTGACAAAGGACAGAAGGCAACCTGGCGCCTAGGTCCGAGGCACCACAGACATGGGGACCCAGGATGCTGTGGTCACTCACCCTGGAAGCTTTCCACAGCCTGCCTGTTTGTGTCCTCATCACTGAGGCTGATGAGCGATTCTCGTATGGGAGCCTGTGGCCAAAGAGACTGGGTTGTGGGTCTGGAGTCCATGGGAGCCAGCGGGCAAGGTCCACTGGCCCGACTCTTCCCCACCTGTCTCCCTCACCTTGCTGTACTGCACCAGGCCGGCCATGGCCTTCTTAGCATCTCCACCGGTGTGGTCCAGCCTGAGGGGGCAGAAGCAAGGACAGCCCTGCTTGCTCGGCCCTCCCGCCCCCATCACAGGTTGTGTAGGGAGGGTGCTAAGAACACTGGCCTGGTGGCTCCGAGCGGGGAGGCCCACTTCGGGGAGGCCGAGGATGGGCAGGCAGAAGGGTGGGCCCAGGGCACTCACAAGGTCTGGGGCTTCCGGAAGTGGTACAGGGCAAATTCCTGCATGGTGTAGTGGCAGGAGTCCGTGGACAGAGAGATGGAGGCTACAGAGTCATCGCTGTGTGCCTGGCTCCGGGGGCGGGCATGGCACTGGGAGCACAGGAGACCTCATGCCACCCGAGGGCCCCGGGCCTGTCTGGAGGCCCTGCCCAGCCCCCCGCCCAGCCCCCCGCCCAGCCCGAGCCAAGGGGAGCAGGCAGAACAGCAGTGAGCACACCACCAGAAGCCAGGGAAGTCCAGAGGCCTTTACTGAGCATCTTCTAGGGCAGCACTTAATGAAGTGCTGCGAGGGGGCACAAAGGGCGCATGGCCCAGCCCCTGCCCGCAGGGGGCTCACACTCTTGCTGGGGAGACAAGAAATCGGGAAGGGCAGAGGGGCAGCATCAGACCAAGCGCTACCCTAGCCAGGAGGCAGGTGGTCCTGGCCGCTCAGGGGAAATCGAGCCCTTTCTGTCCTCGACATGTTAGGCTTCGCCTCCGCCTCTCCTGTCTTCCTCACCTCCGCTGCCCTCTCCCACTGAGCCAGCCCTGGCTCTCTGTGCTGCAGCTGACTCTTGTGCCGGCCACTCCTCTCTGGCAAGAAGGAAAAGTCTGGGGCAGCAGCTGGCTGAACTATGTCGGCAGGGAAGAGTCCAGAACGGCCCCCAGTGGAGCCAAACTGCCAGCCTGGAAGGTATCCGAGGACAGTGCCTCACCCACCTGGCCCCTCTGCCCCTCCCAGGCTCTGCCATGTGCTGGCCCCCCCGTGCCGACTGCCCTGCTTGCCCCCAGGGATACCGGGCTCCAGCGAGGCCACTGGCAACAGCTTGATGAGGTCCCCACGGTGGAAGCTGAGGAGGCTGTGGTCATCGGTGATGTAGGTTCGCAGGGCGATGACGTAGCCGGAGTCCTACAGGCAGGAGGGTGAGTAGGCAAGGGAGCCAGCCTGCCTGCCACCCCAGTCCTTCCTGCCCCACCTGCTCCCCCTGTTGGCCTCACTCCCCACCCAGCAGTCCAGAGTTCCAGGAATCCGGCCTGAAGGCCCAGCCCCACCCCGGGCCGCTTGACGGAGCTTGGCTGACAGCTCCGGGACCAGCCAGACCAGACGCAGCCTGGGTGGAGGCCCCCCTACCCGGCCCGGGTCCCCCAGCCCAGCCGCCCACCAGCCCCCTGCCCGGCCTACACTTGCCTTCTTGAGCTCACTCAGGAACAGCTCAATCATGGCCTTGATGGCACTCGCCCGGGCCGTGTGCAACACCAGCTGCTCACTCTTCAGTGACAGCTCCAGGGTGGAGCTGCGCGGGCACTCCACGCCCAGCACCTCCGCAAAGCTGTGCACAGGCGGAGGCATGAGCTGAGAGCTGGCTCGCCCCCGCCAGCCCCCGGCCCAGCCCCGGGGCCAGGTTCACCTGTATGAGCACAGAGTCTTCAGCTGGTTCGGGTGGAAGTCGGGGCCTTTGGTCGCCTTGAGCAGTCTCAGTCCCCGGTGGGACACGCCCAGCAGTTGCACGTCACTGCTGCTCTCACCCTGCCCGGAGGGAAGGTGGCTGGGTCACAGACAGGCTCCTGGTCCCCACCACCATCCAAGGCGCCCCGGGGCTACTCAGGGCCCGTGCTGCTCTTCGTCCTTCCGTTGGGGCCCACTCCAGCCCCGGCTCTCATCCCTGCCACAAAGGCCCATGCTGAGCGTGCTGGGATCCAGACCGGGGTGCCACCTCCAGCCCCACTGACCGAGACAGGGAAAATTCGGGAGAAATAATTGGCCCAGTTGTCCCTAGCGGCCACCACGATGCGCTTCTTGACACTGTCCTCAGTGGTGTTGAGCGAGTCCAGACCCACCTCCAGGTCTCCTGTGGGCAGCAACGACCCCAGACTGTCCTCGGGCTCCCTCAAAGGGGGGACCCCAGAGTTTGCCCCCTCCCTCCAGACAGACCTAGTCCCAGCACTTAGGCCCCTGATTCCCGGGTCCCTGGACCCTACCCAGCAGCTCTTTCATTTTGCTCCGCTCATCCTGGGAGATCCGGATGCAGGACTCGGCAAAGGTGTCCCTCAGGATCTGGGGGCAGAGCCAAGAGGTCACCACCAGATCCCAGTGCCAGAGCCCACCATGGAGGCAGCCACACATGGAGGAAAAGCTGGAGAGCCTCGTGGGCACGGGTGGAGCAGGGAGGGATGTGGGGCCTCTGAGCCCAGGGCCGCCCCCCGCCTCCCACTCGCCTCCCTCAATCACCCGCACTAGCGGGTTACCGCTGCTCGGTCAGCTGAGAGGAATTCCCTGAAGGAACAGAACTGGGCGGGGAGGAGGGGAGACTGCTATGGAATTTGGGGGAAGAGGCAGGGTCCCGGGAGCATCCAAAGGCGGCACAGGAACAAGCATCAGCTGCTGTGTGCCGGGGCCCGTGTTGGGGACCGTATACACTTCATTTTGAATCCTCACTGCGGGCCAGTGATGGTCCTTACTCTCAGGGATGTGGTGAGGATGAGGTAAATGAAGGCAGGGCTTGAAACATAGCCCCTGCCCTCCAAGTGCTGGCCGCCCTCACGCCTCTCGCACTGGTGGTGACCTGGCCCGGTGCGGGCGCAGTCCGTCTGCCCATGCGCAGGTGGCCCGGGCTCTCACCTGCTCACAGAGGAGCCGGAGGCAGTAGGGGTGGCAGAAGTTCTCCCGGGGGTAGAACACCTGCAGGAGAGCAGGGGCGAGGAGAACAGATGGGAAGGGTGCCCCCTCCCCGCCTACCTCCCAGCCCACCTCTGCCTCCCAGACCCGGAAGGAAAACCAGGCCTGAGGAGGTGGGTCGTGGGGAGGCGGCCCTCAGTGTTTGTGTATGGGGAGGTGCTGGGGTCCCACCACAGCCTGCCGCCCCTCCCCAGCCCAGAGAGAGGCCCGGCTGCGGCCCCGGCCGAGTGCCCACCTCCTTGCGTAGGAACAACCTCCAGGGCGGGTTGACGTAGGAGAAACACACACTGCCGGAAGGCACGAGCAGCTGGGTGGAGACTCCCTGGTCCTCCATGGGCTCCATCCAGCCTGGCAGAGGGAGGGGCCAAAGAGCTTCAGGGGAGGACCTGCCAGAGCCAGAATGATGGGGACCCGGGGACAAAAGACCGTCCCCTCCCTCAGGCCCTGCGAGGGCTCGGCCTACTCAACCTTTGCTGCCTCCCTCCTGTCCACATCCCGGCTCCAGCCTCCATTTCCAGCCTCAGACTTTCCCTGCTGCCCCTGACCACGTCAGCAGGGCCACTAAGTTCCTGATGGGGCTGCCAGGATGCACCGAGGACAATATCCCGAGACGGTCCCTCAGTGCCACAAGAGCCCCAGAGCCCTGCCCTGGACGGGAATGCGGAAGCTGGGGCTCCTTGCCCATAGTCCGGAGCCCCGAGCGCCTGAGCGGCTGACCTCGCAGCCCTGGGCACTGAGAGGCTTCTGGGGACACTGCCCGCCCCAACGAAGCCCACCACAGAAGGCTAGAAGGTTCCTTACCGCGGGGCCCAGCTGAAGGGGTCCCTGGTTCCTCAGGCAGAGGCAGCGGGGGCGCTGGTGGAGGGGAGGGTGCCCGGGCAGCAGGCGGAGTCTGGCCAGAGAGACCCTGGTTCTCCTTGGTGGAGCTGGAGGGCCCAAGCTGTGGCGGGACCTTGGGGCGAGGGGCCACAGCCGGTGGGAGGCCCTTCCCTGAGCTGGGGGATGGCGTCTGGGGAGGCACAGAGAACGGACACAGCTGGGTCTAGGGGTAAGGCCAAATTTCCCCCAGAGAGCCTTGGACCCCCGAGGTGAGAAGCCACGCCCTGGACGGGATGGAGCCTCACCGACACGCACGCGTGGGCACCGCTGATCCCCAGCTTAGCCAGAGCCTCATCCTTAGGGTTGTTTTTCTTCAGGAAACTTTGTGGGGGCTTCCTGAGAGAAGGAAGAGGTCCTAAGCGCACAGAGCGCCTCCCGGGGGAGTGGGCAGCCCTGGTCGCCCCGAGGCCCACCTGGATGGCTGCACGGGCACGGGCACGGGGCCCGGGCGACTCTGGTACATGCGGATGATGTTGCGAATCTCCCTGCTTGGTTCTGCCCGCCGTTGCGGGGCTGGCTCAGGGTGACCACCAGGCCCCACCCCTGGGGCCGCCGGCTCAGCCTCGGCCTCTTGTACCCCTTTGGCTCTACCTCGTGTCAGTGGCTTCTTCACTATGGGGGGAGGTGGGGGGGATGGCACTGACCAGGAGGAGAGGAAACGTGTGAGACCCTGCACAGACCCACGGCGCCAGGGCTCCCCCGCCCCCCGAGTCCCCACCACCTGCTCTTGGATTCTCCTCCTGCTCCTGTTCCTCCTCCTGTTCCTGCTCCTGGGGGATCTGTACCTTGGGTGGAGGCTTCACTGTCTTCACCTTGATCTGCTGCTGCCCTGTAAGTGCCCCAGGTGACCCGATTACTCTCCGTGGCGTGCCCAGCGGGCTCCTGGACAGGCCGGCCACCCCAGGCACGCTCACCCATCTTCTGGAAATAGTCCTGTTTCTGCTGGAAGCTCCTGGGCCGCTGGGGCTTCTCTTGGGCCTCCTGTGAGGTCTCCTGTGGGCAGGAAGGGGAAGTGAAGGAGCAGCCCCGCCAGCCAAGTCGCCCCTCTCCCAGCACCGCCCCCCTCCCCGCCCCATCCCTGTGGGGTCTCCCGCCCACGCAGCCCTGCCACCCGCCCGGCCTCGGCTCCTCCCCTCAGACAGGCACCCACCGATTTCAGCTCTTGCTCTGGCTCCCCGCGTGGGGCCAGGGGCTTCTTGGGCTTGGGGGCGACGGCTGGGGGTGAGCTCGGCGAGGCAGCTCCGGGGGCCCGGGCCTGAGGCTGAGCCTGGTGGTGGCGCTGCTGTGTCTGCTGCTCCAGGGACAAGGTCATGGCCTGGGCGGTCATCTGCTGGGCCTGGTGGGGGGAGGGGGCGGCGGGCCTGGTGAGAGCGCCCCGGCTCTGCCCCGCAGACCTGGCCCCGCGAGGCCCTCTGAGGGCCCTGCCCACCCTCACCAGGATCAGCGCCTGCTGGGTGATGAAGTTCTGCTGCTGGGCCACCAGCTGCCTCGGGTCCACGCTGGGAAGCAGGGGCTGCGGCTGCGGCGGCGGCGGCACCACCATGGCTGCAAGTGGCATGCAAGTGCCCAGCTGGCACGTGGCCCCCTGCCCACTGCGCCCTCCGGGCCCCAGGGAGGACCTCCCTTCCTCCCTTCCTACCTGGGAAGGGAGCCGCCACCCGGCCTTACCTGGCACGGCAGGGACTGCGCCCATCGCTGGCATCATGGGCACGGGGGCTGGCATCATGGCTGGCTGGTATCCGGGCATCTGCATCATCCCTGGGTAAACTGAGGGAACAGGGCCCCCCCGGGGTCGATCCTTATCTGCGCCCGCAGACCCCCTCCCTCCAGCTCCAAGCAACAAGAAGAGGATGGGCCCTCAGGGTGCTGGCTGGAGCTCTGACCCCAGTTGCCTGGGGGTCCCGGGCCGTGCTTGCCCATGCTGCTGGGCTGGGGAGACCCTGGGTGGATGCTCAGCCCTGCACTCACCCATGGGGTAGCTGCCTTGCTGCATGGGCCCAATGGCGCCCCCTCCCTTCATGCGGCTGCTCAGAGCCCAGCCTTGCTCCAGATCCTGTAGGGACAAAGGCCACAGGCCACAGGGTCAGAACTGGAGCCCTGGGAGAGATGGGAGAGGCAGTGGAGGCCCCGGTGGGGTAGGGCCAGGGACGGGGTCGGGTGTATGTGCAGAACACTCACGCTGTGGCCCGGGGAGAGGACTGGCTGGAAGAGGTGGTCCAGGAAGCCATCCAGGTTCCCTGAGGTCTGAGACTCCCCTGTGGGGCCAGAGGAGGGTGTCACCCTGGGGTGTGGGGCACCCTGCACCCCCATTCGCATTGCACTGCCAACCTCGCTGTGCCCATTCTGGCCTTACCTGACTGGCTCCTGCTGGGTAGTGCTGGGGCTGGCCCCGGGGGTGGACCTGGGGGCAATGGAGGGGCCTGGATGCTAGGGGCGGGGGGGATGGCCTCAGCTCTGCAGGAGACAATGGGCCCAGCTAAGGGGGTGCCTTGGATAGGGGTGGTGTCCAGGCTGAGGCAAGGAATAGAATCTGCTGTGGGGGGTCATCCCCGTGGGGTGGGAGAAGCGGAGGTGTGTGTGGGGGGGTGCTGGGCCTGTAGCAAGTCCTGCGAACCCCGGGGTGTGATAGGGTGGCTATGGGGGTCACCTGTGACAGAACAGAGACAGGAACAGGCTGGGACAGGGGTGCTGGGGTGGCACCTACAAGCCACGGGGGGCAATGGGGTAGCTGTGGGGACTGACTGGGTCCCCCAGGTCCTCAGTCTGGCCGATGAGGTCCAGCACAAAGTCACAGCCCACCAAATCCTGCCAGGAGTCCCCGGAGTGCAGTGACACGGACCAGCCACGGGGGGGCAGCTCCAGGCCTCTGGGAGGGACAAAGGGGCGCCATAGGGAGTGATCAGCCAGGAAGATGACCACCCCGAGGGTACCCAAGGGGAGGCGGCTGAGGAAGGCAGAACCTGGGTGAGGAACTGGTTTCCTCAGACAGCTCTCCTTTATTTGCACCTCACGACCTTCTGCTTCCACATCAGCTCTGATGCACCCATTTATTTATAGACCTATTTCATTAGAATCTGGACCATAAATATAACCTCTACTCTTGCTCCCTAGCTTGAACCTACTGTCTGGCTCCTGCCCACTTACCCCTCTGTGCCCCCCGCCCCGCCAACGCCCTCGGGGAGCAGGCTTTGGCCCTGGGTTTGCAGGAGGCGCCCCATGACAGGAGAGTGGGCAGGGAGGATGAGGATGGGACAGGGGTCCGTGTTGGCTACACTCCCCATCCCAGGTCCCCGTACCTGCTCTGCAGAATCCACCCGGTGAATTGCTCCCCCGTGGTCCAGGACTCCACCTCGGCTGAGTAGCATTCCTCTGTAGGGACAAGGGGTGGGGGCTGGAGTGAGGGGCAGCAGGTCCTTCCTGACGGGAAGGGGCTGCTTTCCCCATGGGGGTTCCAGAAGCAGGACAGAAGGACAGCAGGACAGGACCCTGTGATCAGAGTCACGGGGGGGCAGCTAGAGGGCTGAGGCAGGAAGGGGGTCCAGGGAGGGTGAGGAGGCAGGGCTGGCTCCACTGTGGGCCTGGGGAGGCCTGAGCAGAAGGTGAGCATCACCAGTGAAGGTAAAGACGTCCAGAGCCATGCGGCCCCGCCGCCGCCCGGCGGTCCACTCGAGCTGGGTCGGGGGGTGGGCCCGTGCCATCCCAGGAGCCAGATGCGTCTGCTCCAGGGCCCCCAGCAGCTTGTGCTGACACAGCGCTGCCATGCCTCTGGGGGCCTGGTTGGACACAAATCTGCGGGGACAGCACAGGGCTGCTGTGGGGGTGGGCAGTCCACCGATCCCACTCACTGGGCCCCGCAAGGCAGGCCCCTTACTTCAGCAGTGGCTTCTGTAGGGTGGGCATGGGGGGAAAGGCGCTGAGCAGGATGGCCATGAGGACCCAGCTGCGCTGGTTGTGCTGCTCGTCCGTGTTGTGCCAGATCTGGGCCACGAGCTGGCTGAAGAGCTCGTCCCGCAGCCCTGGCCGGCGCTGGCCCTGTCGCACCAGGTATTCGCCCATGCTCTGCTCCTGCCAGGGGTGCAGGGACCCATCCCCCAGGAGCCGCAGCATCTGTAGACGGGGAACAAGGCGAAGGCAGGACATGCAGGGCTCCCCTGGCGCTCAGCCAGCACCCAGGAGCCAGGGTCCCCCAGCCCGTCCCCTCCCCGATGCGTCACTCACCACCTTGTTGATATCCAGGGCATGCTGAGGGTTCTCACCATCCAGCCGGGTCAGGGGCTTGGCCAGCGGCTGCCCAGGGCTGGGCAGGGCTGGCTCCTGCAAGGAGGGGGGAGACAGCACCTGAGCAGGTGCTGGTCTGTGCTGACCTGCTGGAGATAGCCCGGCGGAGCCCACGGGAGCACGCGCCCTGGGAGACGGAGAGCGGCTGGCGAGGAAAACCACCTTAGAAATGCATCTCAGTGGCTCTTTCTGATTAGAAAATTGATGCCCGTGCATGCAGAAAACTCAGAAAACATGCAAAAGGATAAAGAATAAAAAACCCATTACTATTTCCCTGCCAGTCGTGACCACAGTTGACATTTTAGCTTCTCTTTCCAGTCTTGCTTTTTTTTTTTTTCCCAAGATTTTATCTATTTATTTGACAGAGAGAGAAAGAGCGCAAGCAGGAGGAGCAGCAGAGGGAGAGGGAGAAGCAGGCTTCCCACTGAGCAGGGAGCCCAATGCGGGGCTCGATCCCAGGACCCCAGAATCATGACCTGAGCCGAAGGCAGAGGCTTCACTGCCTCAGCCTCCCAGGCGCCCCCTCCAGTCTCGCTTTCTACGCACAGATACCTACATCGCCCTCCCACACCTATTGTTGTTTTTAACAAAACTGGGATTCTACTCTATGTCCAGTTTGGAATCCTGCTTTTGTATCCAACACTGCAGCCTGGACACACGCTAATGACATGACTTCAACGGCAGGACGATGCTGCAGGGGTAACAAAGTTGTGGCATCACGGATCTCACTCTCAGTTGAGAGTGAGACGTTTGGCTTCAGGGGCTATTCTCCAAGCAGTGTGGCTGCACCCATCACCCCCGTGATAGGAGAGGATGGGTGGAGTGGGAAGAAGGAACAGGCCCAGCTTCTGCCTGGCAGGGCTAATATCTGGGGAGCCGTGGAGGTCCGCCAGGGAGAGCCGAGGTCTGGGGGCCCACCTGAAAGTTAGTGGAGATGAAGCTGGAGAACGGGAACTGGTCGATGTCGGGTGGGAGGGTCAGGCTGCTCCGGACCGGAACTTCAGGGGGCATGGACTCGGTGATGCTCCCAACCAAGGCATGGTGATGGCCTGGGGGAAGCGCCGAGAGGCAGCCCAGAAAGGCCGACATAAGGCACCCGGCTGTGGACCACCTCCACCCCTCATTACCCGCCCCCAGCCCTGGGGCAGAGGGAGCCCAGGGGAGCCCAGAGCATCACAGGGAGGGACCGCGGGGACAGACTGCACAGCAGAGAGATTGGGGGAGCGAGGGATCATGGTAAGAGGGACACCAACCAAAACCCACCTTCTGCTGTCTTTAGCATGACGGCCACCTCAGCGGGGATCTCCAAGCGCCCCAGCTCCTGGCAGAGAGGAGCGATCGACTATGTACTAAAGGAGGGGGTCCAGGGACCCAGTGTCCCTCCTCACCCCCAGGACCATAAACTTTTCCAAAGATCAAGGATTCTGATCCTGGACACAAATAGGACCCCAAGAGCCCTCAGAAGGAGACCGAGGGTGGCCCAGGCCTCTTCTTGGGGGGCCCAAGGGATGCACACCCAGGACCCCACACTCGTCCGCAAGCCATGCCAGTTTTGGGAGGCTCATAACCCAGTGGACACCCTTGAGCTTCCAGGCCACCTACCATGCTTGGCGCTGTCTTGGAGGCTGGGCCACTGTGCCAGCCACACCGAAGCCCAAGCTGCTGAGGGAGATGTGAGAGGAGCTGGTGCCCCAGTGAGGGGTCTCCGTGAACCTCCTGGCAGATCTTCTCCACCTCAGCAGTTCAGCTGCCCCCTCCGGCCCCCAGTGGAGAAACTAGCCCAGACCCAGAGGGGCCAGCTGCCTGCCGCCAGCCCTCCAGAGCCCTCACCGGCCGTTGCTGCCCGTCTGCAGGGGTGCTGGGGAGGAGGTAGGAAGAAACGGTCCCAGGGGACAAAGTCCAGCCAGGGAGGGGCCACAAAGAGGAGCAGTATGTGGGCGCTGACCTTTGAGCGGCTTTATGGCCCCCATGTTGGAGTCATCAGGCAAAAGAGGGAAGCAGGGGCGCCTGGGTGGCTCAGTCGTTAAGCGTCTGCCTTTGGCTCAGGTCATGATCCCAGGGTCCTGGGATCAAGCCCCGCATCAGGCTCCCTGCTCCACTGGAGGCCTGCTTCTCCCTCTCCCACTCCCCCTGCTTGTGTTCCCTCTCTCACTGTCTCTCTGTCAAATAAATAAATAAAATCTTTAAAAAAAAAAAAAAAAAAAGAGGGAAGCAGGCCGGCCCTGAGGAAGGTCTGGAGGGGATGGGAAGGCACCCCCGGCAGGCAGGGGAGACTCACACTCTGGAGGGTGGGCAGGGATGAAGGAAGTGACCTCCCGGAGGCCCCAGACTCCCCTGGCCAGGCAGCGGGAAATGGGAAGAGCTGGGCCAGCCGTGGTCTCTGAGCCCTCGGGCCTCGTGCGCTTGGGCCAGGAGTGACTCAGCTACGGTCTGGCCAACTTGGCCAGCAAGGCTGCCTGACTTCTCTACCCTGAGCTGCCAGGGGCAGCAGCCCCACCCAGACACTCACCTGCAATCTCTGTCGCCTCCGGAGCAGGGGCCGGGTCACCAGCAGGACGCTGTTCAGCTGTCCCAGAGCTGCCCGCTGCTGGAGGTATCGCTTCCTGGAGGCCGGGAAGGGGGTTGGGGAGGAGTTCGAGCTTAGAGCCGGTACCCAAACCCTCCAAGCCGAGACATGAATGTAGACACGGACCCCAGGCCGATGACCCCTAGGTCCTTAACAGAAGCCACAGGGAAAGGACAGGACAGCTTGAAAGAACAAGTACATTGAGAAGGGGTTTGGTACCGTGGATTACGGTCTCAGGCAGCAGAGCCGACCGCCGGGCTCATTTCCCACCCAGTTGGTCAGTGTGGTTGTGGGTAAGTCCCTTCCTCTTGGTTTTATTGTCCTCATCTGCGAAGTGAGGATCCGTGTAATCCCTGCCCCACCACAAGATGAAGTCAATTAATCGACATGTTGAGAAGTGTCTGGCGTATTTTTATTTAAGAAGCAAAACTTCTAAAAATGAAAAAATGCTATCACTGGAAATCTAATAAGAGATCACAAAAGAGATCATGTCTTTGAAAACTGTCCAGATAAAAGAAAGACAAGACTCCTCACGGAAGGAGCCCTGAGCAGGATTAAAATTTAAAAATAAGTATATAGCTTTGAGGCGGCCGGCTGGCTCAGTTGGTAGAGCATCTCGGGGTCGTGAGTTCAAGCTCCAAGTTGGGGGTAGAGTTTACTTAAAAAAAATAAATGTACAGCTTTTGTGCGAAGGACACCATCAAGAGCGTCAAAAGACAACCCATGGAATGGGAGAACATTTGCAAATTACGTATTTGATAAGAGTTTGATATCCAAGATGTATAAAGAACTCCCACAACTCAACAACAAGACAAACTATACAAACAAAAGGCAGACTGGGGACTTGACTAGACATCTCTCCAAGAAGATACACAACTGGCCAAGAAACACATGAGAAGATGCTCAACCTCGTTAGTCATTAGAGAAATGCAAATCAAAGCCACAATGACGTATGGCTTCATGCCCACTAGGATGGCTATCATTTAAAAAGTGGAAAATAAGGGTGCCTGGGTGGCTCAGTGGGTTAAACATCTGCTTTCAGCTCAGGTCATGACCTCAGGGTCCTGGGATTGAGTCCCGCATCGGGCTCCCTGCTCAGCAGGGAGTCTGCTTCTCCCTCTCCCACTCCCCCTGCTTGTGCACGTGTGTGCTCTCTCTCTCTCTCTCAAATGAAGAAATCTTTTTTTTTTTTAAGTGTTAAATAAGTGCCAGAAATGCTGTAGAGAAATTGGAAAACTGACACATGCTGGTGGGAGCGTAACTCCTCAAAAAACCAAACACAGAATTACCATATGACCCAGCAATTCCACTCCTTAGGTAAAGACCCAAAAGAACTGGAAGCAGAGAGCTGAACAGACATACTGGCACACTCGTGTTCCCGGCAGCTTTATTCGCAAGCACCAGAAAGTGGAAACAGTCCAAATGACCGCTGACAGATGAGTGGAGACACAAGGTGTGGTCTGCGCACCCAGGGGCAAAGAGAAGCGAAGTCTTGCCACCTTTTACTATATGGATGAACCTCATGAACGTTCCACTTAGTGCAGCGAGCCAGATGTAAGAGGAAATATTGTACGAGCCAACTCACATGGAATATCTGGAATAGGCAAATTCGTAGGGACAGAAAGTGGATGAGAGGTTCCTGGGGGCTGGAGGAAAGGCGAGCAGGGAATGATTGCGTGAGGGATCCAGTGTTTCTGCTGGTGATGACAACATTTTGGAAATAGAGTGTGGTGATGAGTGCCCTGTCTTGGAAGGCTCCCCTGGGGTCCATGGCACTGTCCTTACTTTGTTCTTAGCCCTTTACCACCCCCTTGGGGGTGACTGGTGGCTGGTTTACTGTCTGCACCTGACTCCCCAGTGCACCTGGGAGGCGCCACCTCTGCCTCCATCCCGGGGTCACCAGCGCTGGGCCCAGGGTAACGGAGAAGGTTGAGCCACAGCTATTGGGTGAAGCAGCACAGACATTCCCAACAAGCTGTGAAGGTGAATAGGCATTAATCACATGAGAAGGGGGAAGGAAGTGCTATAGGACCAAGAAGTCCAAAGAGCCTGGAGAATAAAAATCTGGCCTAGAGGCTGGAGAGATAGGCAGGGCCTCACACAGTCTGATAAAAGATTATTCTTGGGGCAGAGTGGAGAACAGACTAGAAAACACTCAGGTTCAGGTGGCCTGAGCAGATAGTGAGCTTCTTGTCCCTCGGGGTATTCAAGCAGAGGTTGCATGGGGATGCTGACAGGATGACCCCCGGGGCAGGTAGATTTCCTTGAGGCCCTACCCTTCCCACACCCCACCCCAGCACCTGGAGGAGGCCCCCAGTCTCACGCCACCCCTGCAGACCTGGCCTGAAGCCCTCGCGCCTGCGCCTGCATCCGCGGCAGGAGGAGGCCGCCGAGGTGCTGGAGGGGGATGCAGGTGTGCAGGCCGAGGTGCGGGCTGAGCAGGGCCTGGGAGCGTCGCCGGGCCCAGTGCTGCTCCAGCTGCTGCCAGCCCGGCTCCCGCAGCAGGACCTGGGGGCAGAGGTGAGGGTGCCCAGGCTGGCGGGGCCGAGGCCCACCCTGCTCTTCTCCTCAGGCCTCGGCCTCCTCCCTTCCGGCAGGACAACCGATTCTTGTGGGGAGCCCGGGACACCTGCCTCCCAGGCCCACTCCATCGCCTCCCCACCCAGAAGGACCCCTCCCCCCCATTCCTGAGTTTGTCCCGGAATGCTCCTCTCCCTCCCAGCCACGCCTGCCTCTCCGCACACACACCCACCTGGGTGGCCCCGAGGTGGCAGAGGGGTGACTCGGGCCCCAGCACCTGACTCAGGATGGCGCCACACCTCTCGCGGTCAGAGGACTCTCCCCGCGCCTCTGTGTCCAGGGCCCGGAACCTACCCCGAGGAGGGAGAAGCTGAGGTCAGAACAAGCACAGAGAGGACCTCCCTCCACGCCTGTTTGACACCCCCCGGCCCCTAAGCCATTCAACAACGATTTGCAGCGCACCTACTATGTGCCCGGCACCCAGCAGAGTTTTGCTGAGTGGCGGAGGGCCAGGTAGAGGCATGGGGGTGGTGCAGATAGTGAATAGGGAAGGAGAGGGACGGAGGGAGAGAGAGCAGTGAAAGGAGGCGGGCTGGAGGCCAGACCTGGGGTCCCGAGGAAAGTGGGCCCACCTCCGCCCTGAAGGAACCCCAGGTCTGCCAGCCACTCTGAGGGGCTGTCCTTGTGGGTCCCGGCCCGAGGTGCCTGGGCCCTCGGCTGCCTCCATCCTGGGACCCTACCTAGCCAGGAAGGCCTGGAAGGGCAGGCGCACAGGGAAGTTGGCACTGCGGGTACACACCGCCTCCAGGATGTTGGCCTGGCTCAGCTGCTCAGCCACGTGTCCCACGTCAAAGAGGCCCGGAAGCTGTGGCCACCAAACAGAGCCAGTGAGAGCTGGAGTCGGGGCGGGGCGGGGTGGCGGGGGGAGGGGTGCTGCTGAGCAGGGCAGGGCAGGTAGATGGGAAGGCTCTGGGGCCAGGTGCGGTGGGTCGGGGGAGCTCACCTTTCCTGGGTTGGGGTTGAGGCACTGAATGAAATAGACATGGCTCCTGATGGGAGGAAGGGGGGGGTCATGTGGGCGCAGACCAGCCCCCGAGTCCCTGGGGTCTCCTATGCGGGGGGCACTGTTCTCACCTGCCCAGCTGGGCTAGGAGGTCCTCCAGGGAATGCTGGAAGCAAGAGGCCAGTGTGGGTTTGCCTGGCCCAGCCCTGGACTGGCACTCTGCTTCCTGGAACGGGCTGCCCAGAAGCTGTGGGGCAAGAGGAGGCTGAGCTGGCTTGCTTCCCAGGCCCGTCCATAGCCCGTCCCCGGGGAGCCAGGGTGGGCCAGACCATGGCGTCCAGACCCCAGAAGCCTCAGCCCACGGTCCAAGGGGCAGGGGGACACAGTGTGGAGGGGTGGGGGGCACCTGGAGACGGCTCTGGGCAAGCATTTCCACCACGGCAGGGTCAAGATGATCCCGGTTTCTGTTTATAAATTTGTGAACCTGTAAGAGACAATGTGGGGAGTAGAGGGGGAGCCAAAGAGAGAAGACTGGGGTGGAGCCTGGTCCCTTTTGTCACATAATCCCGCCTCTCCCCACTGGGCTAAATAAAGGACCACCTTTGTCTCGTCAATTAACGGCTCTGAGAAAACTGGAAATCCCCATGCAAATGAATGAAGTTGGACTCTTATATCAGATATAAAAATTAACCCAAAATGAATGGATCAAAGACCTAAATTTAAGGCCTGGAACTCTAAAACTCTTAGAAGAAAACGTAGGAAAAAAGCTTCATGACATTGGACTTTGCAACGATTTCCTGAATAGGACACCAAAAGTATAGGCAACAGAAGAAAAATTAAACTGGATTTCATCAAAATTAAAGCTTTTCTGGGGCGCCTGGCTGGTTCAGGAACACATGCGACTCTTGATCTCTGGGTCATGAGTTCCAGCCCCACGTTGGGAGTAGAGATTACTTAAAAAAAATTTTTTTTTCTTGGGGCGCCGGGGTGACTCAGTCTGTTAAGCGTCTGCCTTTGGCTCAGGTCATGATCTCGGGATCCTGGGATTGAGCCCCGCATTGGGCCCCCTGCTCATTGGGGAGCCTATTTCTCTCCCTCTCCCTCTGTCCCTCCCCCCAGCTCATGCTCTCTCTCACTCTCTCTCAAATAAATAAAATCTTTAAAAAAATGTTTTCTTTTGTGAGCTTCAATATAGTTTTGTGGTTTTCTTTATTCAATCCCCTTGTGTGTATGGGTTTTTTTAGATGTGATTGGGGTTTTTTTGCGGGAGGGAACAGAGGTATAACTGATAAACCTTAGGTTTCTTGTTTGGGTAACTTCTGGGTGGTCTATATTTTCTTCTACAACCAAAACAGCTCACCTCCTCCAGGAAGCCTTATTGGACTTGCCCTACCTCAAACTAGCCATATGGTCCTACCCTTTATACCAGGTCCCCTCCCCTCAGCAGTTCTCCTCCTGGGTAGGTGTGTTGTCACCGTGAAACTCAGAAGGAGGAAAGGCGAGTCCCTTCAGTGAGCACCTTTATGTGCCAGGCACCTGCCTGACCACTTCCCCATTACTGCATTTAATCCTCACAAGTGTTATAGGACTCCCATTCCCATTTTACAGGTGGGAAAACATAGGCTCAGGAGGAGAAGCAGACAGCCAGAGGTTATCAGAGTCAGGTTTCCACGCCCCACACATATGCTCCTCCCCTCCTGGTCTTAAGGCTCCCAGTCTCATCTCCCTCTACCCCATGGTGCTCAGCCAGAACTCACTAAATCATGCTGGGAACTGTGTAGGAACAAGGGCATAGGTAGAAACATATGGTCAAGCCCCGGGAGGGGCCTCCCCTCACCTACTCCTCTTAGCTGTCAGGTGAGTCAGCTCTGGGGAGGGGACACCCGGGCCACATCACCCTCACTGATTCACCCAGGGGTCTGTCCCTGATTTACCCCAGTACCTGGTAGGTGACAGGCCCAGCGTAACGCCTCACGGTGAAGATCGGAAGGGGCAGCTGGGGCTTGGCGTAGCAGGGGTGATTGCCATGGTGATAGTGACACTTCTGGAGGAAGGTGTGGTCTGTGGCCTGATAAGAGGGACGAGCTTCCCTCAGGCCTTTGCACAAGATGTGCCCCTGCCCGGACCATGCATCCCTCCAGGGTCATCAATGAGTATTTGTGGAATGGGAGGACCACGGCCCCGAGGCTTGCTCCCTACTAGCTGGAGGCCCGAGGGACCACCACAAGCCCTGCATGAGCCCTGCGCAGTGCCCACCACCCTGCCCCTTCCGCAGCAAGGACTTGAGGAACCCCAGAGAGGTCAGGATCACCCAGAGACAGGATCTGAACCCAAGCTGTGCTGAGAAGCTACGCGCAGGGTTTCTGGCCCCCATCACCTGTGGCTCCTCTCGGAGGCCCTGCTGGCCCTGGCCTGGCCACCAGGGCCCCCACCGCTCGGGGCTCACCTGGGACAGCCATGTCTGGGCATCCAGGATACTCAGGAGGCTGTGGGGCTGGTCTATGAGGAGGTCCAGACAGGTGTCCCGCACAGGCTGGGGAACGGGCACCCAGGGCAGCAGCTCTCGCCGACAGGCCTCCTGGGAATAGCAGCACGGGGCCGGTTCCAAAGCACACCCGCGTTCGTGGGGGAGCTCACTGGACCCAGAGCAGGGATGGCCCTCCCATTGTCCAGATGAGTAAAATGAGGCCCAGAAGGGCTGAGATGGCCCATAGTGGGGCGGGGCGGGATGAGGGGCTTTGGGGCCGAGCTCGCAGTTCAGGGCCCTCTGTTTCCCAGGGATGGCCCCTGCTCGGGAAGGCCTGGGTGCCACCGGCCACCGCCAGGACCAGCGCCTCTCACCTGCTCCTGGGCCCGCAGCATCTGGCTGGAGAAGAGCTGCAGACGCTCGCTGGCGAGGTTACTGCACAGTTGTTCCAGGCCGTTCACCCGCAGGGCCTGGGGGCACCGGGGCAGCAAGGACGTGGGCACCCACACGGCAGGGGCATGGGGCGGGGGAGGGGGGGCTGCACACTGCCCTCCCAGAACTCAGGGAGGAGTGGGGCCCTGGGGCTGAGGCTGCAGCCCACAGGGTCAAGTCCAAAGGCCTCAGCCCACACCCCTCCCGCTGCCTCAGCATGACTGTGAGCCTTCAGGCCGCGGGTCACAGCCATCCTGGGGTCAGGAAGGCACGTCTTCCTATGACCCAGTAGCTTGCTGGCTATCGGAATCCCACATCCTCCTAAGCAGGGCTCCAGGCCGCTGCCTCCGAGAAGCCTTCCAGCATTCTTCCTGTAGGGATTACAGGTTCCTTCCTCTGCTCCCCAGCATGTTACTCGCAAACCCAGCAGAGCCCGCACGCCATGCGGCTTTGTACAGAGAGCTTTGACACACTCTGAAACACACACAGAGTGCACATGCGCACGCACACACACACTTGCCGTCATCCCCTCCCCCCTCGGAGAGGGCATAGTCACCAGGGGCAGGCTGGGGAGGAGAGAGCAGGGGACAGTGCCCATCCGGGAACGAGGGTGGAGGCCACCTTCTCTTGCTCAAGCCCCCTCCTCCCTTCCCTGAGGAAGTGGGATCTTCTAGAAAGGGGTTGAAAAGCTTATGAAAACTCAGGGCCGGGGCACCTGGGTGGCTCAGTCGTTGGGTGTCTGCCTTCGGCTCAGGTCATATCCCGGGGTCCTGGGATCGAGCCCCGCATCGGGCTCTCTGTCCGGCGGGGAGCCTGCTTCTCCCTCTCCCACTCTGCCTGCTTGTGTTCCCTCTCTCACTGTCTCTCTCTGTCAAATAAATAAATAAAATCTTTAAAAAAAAAAAAAAAGAAAACTCAGGGCCATTCAGGGGGCTGTCCCCTTTCCTGTTCCTCTTGGGGCATGGGAGGGGAGGCTGGGGGCTGATCTATCCTAGGGCCTCTGTCTTCCGCTGCCTTAGAGGCGTCCGTGAGGCTCTGTAAGGCCAAGCAGGACAGAACTCTCCAGAGGCGATGTCAGGGCTGGACAGAGTGGAGCAGAAAGGCTACCCCTGTGGGGTGTGCGCTGTCTCAGGGCTAGGCAGGCAGGCGCTCACGAGCGCCCCCCTCAGGCAGCGCTGACCCCAGAAATGATCAGGATGAGGTGGGCCACCCGTCCCAGGCCCTGCCCCAAGGGGCGACCGCAAAGCCGTAGACGTCCATGACAGTGACGTTATCCACGCTCTCTCCCTCCCCGGGAGCTGCCAGCTTCTCATTGCTCCTCGTCAGAAGCCAGGTGAAAAGCTGGGAACACAGAGCCTTGGCCAGGGCGTCCCTGTGGGCAGGGTGAGTGAGCCTGTGCCGTAGAGTGCCAGGCCCGGCTGCGGCTCCCTCCCGCCCCCAGGGCCACCTGGCATCAGTGGCGCTTTCCACCGGCAGAGACCTGCAGACGCAGCCATACGGTGTCTCCTGGGGGGCAGAGGAGGTAGGTACACGTGGAACAACAGGCCTGAGGCCCATGTGGGTGGCCCCGCCCCTGAGGAGCCCAGCGCTCACCGTGACCCTCCTGGTGACAGCCCCCTCTAGGCGTTCAGGTGGCACCACCAGCAGCCGGGCTGCCATGTGGATCTCAGCCCAGCTGGACACGGCAGCCACCTCCTGGGACTCCCGCTGGACAGAGAAGGGAGGGGGCGCGGAGACCTCTGCTGGGGATCGGCCACATCCCGCAGCCGGGTGCAGAGGAGGCAGGGCCTCGCTGCCCCGGGGGAGCTGCCCTGTTGCCCCAAGTTCGATCTGGGTGGGTGGGAGCCGACTCTGCAGCCTGGGGGCCCTGAGTTCGAGTCCTAATTACCCCTTCACTAGCTGGCCGCCTCTGGCGAGAGTCTTTCCCTCTCTGAGCCCCCACTGTCTCATTGTTTTTTAAGCAGGCTCCATGCCCAGCGTGGAGCCCAATGCGGGGCTTGAACTCACGACCCTGAGATCAAGACCTGAGCTGAGATCAAGAGTCAGACAGTTAACTGACTGAGCCGCCCTGGCGCCCCTCCACTGTCTCATTGTTAAAGGGCAAACAACAACCCTAAAGTTAGTTGTGGTGAGGACGGAATTAGGAAACATACAGAAAGTGATTTACACAGTGCCAGGTACATAATAACTGCTCAGTCAGTGCAGGTCTCCCTTGTGGGGTGGTGGCTTAGCGGAACCCACGCTGGCATAGATGATCCAGGCCTGTTTTCTCACCCATACGACAGGAATCTGCCCGCTCTCCAGGGCCGCTGTGGGGCCGTGGGGTAGCCCAGGGCTTGGTAATCTACCTACAAGTGTTTGGTATCGTTTCCGCCCTGATTATGCAAACAAGCCACTGCTGATCCAGCGTCCGAACCGGCCACAGCGGGAGCCCACCTCGGAAGAGGAGAAGCAAATGTTGCCCAGGTGCAGGATGGCGGCCAGCACAGCCCAGGCGGCGGTCACCTCCTTGGGGCACATGACCTGCAGGGCCTTCCACAGTCCTTCGAAGTCCTGGGCATCATCCTTGCCCTGGAGACTGCAGGCCTGGCCCTGCAGAGTACGAGGGGGGTGAGGGGACAGGGCCCGGCCGCCCAGAGCTCCCCTCTAGTCTGGCCACTCCTTAGACCCCCATGCCAAGACCTTTCCCTGGGCAAGCCCTGTCACCCAGCGCCGAGCGGGCCTTCCTTCCCCCACCTGGTTGAGGTAGTAGTAGGTCTCTGGCCCCTGTAGGGAGAGCTGCTCCCGTTCCGCAGGGTTGAGCCCCGCCAGCAACTCGTAAAAAACATGGAAGCTCCGCTCAGCCTGGGCCTTGGGGGAGAAGGACCGGCTTAGGGGGAGCAGTGGTCCGGTCCTGTGCCTCAGGGGAGCAAGGACAAGGCCTGGGAAAGGCAGGGATGGGGGGCTTAGCGACCACGACCCCCTACAGTGGCCCCTCCCCCTTTCCCATTCTGGGAGCTAGAGAGAGGGGAGCCTCGTTGGGGGGGGAGAGGTCTTACCTGAAACACCACCCTTGAGGTCTCAAGCAGATAATGTGACACAGAGGCTCCCACGATGACCCCGCTGTGGGCACAGGGCAGTGGGTGGGGGTGCCCAGGGTGCCTGAAACCTAGGGGCGCTGCTCAGAATGGGACCCACTAGGGGCTGGGCCCAAGGGCGGCAGCCTTGGGTTCCCAGGAAAGGGAACTGATCCTGAGTGCCCCCTGTGCCCGCCAGGACCCCCGTCACTCACTGCTGCAGGTGGAGGCAGAAGACCCGGCCGGAGCGGCTGGCGTTGGCATCGAGGACTGTCTTGGTGTGGCCAAAGCTGCTGAGTAGGAGGAGCACACCGTCCAGCTGGGTGGGGAGGAGCATTCAAGTATCCCTGGACGGCGGTGGAATCCACTGACCAGCCATCCCAGCTGAGGACACGTTGCGCCTGGGGGTTGTGTTCTTCCACGGACAGGGGCAGTCCCACCCCACCTCACCCTGCCCCACGATAGGCAGTGCCTGGGGCTGCCCCCAAGGAGAAGCCAGACGCCTGGAGACCACCCTCCGGGCCCAAAGGAGAAGGATGGTCCCTCTTGGATCCCCGGGAAAAGGCCAGCGCCTCCTCACTTGACATCTTCAGTCCCTTGCGTGTTCCTGCTCCAGGCTGCTTAGGGGCTGCACGACCTTTTGGGCAGCTTCTGTCTTCCCTGAGCCACTGTGCCCACTGCATGAGGGAGGGGCTGACAGGGTCTCCCGGAAGGGGCACACAGGACACCCCACGGAGCCCAGGAAGTGGGGTATGCCCGCCTGGAAGTGATACCAGCCCCCGCACCCCGGAAACATGGAGAGATAGACCCAGGGCATGCAGACCAAAGAGAAGTCTCCAAGATGCCACATTCAAGGGGCATGTGGATGACTTCAGCCAAGAGCACAGCCCTTACAAAGTCCAGCGCTGCTGCCCGGCAGTGGACCAGACCAGCAGCTTCAAATGCAGACCCCGTGGCCCCTGTCTCCCAGCCCTCAGAGTGGCCTGTGGGTTCCGTGGGGCACCACCACTCACCCAAGGAGAATGCACGTGCCCTGCCCAGTACTCCGAGACCGGCTATGGGCCGATACCACGATGGCCGAGATGTGTCTGAGGCAGGAGAGAAGGAAGCAAATGAGGAGGTTACCAGAGATGGGCTTCTGGGCCTTCCTAGGTGTAGGCAGGACCCTCAGTCCCCAGGATCTCGGTGAGTGGGACATGCTGGGGCTTAGCCACTCGGGGGGGAGCGGTGAGCAGAGGGCTGGTGGGGCTAAGTCACGTACCGGGTGGTGTTAGGGGCCTTCTTGGTGTGGTAGCTGGCCAGGACCTCAGCTGAGAAGAGAGGCAGGGGCCGGCGGGGGTTCAGAGAGAGCAGAAGAGGCCCTCCAAAGGTCTGGGGGAACACGGAGGAAGCAGGGGCTGCAGACAGAGTGGGGCTCCAGTGCTCCGCAGCCCGGCCCCCTGCCCCCACTCTGCAGCTCCCCAGCAAGGGTTCAGCACCCAGCCCAGGGAGGAGAAGGAAGAAGTTCTGGAAGTGCCAGAGGGCCCTCAGATCCCAGGGGACAGGGAATCCCAGCCCCTCAACCCTCCCCAGGTGCCCCCATACGTAGATTCGGCCCAGATGAAATCTCTTCTTGAGGCATCGCAGCACAGAGCCGTGACACACTGGTCTGTGGGGACAGCAGGAGAGCGGAGCAGGGAATCGGGGGCAGAAGGAGGTCCTGGGTTAGCGCGGCCACTGGCTGTAGAGATACTTTGGGCAAGTCATGCATCCTCTCTGGGCCCTGAGCATAACACAGGGCACGGCTGCTAAGTGAGGTACCCACTCCATGGGGCCTGCAAGCACCACCAGGCCGCTGACCAGAGGGAAGCTTTGTGCCAGTTAGGGAAGCAAGTCCCAGGCCGGGCACCTGATTTTCACGCCTCACCTGTCTCTTCCAGCCAGACCTTTGGTTAAAAAGTACAATCCCTTCTAAGGTTACAATTTATAAAAATGGAGGCAGGATGTGGCCCAGACAAGACAGATCTGGAACTACCCCCTGCTCACCGCAGCTGAGCCAGGTCCTCCGTGTCTCCCAGGCCTTCCCCAAGACTCCTGCCCTCAGCGCCCAATAAGGGCGGCCCCTCCACGCCCGGCCCCAGGCTCAGCTCCAGGTCCTCCTCCGTCTCATCCTCTGGCTCCCACCGCTCCCTCGGGGACCCGCAGGGGCCCGGGCTTCTCTCCCACAGCAGGCGGGTCTCCAAGGTGAGTCGGGGCAGCAGCGCGTCGTGCCAAGCCCAGGGTCCTCGCGGGGTTCTGAGCTCTGAGCCCAGTGGACCGGAGCCTCGGCCCCCAAGGTCTCGGGCTCCGCCTCGCTGCTGGAGCCGCTTTCGTCGAGTAGGGGCTCGTCGTGGGGAGTAGGGCCGAGCAGAGAGCCTCGGCGGGGCCCGGCCACATTTTCTCCACTCGCCCTGCGCCCCTCACTGTCCCCCGAAGCTCCTGCACAAGGCAAAAACGTGCCCCTCCCCGGGTGGGGCGTCCGTGGATGCTTCCTCTGAGCTCCGACTGCTCGACGCCCTCCCAGTCCTGTGGATCCTGGGGCTTGGAATCCGGAGTCGGATCCTCATCCTCAGAAGAGTCTCCGGGAGCTGAGCTCTTCGCAAACTGTGGGGAGCTCGAGTCGCCGCTAGGGGGAGCCCTGGGCCGTCCCGCCAGGCACAGCCCTTGCCGTCGCCGCAGTCCCGGCCCGTGACCCCGCCCCGCGGCCCCGCCCCCCGGCCCTCGCCGGCCGGCCGCCGCCGCCGCAGCTGCAGGCAGCGCAGGAGACCCAGGGCGCGCACTCCGCGCGGGAGCCTCTCCTTAAGGCCGGCGCGGCGGGGAGCCGGAGCCGCGGCCCGGGGAGCCGGGTTTGGCGGCGCTTTCGCGCGGAGCCTGCGGAGCGCCACGAGGGCGGCCAGCGGCGCTGGGGTTCCGGGCCCGTCCCGCTCTCCAGCCCCAGATTCGCTCTCGCCCGCCGCCACTTGCACTTTCCCCACCAGCTTTCCGTCCTGGCGGCGCCGAGTCCCGGCGGCCGAGGCCGAGGCCGAGGCTCTTCCAGGCTCGTCGCCCTGCGGCTCAGCCTCCGACCGCGCCTCATTGTCTGAGTCCCGGGCCGGCCTGGGGTCCCCGGAAGCCGGCGAGCTCCGGGAGACGCACGTGGGGCTGCCCTCGAGGGGGCTGGAGGCCTTGGCTTTTTTGCCCGGCTCAGTCTCTTCGGCTTCAGTGGCCCGGCTCGCAGTTCCTGGGGCTGCCCTTGGGCCCCCTCCCCGCCCGGCCCCCTCCAGGCTCGACTCCGTGCCTGTCCCGGAATCCTCGCTCTCTCCCCGGGGTCCCACCCCCGACGACCCTTCCCGGCTCCGGGGCTCAGGGCTGTCCCCGCCGTCGCTGCTCAGACCGTCGCTGCTGGGGCGCTCGCCGGGTTCCAGCGCTGGCTCCGACCCAGTTTGGGGGTCTCCCGAGCCCGTGTCCGTTTGCTCCGGCTTGGGCCGCAGCTCCGGGGCTCCACTGCTCTGGCTGTCGCTCTCCTGGGCCTCGCGGGCTTCGCTCTCCTGGCCAGAGCTGCCCCCGTCTCCACCTGACGCGTCCCCATCGAGGCGCCGGGTCTCTCGGCGGCCGTGCCGAGCCGGGTGTCTCCGCCCTTTTCCTCTCTTCCTGCGGCGGCAGAGCTCGCCGGTCCTCCCTTCTCCGGGGAGACTCTCTTCCTCCAGGCGCCCGCCACGGCCGTCCCGGTGCTTAGACCTGGGTCCCCGACACCGCGCGCGGCCTAGTCCCCGCTGGGCCTCCGCGGGCGGCCCAGCCGCTGGCCGTCTGCAGCCGCCGTTCCGCTCTGCGGTGGGCTTCTGGCGGCCACCAGGGGTCCCGTGGCTTCCCGAAGTGGAGGGCCCCAAGACTGGCCTGGCGCTGTGGGCCTTACCGCGACCCTGTCGCCGTTCCCGGCTAGGCGCGCCGTCTGCGCTGGCCGACCGGGACTCCTGCTCCCCGGAGGCCGGCCTCTCCGGCCTGTCCTGGCGCTGGGGCGCTTTGCCCTTGCTCCCGCCCATGGCGGGCTCAGTGAAGAGGGGCTTCCCGGTGTCTCTGTCCTCTCCGGGAAGATCTGGCAGCCCCTGGCGCCCTCAGCCCTTGGCAGCGCCCACACCGGTTGTGCCCTGGCAGGGCCTACAGGCTCAGTCTACCCCCCGGGGGCTCCAGCCTTACCCATGAGCATTAATAATGCAGGTAGCTGCGGGTCCTGACCCCCTAGGCCAACAAAGGAAGGGAGGCCGCCCAAGAAAGAGACGCTTCCGCAGGGGACAAAGGCCGAGGACAGGGCAACCGTGCCACCTGGGAGTGGCTGCCCGCCAGGTCAGCCTGGCACCCCGCCAAACTGAGGACCCACATGCTCTGCTCCTGTCTCACTGCTTGCCCAGTGGAGGGGGGCGGGCGGTGAGCCCTCCTTCAAAGAACCTGTCTGGACCATCCTGGGGGCTCTAAGGGTCACCCACTCCTTCCTTAGTTCTCTTGGACTCAATATCAATAAATAGCTAACATTTCAGGGCTTATGTGCCATGCACTGTTCTAAACACTTCACTATGGAGTCATTTAATTCTTTTTTTTTAAATATATTTTTAAAATTTTTATTTATTTGACAGAGAGAGAGCAAGAGCAGGAACACAAGCAGGGGGAGTGGGAGAGGGAGAGAAGCAGGCTTCCCGCTGAGCAGGGAGCCCAACACGAGGCTTGATCCCAGGACCCTGGGACCTTGACCTGAGCTGAAGGCAGATGCTTAACAACTGAGCCACCCAGGTGCCCTGGAGTCATTTAATTCTTGAAAGCGCACTAAGAGGTAGTACCCTAAGAATTCCCATTTTATGCCTGATATGACTGAGGCACACAGCTGAGTGTCACAGGGAGTGTGAGAAATGAGATGCCAACCCAGGCAGTCTGGCTCCCAAGGCCCTCTGGAGCATAGGTGTGAGGGACTGCCACCAGCAGCAAGCTGGACTTTCTCTGGCTCATTACAATGTATCCTGCAAGCTCTTGGGCAGACAGAGCTCGGTGCTCCTCTCCAGTCTCTTGCCTTCTTGGTGCCCTCCTCGCCTCCGGGTTGATCCAGGCCAGGTCTTGTAGCTCACTCAGCCGTGTGGGTGTGGCAGGCCTCAGGTCTCTTCCCAAGCAGCCTTACATTCAAATCTCCCCAAACCCTAGGAAAGGGATAAAGTCTCATTCTACAGAAGGGGAATCAGCTCAGAGGATAAGTGGCTTAAGGACACACAGCTAGAAAGTGAGGAACTGGGTACTAAACCCAGCTCCCTGGATCCTGAGGACCAGCTGTTCTGCTCCGCGGAGCTTCTGCTGGGAACCGGCTTTGGAACCAGACAGCCTTGGTACCCCTCCAAGCCCACCTCCTGGGTGTGTGACCTCCAGCAGCCTCCAGGGAACTCCGTGGACAAAGGACAGCAGGCGGAGAGGAGACCTCCCCCCACCTCTCCACCAAGCCCAGCCCTCGCCTCTGGCTCCTACTTGCCCCACCCATTCCTTCACCTGCTTTGCCCCTCGATTCTGTGTGAGTCCTCCTCCGACCATGCTCCTTCCTCCCTCCCTCCCTCCGGGCCCTCCCACCAGCCACAGTAACTTTCACCTCCCTTGCTTGGGTGTTAACGTGCTCTGCGATTTTATAGACTCTCATTTAATCCTTACCACCCTCCGAGGTAGGCCCTATTATTATGCCCTGTTTTATAGGTGAGTAAACTAAAGCACAAGGGTGACATCATCTACCCAAGGTCACACAGTGGGTCATGGGCAAAGCCAGTGTTTGAGGACTGGGTCTGCCTGCCTGACTTCCAAGTCTAAGTGAGCACCAAGTCTCCCACCTGTCAATGCTGAAGACCCTCAGATCCGAGTCTTCAGATTACGTGTCCAGCTGCCTGTGGAATGTCGGCAAGGGCCTTGGAGTCAGCGGTGACCTCTGCCACTCTCTCACCTTCTGGCAGAGGTCCTGTCAACTCAGCCTCTCAGTGTCTCCACCGTGTGGCTACCAGCACCCCTCCCTGGACGGAAGCTGCAGGGACCTCCAGCTCCTCTCTCCATGCCAGCCCAACTTCCATTAATCCACTTTCTAGACCATGCCAAACCCTTCCGCTTGTGCTCGCCTATCAATAAAAATTGTTGATCTCATTCTCCCGATTAGGAGAAGGTTTTTTAGAACCAAAATAGGCGAGCCACCAACACTAGCTAATACTATGATAGCACAGAGTACTTACGGCAAGGCTCGTCCTCAGCGAGCGTGGATGTAAATCCGTTTGCAGAGTCTGGGTATTTTCAGATGTGTGTATGGTGGTGGTCGGCTTCTGTTCAGTCTGGTTAGCTGGGTCATGGCTGTGGCCATGAGGCTCTCTGGGCCCTGGAGGTGCTTGGTGTGCCGTTTTCTTCTGATTTCTTGGTGCTTGCGTTCTTACCATGGTCTTCAATTCTTGGTTTCTTGGCAGGAAACTTCACGTCACTTGTCCATTTGTGTGAGTTATGTTAGCTGACTGGATAAAACAAGCAGTAAGTCCCTCTAAACGGGTGGTTTGAAAACCACACGAGTCCCCATAGCTGTGTGTGTGTGTGTGTGTGTGTGTCCAGCTTTCTGGGGTGTGATGTTCTCACTCCCTCCTTGGCACCCACTTTTGTTGCATAACCCTCTGACCTACAATAGTGAGGACCCAGTGTTAACTCAAGATGTAAACAGCAGGGATGCCTGGGTGGCTCAGTCGGTTAAGCCTCTGCCTTCCGCTCAGGTCATGATCCCAGGGTCCTGGGATCGAGTCCCACATAGGGCTCCTTGCTCAGCAGGGAGCCTACTTCTCTCTCTGCCTGCCGCTCCCCATGCTTGTGCTCTCTCTCTGATAAATAAATAAAAATTAAAAAAAAAAAAGATGTAAACAGCAGAGCTTAATTTCTTTTATGATAAAAATAAAGATCCTGTGCATCAAGCTGAAACATATTCTCCCTGACCCCAGCAGGACCCCGTGAACCTTGTGGACTCCCGTGAACCTCGCAACAGATCCCGAGGGGGTATGGTCATCATTCCATTCCCCAGAAGAAAGCGGGACGCACAGCAGGTGGGCAGTTTGCCTGAAGTCACACGAGTGGAGCTTGCTGGGATTTAAACCACAGGGGTCTTTGGAAGCATACATTTCGTAAAGGAACTTCCCTGCTTCAAGCCCCTCAGAGGCTTCCAGAGTCTCAGGATCAAGTCCAGGCTGTCCGACGGGGTATACAGCACTCTCCTCCTGTCTGTAGCTTTATCTTTTGATCTACCCAGCCTCCCTTCTCCACGACTTCTGGGACCGCTGTCTGTGTCCCTCTTCCCTTTGGGGAACTGTTCCTCTGCATTCCTTGTGGCTTTGGGGGCTACCTCAGTAAGCACCACCCCCACTCCTAAGGAGAACATGGGGGGCTGGAGTGGCCCAAGTTACACAACCCAGAGACTCTTGAGCTGCACATGCTTGGCTGGAGGGTGGTGGGTAGGATGCTCCCCCAGTGCATCCATCCTGGGCCCTGGACCTTGGCTCCTCCTCTGCCCTGTGTGCTGATCCAGGTCCTTCCAACAGGCCAGGTGAGCTCCTGTGCCACACAGCAGTGCCCCTGCCCTCCAGGCTCCAGGGGTCCCGGTCTGGCCCTGGCCATGGGGTGGTCTTGTTTCCAGCACACTTCCTGCCGACTCCCCTCCGCTCTTGGCCCGTTCCCGCAGCAAGCAGGCCGGTTCCTCGAGTGCTACCAGCCCTCTATCTGTGCAGAACGGCCCACCTAGCGCACCGTGGCCGTGCCCCTTTCCCAGCTTGACGTCTTTCACAGGCCCCTGGATTGCCTGCATCCTCAGACGTCCTGCCCTCGTTAGGACGGTGAGCCCCACAGGGCAGGGACCACGTTGTCTCGGCCGCCTCTGACCCCGTGTGCCCGGCATGTAGTAGATGCTCAGCAGACAGGTAAATGAAGCAGAACCAAGTAGACTAAACCCCTTTATAAGGACCAGAAGAGCAGTCTGATCTAGCCCCTCATCTGGGCACGGCCTCCGACCTCAGCAGCGGCTCACAGTCCTTCCCTGAAGTCTGGAAGAAGCCACCAGGTCTGAGATACTGTGTCTTCCCCTTCTGACAGCAAGGAAAGGCCAAAGGGGACTCCCTCGGTCCCGGCCCAGGGATGCAGTCACGCAGACTCGTGACGGTTAACTCTTGCCATTCATTCCCAAACACAGAGGTGTCAGCGTTCAGACACAACGAAGCACAGTTTGCTCTGACTCAAATGGCTTCCAAAAGGGATCCTCTGGACTACCGGCCTGGTCCGGCGACAGCACCCCAGGGCCAAAGGCAAGGGACCGGCTAACAATCATTTCCGTTTCCGCAGAAAATCTCTCCACGATTAAAAAGATTAGTCATTGGACCAGCTTGGTGAAGAGGTAATAAGGTGTTTATTAAAGACTCTTTTTCACCCAGAGGCAGTTAAAATTTATAATTTAAAACCCAGCCCACTACAAAAAGGGGAGGGAGTAAAAACTGTGCAACACTGACAAAAGAACCAAGACAGACAAGGCCCAGGAGCGGCAGCCCCGCGGCCCGGGGTCCCGCCTCTCCCGAGGCCAAGAGCAGCAGCGGGGTGGACACGGGTCGGCTCCAGCCCCTGGCGCAGCCCCGGGCACGGTCCTCGCAGGCGGGGCCGGGCCCCAAGGAGAGCCCTCAGTAGTGTGTGTTCGTCGCGCAGCCTGCACTCACGACCTGCTCACTCCGCTGCGGAACGAGAGAGAACAAGGGCGCAGGAGCCTCCCGGGCAGGCCAGCGGCCTCCGTCACCCACTCGGGGCCCAGACGCGGAGGTTTTCAGGACCCCCAGGGGCCCGTGAGGGCGCTCTCTCCTATCCCTGCGCATCAGGGGGTGGGCCCTCCCAGCTGCCCCCAGCCCTGCAGCAGTGCCCAGAGCCCCTACCTACCTCCCCCATTGCTGAGGCTATACCCCACGGCCATTTGCTGAGGACGCCAATTGCCGTAGCTCCTGCGTGGGCAAAGACAGGGCAGTCACCATCCGCGGGGACCTCGGGGAGGTCAGACAAGGACCCTCATTCCCAGAGAGCTCCTGGCACCTCACGGCCCACCCTGCAGGCCCAAGCAGTGACTCACCCTCGGTCTCCCTCCAGTGTGCTCTGGATCTCCTTCAGGACCCCTGCAGGAGTGAGCAACAGACCCGTGGTGAAGCCAGCAGAGGCTGGGCCAGACACAAACGTTTCTCCCCCTTCTCCTGGTGGGGTGTCGGATGGGTCCGCCCCCCTCAGGGTAATGGCCCTCAGTTCTACCCTGGCCTTCTAAGTCTCCCTTGGGACACACCCCTCATGCCAGCCCACCAACCCCTGCCCCAACTCACTCTCGTCATTGAGCAGAGCGTGCTCCATCACTGGGCCAGGACTTCTCTCTGGAAGACAGAGGCCAAGTCAGGCGAGCCCTGGGGCCTCCTCCGTCCCAGCTCCCTCTTTCCTGGAGTGGGAGTGCCAGAGCCCAGAGCTCAGGACTGGAAGGGATGCCGTTTCTACTCAGCCGCACACCACCTGCAGGCCTGGGGTTCCTTTCCCTCCCCTTGGGTCTGGGTCTGGGCCCAAGTATCACAATGCCTCTGTCCCCCCACACCCCTGGCCACAGGGAAGCCCATCTTACCCTCTCCATCACTCTGGCTCCCTGAGTTCCTGCGGGGAGAGAGATGGTGAGGACTGGGCGGGGGGGGGGGGGGGTGGTTTGGTGGCCTAGGCTCCCCATTGTGGCTCAGAAAGCCCTGATCCCATGAAGAATGAGGTCAACTGACCGGGCCTACCCTGAGCCAGGGTGGTGAACCAAGCTCTGCAGGGGGTGGCAGCTTGTGCAGGAGGGAGGGGCCTACGAAGTGGGGGTAGCGAGCCAGAGCCAGGAGGGTGGGCTTAGCTCACCGGGGAGGGGATTTCTGGCCTGCCCCCAGTGGGCACCTCAGGGAAGCACCCTGAGGCCACCTGGCCTTTTACTGACCTGGCTTGGCCCAAGGCCTTCTCTGGGCCTGATCCGTTGGGGGGGCGGCTGTGGCTCTTGGTCGAATCCACCAGACACCGGGGCTCAACCAGCCACTTGGTGGAGAGAGAGAAGCGCTCAAACTCTGAGGGTGAGATCAGGTAGAAACCTGGGCGGGAAGGAGGAGAGGTGCGGCAGGTGAGACCAGCCCCTGGCTCCTGCGCTTGGCAGCTGCCGACGGGACTTCCCTCCCTGGAGGCCTGAGGGGCCAGGGCCTCCCTCAGAGTCCTCTGCTGAGGTCTGTCCCGCCTGGCTGGCCGTCTCAGCAGCCCCTGGCAGACCCGCCTGCAGAGATCCCACCGCGCCTGCCCCATGCCCACCTTGGCCGTATTTGGTGAAGACGCAAGAGGCAATGCCGCTGACGTCCTCCCGGCGAATGCAGCTGTACCGCACCTGGGGCTTGAGCAGGGGCAGCGAGACCACCTGCACGTCGCCCAGGTTGGTGAGGACGGCCAGGTGGTGCTCCCCGTAGTCCTCGGCTCGACAGCTGCTGAAGTGGGCCACGCTGACCCGCCGCACCCGCGAGCCCTCCAGAGCGGTCAGCTTCAGCTTCAGCTTGGCACTCACCTTGGGCAGCGTGAACACCTGGGGGCAAGGGCATGGCTCGCAGCCCGGCCCGAGCACGGCTCGCAGCGCTCCGTCCAGCCAAGCGAAGACTTCTGGCTTCCTTGCCCGGTGCTGCCGCACGGCTAAGCTCCCTGGCAGATGCTCCCCCCCCCCCCCCCCACGCTTCCCAGAGAAGTCGGCTCCGTCTATGTGCCCCCCCCCCCCCCGGCCATGCTCAGCCACGCAACCACTGCACTTGGACTGCAAGGAGGCCAGGGCTCCTTATTGCCACGTCTGTGCTTTCTGTCCCTCCCATAGTCACAGGTCCGGCTTCAGCATCCCCTGTGCTGACCCAGGGGCCCAGGGGCTCCACCCTCTCCTTTTCTGTGCCTCAGTGGGCCTCCCTTGTGCACATCAACTGCAGATACAACTTCAAGGGGATCCCAGCTCCCGTCATTTGTGCCCAGGATCTGAGCTCCCCAGATGTCCCCGGGATTCCCGGGGGCCCCGCGTCCACCCAAGCAACACCTTGAACTGCTCCTCTGACACCACTAGCAGCTGGTGGCTTCCCTGCATGTCCGGGCTCTTTGACAGGTCATGTGCCACTTCCAAGGGCTCAGGAAGGGGCACGCTATGTCCGTCCAGCACCAGGATGCCCAGCACGGGCGCTCGGTGCATCAGCTGGATCTCCTTGGCTACGAGGCAAGAGGCAAGTGGTGGGTGCTGGTCAGGCGGAGGACAAGGCTAGAGAGAACCCCCACTCCAAACCCAGGCAGACGAGCACTCACCCTGCTCTGCCCGCACGGGCTCGTCCATTCTCCGCTCGGCGGGGGGCACGCGCAGGGCGAAGGCGTAGACGGTACCCCCATTGGTGCCAGCCCACAGCGAGGGGCAGTGGCGGGAGCCTGCCAGGAGGCAAAGGTTTACATCTAACCCACGGCTCTGGGCGTCGGGTGGAGCCCAGTGACCTGGGCTTACATCCTGGCCTTGCCACTCACTACCTGTGTGACTCCAAGGTCAAGTCAGCAAACCTTGTAAGCCTCAGCTTCCTTCTCTGTAAAATCGAATGGCTGTGGGTCCTGCCTACCTGCCTAGGGTGTAGACAGGAAAAGCTGGGAAGGCTGTCTGACAACCAAGGGCCCCATGCACAGATGATCTCAACCCCAGGACAGCTCGACCCTCAAGACCCAGCAGCAGATACCCCCTGCCCTGCCACCCTTGCCCTGGTGGGAGGCCAGCAGGGGAGCTTCTGCAGGGCCCACTGGACACCAGCAGGCATTTGACAGGGGGAGAAGCCGAGGCCCAGGTTAAGTGACATGTCCAAGGTCACACTTCTAGAGCGTGGTGCAGCCTGAGTACGAAGCCAGGGCAATCTGCCTTGGAGACCCAGGCAGGGGAAAGAAAGAGGCAGGTGGAGGATCCGGTCTCCCCATGCTCCCAAGCTGAAACCCCTCTTCGGGTCCTCCCAGTCAGGCCAGGCAGCAGCCTCCAACATGCCCTCTGGCTGAGGAGTGTTCTCCTGGGCCCCCCACCTCAGGCTGGCCACTCACTGTCCCTCAGATAGGTGTCAGCAAAGTAGAGGGTCCGGACGAATCCCGTGAAGGAATCCTCCGCCGAGCGAGCCTCGATCTTGCGTTGTACAGGTGCCAGCTCCATGTTCTGCACCCCCGTCCGCTCGGCCCTGGCGCCCCCCTCCTGCACCTGCAGTGGGTTGGGTCGGGCCTGAGGCGGCGGGCTCTGGCCTCCCCGTCCTGGGGATATCGGATCGCTCACCACCAATCCTTCATGCCACCACCCGTCTGATGATATTTACTAAGGACTTGATCCTTTACGCTTGGGGAAGCTGAGGCACAGAGATGCAGTGAGATGTATCTAAGGCCACATGGCTGGCGGGCAGGGAGGCAGGAGGCAGGAGACAGGAACCTACTTGGTGTGGCCCAAGCAAGTGCAGGAGGGAGGGCTAGCTGGGACCTGCTGAGGGCTGCTCAGAGCCCTCCTGGGCTCGTGGCTGGTCTCAGCCTCACCTCTCCAGGGGGACCAGCTGGTCGCCGCTTCCGGCTGGACACCCGGCTCCGACGTATCCGGCGGAAGGACTGGCGCAGGGACTTCTTCAGGGACTTCACACGGGACAGCGGGCCCTCCAAAGCTAGCTGGTCACTGGGGTGCAGCGTGCATCTGGGGACGAGGGAGGGGGGACACGTCCGGTCATCCGGGCTGCCAGGGCCCAAGGGTCACCGCCCAGCAGCAATCCTAGCTTCGGGCCCTGGCCGCCCTGGGCAGGCTGCTCACTTGACAAAGACCTGCTGCCGCTGCTGGTGGTCAAAAAGGCCAAAACCGTGGCTCGTGCCGAAGGCCACAAGCCGCCACTCGGAGTGCAAGGCCAAGGAGGTGACCACAGCTGGGGGCTGGCACTGCACCAGCACGAAGGGCTGGAAGCCGGGCTCGAAATGCACGGGCCCCGGGCGGGCACAGAGGCGCTCGTGGCCCTTCCAGCGGTAGCCCTCTTGGTCCTGCAGCAGGTCGGCCTCCACCTGCTCCACGGCATGCTCCGCCTCCTCGTCATTCAGTTCCAGCACCAGCACCTGCAGGAGACGGCAAGTGGGCTGAGTGACAGCCAGCACCAAGGAACAGTGGGACCTCAGGGACCCTGGGGGTGGACAGTAAAGGGCCCGGGACCCATGCCCAGTCCCCAGGCCTGAGGAGAGCCAGAAGGCCTCTGCCCAACCCCTGGCCCTTAGTCCTGGTTTCTGGCGGAGACACAGTCATCCCACAGGCCCGTCTCTAAGGGGACCAGGCAACCCCGATCCACAGGGAAAAGCCCAGAGCCACAGGAGCAGGTGATGGTCCTGGTGACACCACCCGTGGGCGCTCAGGAGACTGGCTCCTGTCCTTGCTGCCTCCCAATGCCTGGACACTGCCCAAAGTCACCTGGCCACTCCTCCTAGCTGTCCCCCCCCCCACCCCCCGGCCCAGCCTGCTACCTGCCCTGCCGTGCCCGCCACAGCCAGGTAGCCACTGTACTTGCAGAGGAAAATCTTCTGGATGCCTAGCCTGGGATCATCACTGTAGGGGTCGAAGGAGCCCACCTGACAACAGAGAGGAGGTCCACGGGTGGCCATAAGCGCCAGACCCAGCCTGTCCTTGCCCTCCCTGCTTTCCAGGCTCCTGGCCTCACCTTGCGGAGTGGGGGCCACTCGTCCTCGCCCTGGGCATTGAGGTTGTCGCTGGGGTCTGTGTCGGTGACGAACACCCGGACCGTGCTCAGTTTGTAAAGCAGTCGTAAGCAGACGCCGGAGGCATCCCAGAACCGCACTGTGCCATCCTCATGCCTACAGGCAGAGTCCACCTGCCAGTCACGAGGGAGGCTGGGCTGGGGGCGCCCGGGGCAGCCTGGGCCTGGCACGCACCCCGCTGGGCTCTGCTCCCGCCCCGCGCAGTCTACTGGGCAGGGGGAGGGTGCCGTGAATGTCGCCTACCCCGTGAGCAGCAGGTCCCTCTGGGGAGGGGCTGGGGCCAGGCTGGTGCCACCGTCAATGGGCCACTCCTAAAGGAGGACACCAAGAAGTCCGTGGGCGAGCTGGGCCCGAGGCGGGGCCGGGGCTGGTGCCGGACCTACCATGGTGGAGAAGTGTGTGTGCTGCTGGCTGCCCGCGGTGACGAGGCGCTCCCACAGCTTCAGGGGGATGTTGGAGACGTGGTGCGAGCAGGTGATGGCGGAGCAGTGCAGGGAGGCCAGGTAGGGGGGCTGCACTGGCGGCCAGCCGGCCGCCCGCAGGTCAATCACCACCAGCTCCTCCTCGGCCAGCACCACCAGGGCGTAGGGGTCGTCAAAGGCTGAGGGACAGGCGGGGGGTCAGAGGCTGCGGGAAGCAGTTTGCCCCAGCCCAGCCCCGTGGAGTCTGAAGCTCTAGGGCTGCACCCAGAGCACGTGGATTTTAAAAACAAGCTCCAGATCCAGCAACGTGGAGAACTACACACCACGACCAAGCACGATTTATCACAGGGGTGCGGGGCTGCCTCAAGATGTGAACATCAGGGCGCCTGGGTGGCTCAGTTGGTTAAGCGACTGCCTTCGGCTCAGGTCATGATCCTGGAGTCCCGGGATCGAGTCCCGCATCGGGCTCCCTGCTCGGCAGGGAGTCTGCTTCTCCCTCTGACCCTCACCCTTCTCCTTCTCTCTCTCTCTGTCATTCTCTCTCTCTCAAAAAAAAGAGATGTGAACATCAGTGAACGGAACCCATCACATCCCCAGGCTAAAGAAAAACACATGATCGTCTTGGTATATGCAGGAAAAGTATCTGACAGAACCTAATGCCCATTAATGATAAACTCTCAGTAAACTAGGATGAGGAGAACTTCCTCAACTTGGTAAAGATGACCTACCAAGAAGCTACAGCTTGTGTAACTTAATGGTGAGAAATGGGAGGCTTTCCCACTAAGACCAAGAATAAGGCAGATGGCCCCTCTCTCTGCATCTTTACAAGTCCTAGCTGATGCAGGAAGGCAAGACAAGGAAATAAAAGGTATACAGGTCAGAAAGAAAGAAAGAACGTTGTCTTTATTCACAGATGACGGGGTTGTCTCTGTAGAAAACCTGAAAGAATCGACCCTACTCCCGGTATCCTGCATCAGGTGCGCAGAGGGAAGGGGCTGGGGCAGAAGGAAAAGCAGGTTTGGAGTCTCCCTCCAAATGACCCGTGGTGGTGAGGCTGGGAGAATACGGCCCGGAGCGTGCCGAGCAGGCCCGAGCCCCTCACCTGGAGGCCGTGGCCTCGTCAGGCCAGACTCATGTGGAGGCGAGGCCCGCCCTCCTGGAAATCTCCTGCCAGGCCTCCTCTCCAGGTTTCTACATCAGCCCTTTCTGGTCTTGCCTGCACCAATTCATGAGGCTGACTCAGGGCTTTGCTGTCTTGGCCAGGTTCCAGGAGGCCGGCTCAGGGCAGGCCCCACACTGCACCCTCGGCCCCACCCCACAAACGGGAGGGCTTCACGTGCCCAAGTCAGGACCTCCTTGCCTCAGCCGGGTAGCTGTTCACCTGACAGCCCAGATCTGCCTTCTTCGGGCTAAGTCCCGTCAGAGCCAGGCGAGGGCAAAGAGAGCTCGGGGTGGGCGGGAGGCCTGGCCAGCAAGGACGAAGCCACAGGCCAGTGGGGGTAGGGGTGCGGTGGGGCTGCCGGACTCAGGCAGTGGCGGCCACCTCCCCACACCCCCCCGAGGCTAGCCCTCCACACCCACTCCCGAAGCCGCCTACCCGCCGCAGGGTCCGCCTCAGTGAGGACAGTGAAGTCGATGACACGGGAGGTGAAGTCGAAGGCTGTCTGCTGGCCATCGTGGACCACTGAGATGCAGTGGCGGTCCCCGTAGCTGGCCCGCGGCATGCCCCCCTGGAAGATGGTGAAGGGCAACCTGGCAGGCACAGAAGAGCCATGGGCTGGGCTGGGCTGGGCTGGGGCCCCCAACACCAGCACAGAGAGCCCCGGGCTGAGCTAGCAGCTTGGACTGTGCTGTGACCGGAGGGGCAGGGCCCGGGAGGGAAGCCAGTCTCCAGGTCAGCACTCACTCAAGGTCCCCAGGAGGGGTGGGGTGGACCCCCACCACTTCCTGATTGCAGTGACTCAGGAGAACTTGGGCGTGAGGTGGGGCGCACACAGGCTGTGGTTCCCGAGCCTCTGCTTCAAGCAGGACACCCCCCCACCGCCCCGCTCCTGCTCCTGCTTATACTTCGGATCTCCCTGTATGTTTCTGTTTGAAGAAACAGGTCTCCTGCTACAACAGAGTTTGAAACCTGCTGATGTGAACCATCCCTCTGGGAGGGTGGAGGGAAAGGTCAAGGATGTTTGCTCAGGAATTAGCCACGAGAGGTATGAATAGCCCGCTCGCCCTTCGCTGGCCTCTGAGACCCGGTGTGGGACCCAAGGCACTCCCCTGATGCAGCCTGCCGCGAGCAGAGGCCAGAGCAGCCCCCCGGGAAGGCTGCAGACCGGGAAGGGGACAGAGCACGGACACCTACCCCTGCCTGGTGGTCAGCCAGAAGATTTTGGTAATAGCTTTGCAAGGAAAAGGACCTACAAGAAAAGGAACCGGCTTGCATACACTTCTTATAGAGAATCTCAGATCGAACTTTTTTTTTTTTTTTTAAAGTAGGTCCCACACTGAAGCCCAACACCGGGCTTGAACTCACGACTCTGAGATCAAGACCTGGGCTGAGATCAAGAGTTGGATGCTTAAACTAACTGAGCCACCCAGGTGCCCCCCCCAAAAAGGAACCAGCTTGAATGGGGCCCTCCACTCCAGTGTCCACAGGGCACAGACCCTTCACACCCCCACCTGCACAGCAGACCTGTGCTCAGGAGTCCTGCTCTGGGCGGTGCCCGGAGAGAGCCATGACCGGTCACAGAAAACCCACCACGTGGCTCTGGACAAAGCCTTTACTTCTCGGGGCCCCGGTTTTGCTGCTGGGAGGTGGGCACCTACACCCAATCCCGGGAAGGACAGACCGGGAACAGAGGACACTGCTTTGCCAGAGGACAGGGGGTGCCCTGCGACGGGTCAGGGCCGGGCCCCCACGGGTGGGGAGCACTGACCATAGGGCACGCAGTTGCGCAGCGGCTCCGCTCGCTGGCTGTCGCTGGACACAGGCCACTGGCCGTAGCTGCCGTCGGAATGGCAGCTGACAATCAGGTGGCCGTCCCGCTGCCAGCAGACATTCTCCAGTTGCTTCAGAGGAGAGGGAGAGTGCGCAGGCCAGGATCAGGGTGTTGCTGCTGCCGCCGGCACCCCCAGGTCCCAGCACAGGGCTGTCCGCGAGAGCCACGTGGCATCCGCCCCCATCCCCGGCACGGCCTACCTGGCTGCTGAGGAAATGGCAGAGCACCCGGCGGCCCCGCAGGTCCCAGACGACGACGAGGCCCCGGCTGTAGCCGATGAGGACCTGGTTGGGGTCGCGGGGGTGTTCCTGCAGAGCTTCCACCATCTCAAACACCCGCCGGTGGCGGGCCTCCTCGGGCAACCTGGCGGAGGGAAGTGCGGTGAGGCTGTATTGTCGCCGCCGCCGGCAGGCAGGACCCACGGCGTGGCACAGGCGCGCACCGCGTGGATGGGCAGTGTGGGAAGATCACGGGGACACACCGTCAAGGGGGGAGCCATGCAGAGAACAGGACAGTGACAAACAGAAACCTAAGGATACAAACACATGGGACACCACTACAAGGAAAGGCAAGGGGGTGACTTCCGGAAGAGCCAATGTGGTGGCTACCTCCGGGGAGGGAGGAGCACGTGGGGGCTCCGGGGAGGCCGGCAAAGTTCTAGTTCTTTGCCCAGGGAGTGGCTGCGGGGAAGCTCACTTTACAAGAATCCACTAAACCGTACATTCATATTTACTGCATTTCTGCATAGAGGTGGTGTTTCATAATAAAAGTTTTTAAAACCCACAAAACAAAACTCTATGTGAGTTGGCCTGGCCTTGAGCTTTGATCCCTTCCTCCTTCTCTGGGCCTGGAATGCTGATGTTAAGTCCGGAGCTGCTGCAGCCAAAAGAGGACTATGAGGTGGCAGGTCGGCAGAGGACCCAGAGCCAACACCGCAGACCAGATGGAGTAGACAGGCAAACAGCCTGGACCCCCAGGGCATTTCTAGACACCCAACCAAGCCAAACCTCTTTTCATCTAGAACGAGGATTTAGATTGGTAGGAGGGGGTTCCCAGGGTACTCAGGCTGGGGGGGGGCCCCCAACTAGACTCCTACCAGCAGAGTGAGGTGGGCACTTGGCATGGCGACCTGTGAGGAGCAGGTCCTCCCGCGGCCCTGCCCACACACCTGCAAACAGTCCTGCTCTGACCATGGCCGTGATGCCCTGACTCTGCCCTCCCGAATGGGAAAGACAGAGGTTTGTGCTCAGAGGGACCCAGCCCCAAGCACAAAGCCTCCTGCCCCAGCCTGGACAGCAGGCCCTGAAGGACATGAGTGAGTTGGAAGACTGGTCCTTTCAGGAACAGGGTTCCACTGGCTCAAGCCTGAAGCAGCTTCACGTCTGAGGACTCTGGCCTCCTCTCCGTCCTATGAAACTGCAGAACATTCCACCATGGCTAATCCTTCATCTCCTCCTCCTTTGGGCCCCAGCACCTTCTCTCCACACCCAGACCTGATCTGACCCCCTCTCTGTTGCAGACATCACCATCATGGGACAAAGCCTCCAGAATGATCTAAAGAAGCCTACAGGGTCATGGCTGTCCAGGAGTTTGGGCCATGGGGCCTGCATGCAAGTGAAAACTCAGCACAGATTCCAAAGCATAAACCTCCCCAGAAGTTGCCCCACCTGACCCAGTGAGGTTCGGGCCTCATCTGCCCTGCTGTGGAGCCCCTGGGTTTTGAAATTCGTGGTAGCAGTGTGAAGAACACTGGACTAAGAATTGGCTGACAGTGCAAAATCATTTTGAACCTTACTTTCCTCACCTTTAAATGAAATGACAAGTTATCCCCAAGACCCGTTGGAGAGTTCTGGAACGCTAACACATTATGGGGTGAGAGTCTCCATTTAGGGGACAGGTGGGGAGCTGAGAGTCTCTCCTCCCATCCCTACAGACTTCCCAGGAGAGAAATTAGAAGCCCCTGAGATATTCCTGGGACAGAAGGGAGAAGGCCGTGGCCGGCTGGAAGGGCCGGCTTCCTGACGGCAAGGCGTCTGCAGGCTCACCGCTGGAGCACGGCGTCCGAGCTGATGGTCTGGTCCTCCAGCGTGCGGAAGGCCGGCAGCTGCACCACGAACACGTTCCCACTCTCGGTGCCCAGGTAGAGGAGCTCTCCGGAGGAATGCGGCAGGACCACGGTGATCTGTGTGGCACTGGGGGCAGCCCTGAGGATGGGAACGGCTGCCTGTGAGCTGGCTGCTACTCCGGCAGGGGAGGCCCCAGGGCTAGATCCCAGGACTCCTGGCTGCCCTCACCGGCCCCAGGAAAGGCCATGCCTCGGGGAAGGCAGGCCCGTGAGGTCCTTTAATGGGGTCCGATGGTTGTCCCGGGCCAGGATAAATATATTGATTACTTTCAGCCAAGACAGAAGACAGAGGGTGGAGGGCTTGGGCTAGGAGGCAGACCCCCCCCCCCCCCCCGGCCCCCAGAGCCTCCTACGCAGACGCCGCGTGGGGATGGAGGGAGGCAGGCCGCAGCCCCACCCGCTCCGCCAGAGCACCTGCAGGTGGGGATGCGTCGGCTCAAGCAACTGCCAGGCCCCCCAAGGGCGCCACAGGACCTTTACAGGGTGGTTCCACCCTGGAGCTGGGTGTGCAGGTCAGGCTGGCTGGGAGAGGACGGGCACCGAGTCCTTACCCGGGGGGACCACGCAGTGTGAAACTCTCATCTTCCTGTAGCTCTGACACGCTGCCTTTGACCTTCAGGCTCCACAGGTGCAGGCTGTTGTCATCCAGCAGGGTGACTAGCTGGCACTAGGAAGGGAATGGCTCAGGAACCAGGAGCATGCTGTCTCATCAGCTATGGAGGGGCCAGCATTCACCATGGCCTCTCACCCCCGGGTGGCCCACCCTGCGCCAGTTGATTCAGAGAGCCCCAGAACCGAAAGACCCCTGGTTACTCTTAGGGTGGTCCATGAACCTATAGCTGGGAAAAGGGGGGTGGTCCCCGGCCCGATCAGACCCAATCCAGGGCCACCAAATGCCTGCCTCTGTACTTCCCTGCTGGGGGACGTGAGAGTAAGGGGGCGTGGAAGGCCCCTTACCTGGCCGGGTAGGAAGTGGATCTGTACCACAGCGTTGTTCTCCCGGTGCAGCCCCATGAACTCCACCCCAGGGGCACCATAGCTGCAAGCGGCAGGCTCAGGAAAAGCTCCGGAAGGCAGGACACCACCCCCTCCCGCTCAAGGGCCAGGACCTCTGGGCCCACGTGGCAAGGAATATAAATACCTAGCAACACAGACGGGCTCTCCCTCCCCCCAGTTGGCCCCAGGGCGGGAGGGGGGGGCGGGAAAGCAGTGGCCCTGGCCTGAAGGCACGTGCTGCAGGGTGATGTGACCCCGAGGGGGAGCCAGCTCCAACCAGGGAGAGCTTTTATAGCCAGGCAGGTGGGGGTGCCACCTACTCTGGCAAGGGCCGGACTGCTTTCTACACCCTCCCCCTGCCCCCACTACCTGAGCCGCAACAGACCCAGCAGCTACCACAAGGTGGCACCTGAGAAGAGACAGGGCACCCCCCTGGGCCCGCCCCCAGCAGCTATGGCCATGAGTCTCTGCACCGGGGACTGGGAACCAGGGGCAATGATTATAACCAGCTAAGAGCACGCTCTGTGCAGCCTCGGCCCCGCCTGCCCCGCTGTGCTGTGGCAGAGGACCGGGATGGAGGCACAGCTTCCCCTGAGGAGGGTCCCCCCATCTCCCAATTCTCCCAGGTGCCACCCTGGCTCACTCTAGGAACTCGGGTGGGATATGGGGGTGGGGGAGCTCCCAGACTTGTAGTTCAGGCCAGCCCGAGGACCCAAGCAGTGATCCTCCATCCTGGAACCCGCGGGCTTGCCTCTGAAATAGCCCAGAACCAATGCTTTGGATAGAGGATGACCCCATTGGGCCATGTCCAGCCCGAGGCCAGGGAAGGGCTGTCCATGCCAACCAGGAGTCCACTCTCTCTGGTGTGCCTGTGTAGACACAGGGGGCGTGCATGGTGGGGCAGAATCTGGAAGCCTTAGCACTGTTCCTCCCACCCAAGGCCACCCTGGTTTGGAGAGCACCCTGGGACCAGTCTACTAACTGGGAGAAAGGGAAAAAAAAAAAACAAACCCAACCTGCCTCCACTCACTGCATCCACGGCTGACTCCCAAGAGGGTATGTGGACCATCCCAGGAACAGGAGGGGTCATCTACAACCTGCTTTCCTTTGAATCCCACCAATGCCAGGGCCCCCGCCCCTTCCAGCTCCCCCTCCCCCACCCGGCTGGGAGCTGGGGGAATGGAAAGGATACAGCTTGACGGCTCCCGAGCGGGTGCCGATGGCCAGGATGCGCAGAGACAGGCTGTAGCCGAGGGCGCTGGGCTGGTGTGGGAAGCCGTGCTCCACCGTCTGCAATGAGAAGCACTCAGCACAGACCTGCAGATGTGTCCCCTCCGCCCCGCGCAGCTGGGGAGCCAGCACGGGACAGAGGAGTTGCAGCAGAGCCGCCCCAGCAGGAAGGAGCACGTCGGTCATGTCCAGGTTCCTGCCTAGATGCCTGAGTACAGAGCCAATCCCAGACCCATTTCTGACCCGGTCCTTGGCCTTGCGGCCATCCCTGGGACACACTCTCCCCTGACACCACACTGGCCACGCGTTCTCCAGGAACTCTAACCTGGTTCCTCCACCACCCACACTATGGGTGACTGACCCAGTCCTCCTGCAGGGGTATGGGGGCAAGGGAAGCTTTGGGGGGCTGGCACAGTGTTGGACCAGAATGCTCAGGAAGCCTGGCTGTACCGCAGTCCTGGGCCAGTGCTTACGGGAGGACAGAACCCACAGCAGCCTTCCCTGACTCTTGGCCGTCCGAGGCTCCTCCAGCCCTGAACATCTGTACCTCTGTTACCGAGAGTTCTCCACTATCCTTCCAGAGAAGGTTCTGGAGTTTTGTTGCAGACACTCGCTTTTGCTCATTTCTTACTATAGAAGTAATACACATTGTAGACAACTTGGAACATATGAAGAAGTTTGAAAAACGAAACAAAAATCACCCATACCCCCACAACCAGAAGTGACCCTTGCTAGCATCTTGGTGTGAGTCTTTGTGTTGTGACCGTATACTTGTGTGTCTTCACTTAATAGAGAGAGCTGATTGGGGTCGTGCCCCACGGCTATGTGCATACACGCAGAGCTACGTAGCCTGTCTGCCCACCCACAGCCAGCCCAAGTTGTCCAAAGCACTGAAGTGACTTTTAAGTGGCTAAGGAGGGGAGCCTGGGGGGCTCAGTCTGTTAAGCATCCAACTCTTAATTCTGGCTCAGGTCTTGATCTCAGGATCGTGAGATCGAGCCCTGCGTAGGGCTCTGCACTCAGCGGGGAGTCTGCTTGGGATTCTCTCTCCCTCCCTCTCCCTTTGCCCCCACCCCCACCCAAACCCCCCTGCACAGGTGCTTCATCTCCCTCTCAAATAAATAAATCTGAAAATAAAATAAAATAAAATAAACAGCTAAGGAATGTTCCCTGTGTCAAGGCGTCTGAACTCGCCAGGCTTTTGTTGGTGAACACTTTGTTTCTACAGGGTTTACCATTGCCAATTGCATTGATGACCTTCCTTGGACTCCTCTTGTCTTTGCCTGCAACTCAGTATTTCCTTAGGTGGATGTCCCAGTGGTGGAATTACAAGCTTAAAAGGTATGGATGTATATACTACAGACTTGGACTGATAAACTACCTTCGGGAAGGTTGTGGTTGTTTCTTGTTCAGAGCTCCCCGCCCCCCGCCTCCCACCCCAGGGGATACGGAACCTGCAGAGCTAGATCAGAGCAGGGCAAAGGATGCCAGCCAGATGCTTTACACTTTTTTTTTTTTTTTTAAAACAATGAAGGCTCTACCCTGCAGGAAAAAGGTTGCACAAATGAGGCAGCTTTCCTTAGGCCCAGGGCTCTCCTCTGGGCTTCCCTTGGCTGTCCCATCAGGCCCAAAGGAGCAGAGACAGAAGTGCCAGTGGGCACGACAGTTTAGCAATCCCAACTGCCAGTTGTTGGCTTGTCTGGCCCAGTCCAGCAGCTCACAGGAGGAGGCCCTGAGGTGGGGTCAGCCAGGGAAGAGAGCTCCAAAGAATGCTATTCTGGGGACACATAGGTGTAAGCCCACCTCCCCCCCACCCCACCCCACCCCACTCCACTCCCCCGCCAGCTCTTTGCCAGGAACTAGTCTGCCTTAGAAATGGCTATACCTGGAAGGGACAGACTGGAGAGCAGGAGTGACCCAGCAGGAACCCCCCTGGCCAGCCCAGGTCCCTGTTCAGCTATGTAAAAAATGCAGCGCCTGGAAAAGTCTTGGGGAGATAGCACAGTGTCTGGAATGTAAACATTTCCCAGGAAAAGGAGGGCAGGGCACGTGATGGTGTGTGTGGGGACCAGATCCCCCAGGGCCCCTGGGTAGGCCTCAGCCAGCCTCAGGTTGCTGGGGCCTCAGCAAGTCAGCAGCCAGCCAGGGCCCAAGAAAAGTTTCCTGGGATGGTGGCATTTTTCTCTCATCCCAGTCGGCAGCAGCGTGGGGTCAAAGCCTCTGGAATTTGGAAGGGTCTGGGGAAAATGTCCTGCAGGAAGGAGCCCTGTGTCCAGGAGGAGACCCAAGCCCTGGGTTGCCCAGTGTGGCAGCTTTGAGCCGCGTAGAGATACTGAGCACCCTGAATAAATAAAATCTTAAAAAAAAAAAAAATACAGGGCGCCTGGGTGGCTCAGTCGGTTAAGTGACTGCCTTCGGCTCAGGTCATGATCCTGGAGTCCCTGGATCGAGTCCTGCATTTGGCTCCCTGCTCAGCAGGGAGTCTGCTTCTCCCTCTGACCCTCCCCCCTCTCATGTGCTCTCTCTCTCATTCTCTCTCTCTCAAATAAATAAAAAATCTTAAAAAAAAAAACCAAACACCTAGAAAAACCCTCATTAATTTCTATTGACTACATGTTGAAACAGTAATATTTTGGATATATTGGATTAAAATATATTACCAAAGTTAATTTCACTCATCTAAAATAGGTAATGCAGTTGCTAGAATGTTTTAAATTACATACGTGGCTCATACCATAGTCCTATTGGATCGAGGCGTTGCCCTCAGGACGATTCTGCCTCAGGACAGCGGCAAGAGAATCAAGCCAAAGAGAAAACAGAGTGCAGCTTTCTCTTTCTGTCAGGCTCTCAGGCCACACACTATCTACCAACTCCCTGGCAGGAAGTTCTCCTAATATCCCACCCGAGTCACTCCTATTACAGGTTGGCCTCTTCTCTGAAACTGCTCTGGACAAAGGCTGGGCCCATCCTTCAATCTCTTGTACTTACTCCTATTTCCTTCAGGGTCCTGGGGACACCGCCACCACCCTGACTCTCATCCCCACCTTCTTTTCCATAGGCTGGTTTAGGAAGAACGGGGACTGAGTCAGGCCCAGTAGGCTCTGAATGCCCCCTCTGCCACTTAAAATGCCTTGGGACTTGGGTGAGTTCCTCTGCCTCTCTGAGCCTCATTTCACATCTGATCAATGGGATGATACCAATGACTGCATGGAGCAGGGCCGCCCGCAGCTTGAACGCCAACCTCTAGAAGACCACCCACCATCAGGCTCAGCTGGAAGGCTCAGCTCACCGCCACCACCACCCCCCCCGCCCCCCCAGCGCACAGGCCTTGCCGCACACAGCCTGCCTGCCTTCTAAAGGTCTCCATCATTCAGGCATCTTCATCAGCGGACCATGGCTCCCTCAAGAACAACATGAGGGGAGGAAATGTCGTGGTGCCCTTACCTGGCCAGGGGCCAAGAGAGTGGGTTCAAATGTAATTAGTGTGGTGACGGGGATTCCCCAGGTCTGGGGAGGGGTGCGGGGTGCGGGGCGGAGAGGTGGACATGCAAATAAGGCCCACAAATCCTCAAATGAGGCAGTTATGATCCGGTAGGAGGCCGCAAACCTGCCTGAAGGCTGAGGGAGGAGGTGTGGCGGCCCCAGGCCAGTTACAGGACGCCCAGGGGTCATGTTGGGAATGGGAAGGAAGGGATTTGGATTTGGGAAGAGGACAGAGGTCAACTAGGGAGGAGCCACAGAAACCCAGAGCAGCCTGGGGAAGCGGGAAGGTTCTGCAAGGCACCCCTGGCCTGTGTTCCAGCTGTCCTCCCAACCTCAGATGTCCTCCCTGTTCCTTGGTTGTCCCATCCTCCAACTTCTAACAGCCTTTAAAGACTCAGCCCCCCCACTGGAGTATGAGGTCCACATGGGGCACAAGAAGTGGGCTCAGCCCCAGGGGTGCCCTGCTGTGGGACTTCTAAGGCTCACAGCAGCCCCGAATCATCCCTCCACCCAGGACAGCGGGTGGGGTGGGGGCTCAGCCTAGGACAGCAGAGCCTCCAGCTCAGAGTCAAGCTAGGAGGTTACCCAATGCCTGACCACCACTGGGACCAGCCTCCCCTACGTCCTGAGCTCATCATCCAGCCTACCTGGCCCTGCCCTCACCCTGCTACCTGGCTCAGGTAACCTCTGCCAAGGGAGGAGAGAACAATGAACTCTTTTGACAGGAACTGGGAAAGGAGAGATTTGCAGGAGCTGCCAAAGTGCAACATTAGCCTGGTGCAGGAAAGAAAGCCCTGTCTGTCTCATGCTGGCTCCAGGACCCCATTGCAGGTTCTCGGAAAGGAGAGAGCAAAGGTTGTTGGTCAGAGACAGTGGGGGCCCTTCATCTTGCCCTCAGCGAGGGAGGATGCCGGCCAAGATCCAGGGCTGAGGAGTCCCTAGCCCTTGCTGGGGGGCTGGAAAGAGGGCTGCCTGGGGCCGGAGGGGGCATGCCCAGCTGCTGGGCTGGGTGGCACTGCCCTATACTGGGTGTGGTCAGCTCAGATTCCTGGTGGTGGCAGCAACCTGGCCCTCCCTGTGTGGCTGTCACCTGACACCAGGGGACCAGCCACAAAAAGCCAAGACAAAACAACCTGGTCCTGGACAGGGGTGGCCAGTCAGGAACACACTGTTCGGAGCCTGGGGGTAAGCAGAGCGTGGGCGGGCTGGACAGGAAGGGCCCAGAGCCTTTAATTAACTGGCTGGTTTCACCAGGGGAGGGAGCTGCCGCAAGGGATTTCTGAGGAAGGAGTTTTACTGTGGCGTGAGTTTCCGTCCCCTTGAAATCACTTCCTCTCCACTGAGATGTCCAGTGGGTTCCACAGTCCCCTCATCTGGTCACCAATGGCTCAGAAGACTACTTCATAGGCAATCAAACTGAGGCTCAGGAGGTGAGGTCACCACCCTCAGAGTGCAGCTGGTGGGTAGATGGGGCCGGGAGCCCCTCCTCCGGCTGGCGCCACCACGCACCATATGCTCAGGCTACGTGAGCCCTGGAGGCCTCAGCTTTCTTACCTGCAGAATGGGAATGCCACCTGGGTGTGAGGCACCACGAAAGCCAGGTAAGGTACCAACTGGGTGCCAGGTGCCATTCCAAGCAACTTTGTTTTGCACACCAACCTGGATGTGGAGACCATGAGGACACCCGCTTCACAGATGAGGGAACTGAGGAGCGGAGAGGCTCAGTAACATGTCCGCAGTCACTCAGCGAGAAGGCGCACAGCTGACTCTAGCGTCCCTGCCCTGACCGCCGCACTCCCTGGCCCCTTTGCTGTTTGGCAGAGGGTTCAGGGAATCAGTCTGTCTACAGACACAGTTCCTTCCCAGGGACCACTGGTCCAGTCTGGACACTGCTTGCTTCACTAGCTGCGGGCACCCTTCCCAGGGCTGACCTTCACCTACATGTGAATGACACCTTCACGGACAGGCTCCAGCTCTGTATATCCCACTGTCTGCGAAGACCCAGGGATTCCAAGGCTCCCCAAACTCAAACTTGAGGCTAAATAATGCCCACAGAGCTGTGCTCCGAATCTGTGGCCGCCAGCCACGCACAGCCTTTCAACTTAGACCTTAACTCATGTAAGCCTGACACCAACTCAATGGGGTCGCTTCCACATCTTTTTTTTTTTTTTAACGATTTTACTTACTTATTTGTCAGATGGAGAGCGAGAGCACAAGCAGGGGGAGTGGCGGAGAGCGAGAGCACAAGCAGGGGGAGTGGCAGGCAGAGGGAGAAGCACACTCCACCCCCCACCGAACAGGGAGCCCGAGGCAGGATTCGATCCCAGGACGCTGGGATCATGACCTGAGCTGAAGGCAGACGCCTCACCAACTGAGCCACCAGGCGCCCAGCTTCTATTGCCTTGTGGAGATGCGTGACTTGCCCAAGGTCACCCAGCTGGCGAACCTCGGCAGTCAGTTCTGGGGTTGATGGTGCCACTAACCAAACCCCGGGCTGCACCACCTGCCGATCAATGGAGACCATCGCTGCTGCTCTTCTGTCCAAATCAAACGCATCACTTTCCCTTTCACCCACTCCTCACCTCTCCTGGGCTTCCCCCTCCCAGGATGGAGCCTCCACAGTCGTGCTGGACACACACTTCCCCTCCCTGCCCCCCTCACTCCTACATCCCCATCTAGCACCAGGCCTCATGCCCTAAATAGTTCTCTAATCCAGGGGTCCTCGGCCAGGGGCCACTGGGCAGCGTCTGGAGACGTTTCTGGCTGTACATCTTGGGAAGGTAGGCCCAGCGATGCTGTTCAACATCCTCACCACACGGCCAGCCCCAAATGTCAACAGTGAGAAGGCTGAGAAACCCTGTCCTATTTGTGCCCTGCACCCCACCCCACTGCCTGGGACTCATCCAATCCCTGCAATGCTCCCCTTGAAAAACAAAAATTAAAAAAGTTATTTTGCAAACTGGAAACGGGATCGCTCATTCCCCGGCTCAAAACCCACCATAGCTAGCTATGGCGTGTCAGGCCCCAGACTCCCAGGTTCCTGGCTCCCTCGAGCTGACTCCAGTGAAGCCTGGTGCGGGGGAGGGGCTGGCATGGGTGGGACCGCCCAGGTTTCTAAATAGTCCAGGATCTGGCCTCATCCCCCAATCCCAACCCTTCAGGCTCCACATTCACTCAGTGTCCAGGTGAGACCAAACCGGCCCACCTCCTTTCCCTCCCTCCCCTTCCTCCTTTCTACTCCCAGGAAGTGGCATTTCAGACCCTCAGCCCCCTCCCTCCTTCTAGACTATAAAAGTCCTGGAGGGCAAAGATCTTATCGGAGATCCCACAGCCCCAGCCCTGGGTTGTCTTTCAGTAGGTGCTCAATGCAGGTTTCTAGCAAATGAATGGAAGGAGGAAGGAATTCCAGGAGCTTCCCCTCCCTCCAGCCATCCCTAGGGGTGGGGCAGCCAAGTTTGGGGTCCACCAGTTGTGGGGCATGGGGGGGGATGATTCCTCTGCCCCAGCCCCACCCCAGCCCCACCCTGCTGCACAGTTGGAACTTAGGGCAGGGGTTCCTCCCTCTGCTGAGCCTGTCTATCCGGTTTCTACTGGAATTGGCCACCTTTTTGGGGTGTGAGATCTCTCGGTGTCATCAGGGGCAATGGAGGCACATAGGGGTCACCCCAGCCCCCAGGTGAGTGCTGAGGTTCTGAGACCGACACCCATGTGTTACTCCCTTGGAACCAATGGCGGCAGGCACCCAGGGGCTCCCGAGATCTCCCATTCCCAACACTTGCATCCATTTCCCGAGGTCCAAAGATCCTGCCCACAGCTTCCTTCTGCCAGTGGGAGGAGGTGCTCATTCAGGGAAGCCCTCATCCCACAGGCGAGTGGCCTCAGCAAAGCTCCGTCACCACATCTGCCACAGGCCAAGAAAATCAGGGGAAAACGGCAGGGCGCCTCCACCCTCCTCACACAAGCCCCTGGGAGCTCTCTCTCTCCCTGGGGCGCAGCCCCTGAGAATGGCAGCTAGTGCTCCTAGACCACAAATTATCTAACTCCATACAAGCCTTGTAACAAGCCTACGCTGTGGGCGATGGGCACAGGGTCACCCAACATCTAAGCAGCCAAGCTGGAGGGGAAGCATGTCCTGGAGGGGTCCCTGGGCCCCCGAGGAGCAGAGCACCGTGGTGCTCCGCTTCCTGCAGTCCACCTTCGGGGGCAGAGGGAAGTTTGGGCATGCAGGCCACGGGCCTAGATCAAAGCCGCCGTAAGACACGCTAATTACCCCGAAACGGCGGCAGATTGCTAGGTGGCTGCAGAGCTAATAAACCGCGTTGCGCTCCTCCTGTTTATAGGCCAGCTCTGGCCTTCTCAGGCTCCGGCCACCGTGAGGAAGCTAGTGGAGCTTCTGGGGCCCTCCCCGTCATCTCGGGGGACAGGTCTCACTCTGGCTTCAGGGGGCCTTAGGAGCAGGTTTGGGGTTGGGGTAGCCAAATGCCAGCCTTGGCACATTGTTTCAGGTGCCTCTCCCCCCTCACCCAGGCCTAAGCCTGCCACAAGGAAGCCACAGGGATCACTGCATGCTGCCTGCCGGGAAAGCTGCGTTTTCCTGTGGGGGCGATGTGAGGAGAAAGGGGACAGCCATGGGCTGCGGCCACTGCCCCAGGGACCGGGCATCACAGGAACATTGCTACACCTGGCAAGGTTCAGCCTCCTTTCATCTTTCCTGTCCCTGAGCCTCCTCCACAGCCTGTGAGGAGGTAGGTTGTTTTAGCCTTATTTTTTAGGTGGGGAAACTGAGGCTGGAAGAGGCAGAGTGATTTGCAGAGGTCACACAGCCAGTGAGACTCGGGACAGGGAGTCCCGATGCCTGGGGATCCCACTGCCCTTTCCCAGGAAAGCCCACCAACCAGACCCCATTTCCAAAGTCAGGCGCCCATGTATGGCAGCGCCCAGGAAGTACCTTAATCCAGGTAAAGGCCACCTGAGTGCCCCAGCCCCAGCCCCAGCCCGTGAAGGTGGACAACACGGTGCTTCCCCTTACCTTGTTAAACTGGAAAAGGTCCCGCTTGAGCCTCTCCCGTGCAGGGTCATGTCCTGACCTCAGGAACCGCCTCATCGTGCTTAGTGTGCAGCCCCCTAGAGAACGACGAGCAGCCATTGACCACCAGCGAGAGGCAGCCGTGCAGCCCTGACCCCAGCACCCACAATGGCTCCCAGGCACCAAGGGCTTGGCCCAGCCCAGCCGCTCTCCCCAAGCCCAGCAGTGGCCAGCCCTGGCCCGCAGCGGCTTCACCATCCACCTTCCTGTGCGCCCTCGCTCCATCTGCGAAGGACAGTCCAGGAACCGCAGGGACGTCTATACCTGGAGGTCCGGGGCTGGTCGAAGCTCTAACGCTTGTTCCAGGCCACCGTGGCCTTATAAAGCCAGCGGGAGAAGCTGGGGGAGGAAGCCATTTAGCCTGGCTTTATAGGAATGGAGACCCTGAGGTTAATGAGCTTAATTGTTAACCTGTTTTCTGAAAAACCATAAAACCCCAGCTAAACAGAAAGGGAAACTTCACAAGCCTCTCTCTCCAGAGCCCAATTGGGAGGCAGAAATACAAAGGCTGTCCACCTGGGCGCCCAGACCAGAACCCCACCAGGGGGAGGGGAGAGGCCTGGCAGAAGTCTCTGGGGTCAGCGCCCCCGGGCACACTCTTCCTGCTGACTTCGGGGAAGGCTCTCCCACCACAACTGTCAGGAGCCTGAGCGGGCGAGGAACAGAGCGCGTGGTCGGAGGCCCATGGCACCCCATGCCCAGGACCCATGGTGGAACCAGGGTCCAGGCTGGTGGGCTTCCTGGCTGGCCCCCTGCCCCCCATCTCTGGCTAACCGGGTCCCAGCTCCCCTGGGCTCTGATGGGTGCGCTTGATCGAGAGACTCCCTTTCCCATGGGCCTAAGTGGAGCCTTATCAGGAGAAGAAATCGGCTCCCAATAAAGAAACCAGCTCAAGGCCCAAAACCCATCCGCCCAAACCATCTGAATGTAGAATGCTTTCCCAATCCAAGGGGAACTATTTCTGGATCATCCTTGGGGGAAGGGAGAAGGATCTTCACTTCAGTTTCCGGCTTGCTTCAGCACGGCCTCCCACTGACCATAGGACACCAAGGCCTGTCCTCAGGAACACAGGGGCTCAGGGCTAGCTGGACTCGATAAAGAGACTAAACAGACCCGGTCCCTGCCCCGGAGGAGCTTACTTGGGGCCAGGATGGAGTGCAGGTTTCAGGGAGCACCTGGCCCCGACACGGTGGATGTCCTAGGGGAGAAGGTATCTGAGACCTGAAAGATGCCCTTTAGTTTCTGGCTTCTTGTGAGGTGACAAAAATTAATCATCGGGCCAGGATTCTGCATATGAAAGGACCCTGTGTGGTCCAAGACTGGGGGCTCCCTCTAAGGCATGTGGATGGCACAGGGGGGCCGTGGTGGTGGTCTCTGGCAGAACCACCAAGGGCTGGCCATGCTGGGAGGGGTCACCCCACTTGGCAGAAACACACATCATGGGGCAATCCAAAGACCACCCCAGTTGGGAACAGGTGGAGACCAGCCCCCAGAGTGCCCATCACCTTCTGGGGACACTGAAAAGACCCCTACTTGCAGGAGGGGGGGGGACAGATGCAAGAGATTTGTGCCTTCCCATTTTGGGGGAGCCAGAGCAGAATGGGGAGCCCCACTTCCTTCCAGATCGGCAGGTAGTCGGGGAAACTCTCGGGTGCCCACCGGACCCGAGGTCCCGAAGCGGGTCAGGGAAGAAACACAGGGCAATCTTGGAGGCTCTGGGGACTGGGAGTGAAAACACCCCTGGGCCTGTAGCAGTGACAGAGCCCTGGGGCTCCCGGACAAACAGCTGAGCCATGGCCTCACATTCCAGCTGCGGGGGAGGGCGGCACAGGCCCAAGCTCATAAATCGGCAGCTCCGCTCCAGGCTCCCGGAGGCGTCCACTCTCCCCTTTCTGGGCCGAGGTCACTGGGTCAGAAGTCAGAGGAAGCTGGGAGTGGTGCCTTGGAGGAGAGGGGCCTGCAGACTCCTGGGAGAGGGTGATCTGGGCTCTGCCCTGAAGGCTCGAGGGTGACAAGGCACAGCCCCAGGGGAAGGAGGTGCAGGTAGGAGGGAGGCAGATGGGATGTGGAGACTGGTGGGAGATGGTAGGCACTCCATCCACCCAAATGCCCTCAGAGCATCTGCTACATACCAGGCCCTATACCAGACCCCTACGTGTTATTTTTACTACTTTTTAAACATTTCGCTCGAGTCATCCCTGCTTATTGTACAAAAAATTAAAAAATAAAATAAAATAAAATAACCAAGAAAATCCCGAGGAGAAAATCCTCCCTAAATCCCACTATACTCAGGAGTAGGCACAGTGGCATGTCAGGACACGTCCTGCCCCCTCCTTCCTTCGAACTTCTGTACAAGGTACACCTAAACCCCGTCCCGGATGTTTGTTCACCCTCCACCAGCCTCCCTGGAAGTTCAGTGGAAGATCTCCACTTGGTAGACAAGGAAATGGAAGACCACAGAGGCTGGGTAACTCGTCCAAAGTCACTGAGGAGAAACCAGCAGAACTTGGATTTGCCCCCAGGTCTGGTGAACTCCAAATCTAAGGACTCTGGGAGGCAGGGAAGGATGGTGAGGACAGGACAGAGGGTGCCTAATTACAGCCCTGCAAGTGAAAGGCACGGGCGTACGCAGGCCTTCAGCTCAGAGCCAACCGAGTGGATTGGGGCCCGGGACCTCAAGGGCATGGAGTGAGGGAGCCAGGACCAACAGAGGCCTTTCTTCCTCACTCCCGCCAACCCCTCACTGTTGCTCCCAACACAGAAATAACTGCCCAGGTCAAGGCGTCAAAAGTGCCACCCCTTCTTGAAGGGGAACAGGTCTGGGACTGGCTAGACTCACCTCCAGGCAAACCCTCAGATCCACTGACCCCAGCTAAGTGGGTTCTCCAGAGAGAAGATCCAGGAACCCGGACCTGGAGCTCCCTGGTATGGAACTGATCCTACCTCCTCAGCCCACTCCTGGGGGTGGGAAATGGGGTGTGGGGGTTGTAAGGGAAAGAGCCAGGGCTTGGGACCAATAGCCAGGGCTCAACCACCACAGCTCAGCTCGTCTGAGCGGGGTGGCCTCCCAAGGCAGCTGCTCGAGGCCCAGCGAGCTCGTCTGTGAAGGGGATGCACCGGTCTGCTGGCAGGACTGGGAGCCATGCCAGGTAGCTGGCATGGAGCAGCCACTGTCCAAGGACTGGGGACACAACAGCGCAAAAAGACAGACAAGACCCTTTATTTCACCAAGCTGACATCTTTGCAGGGGAGTGGGTGATGACGCCCAAGTACACAAATCAGTCAGTAGGATGGTTTCAGATAGAGAGCAGGGCCAACAAGGAAATGAAGGAAGGGGCCCGGAGTGACCAGGGTGTGGTTGGAAGGACTCGGTGAACATTCCTGGGTCTGGGTCTATGGGTTTGCTGTTCCTTTCCTGAGATGCTTTTCCTCCAGGTACCCACCCACTCTCTCTCTCTCACCTCCACTCAAATGTCCCTTCTTGGACCTTCTCCTTCCTACTTCCCGGCTTGGCTTTGCTCCTTAGCACTGGTCACAGTGCAACAGTCCCCTTACTAATCTTGTTTATTACCTGTGCGCCCCTCTCTGAGGATCAGCCTTTGAGCCTTCTCATTCTTACTCAGGAATTCTGCCCTCTTTTTCACCGAGGCACCCCTGCTGAATGAATGAACAGAGGTAGGGATGCCTCCACCCAGACCTGAACGATAGGAAGTGGTCAGCCGCTTAAGATTCGGGGGCAGGGCGTGTCAGGGGAAACGGAACAAGCTTGCATCTTCCAGGAGGATGACGACAAGCAAAGGGCCAAGTGCAGGCAACAGGAGAGATGGAGTGGGTCAGGAAGGGGGGCCTGGCGGGTCACAGCAGACGGCTTCAGTCCCAGTTCACTGGGGGCCCACTGACAGTCCTGGGCAGGGTCAGCCTCGGTCTGCTCTCCCCCAACCCATAGCCCCCGTCTGCTCAGGGCCGGCCCATCTGCTCAGCCCCAACCCCAGGCCCCTTCTGCTATAGTCTCTGTGCTTCCATCTGAAATAACCCACCTGCCCCTCATGCAATCCATCTAGAAAAAGCATTCTCTTTCTGAATCTGTCCTGATCACTCTCCCCCTCCTCTTTCAGTGCTCGACCACCTTATGCTAAAACGGTCCCTAAAACTTCCATGGACAAGGGCACCCATCTAGCTCCTCGAATGTTCTTCCCAGCCTCGTTGTGCTGGTCATTAAAGAATTATCAGAAGGGAGCAGGTGAAGTATGCTCAGGGTCCTGATCAAAGGCATACTATACTCATTAAAAGGGCAGAAAACAATGGACATAGAAACATATGTACAATGTACCCTAAAGTCAGGTAAGCTCTACTAAAAATATCTATATATTTATATTTATATACAGATATTTTATTTATAAATACATATATTTGTATTTATTTAAATAGACACCACACTGGCAGGGGATTAGTAGAGATTTTTTTTCTTCTTTTGGTTTATCTGCCTCCCAGGCAGGGTAGATAAGAGGATCACATGGGAGAAGGGGTGAAGGCCCAGGCAGTGGCCAGGCAGGAGGGTGGCCCTAAGCTCAGAGGAGGCAGTCCTGTCGGTGGGATCGCTCCTGCTCTCTTAGGGGCTGGGCTCCCCTCCAGCCATGGTAAGCTGAGCAGGGGAGAGGCCTGCTGCCTAGACACCAAATGGGTGCAGAGGCAGGGAAGGGACAGGTGGGTGGGACCAGCTGTCTGACCTCGGCTTCAGGGTCCCAGGACCTGGGGGTAAAGGACACTACTACTTTATAGGCCATACCCAACGGGGATGCCAAGAAGAATCTGACGCCAAGTCACTGGAGATGTGTAAAAAACTCCGAGGGTTCTGGCTTCCTGCACTGGGCATGCCACCTGGCCAGAGCACGACCCCTGAGAGGGGGCTTCCTAAGAAACACCTTCTCCATCCCCTGGACTCTATCTCAGTTCCTGCCTGTCATACCCTCTGTCCTTGACAGGACCAAACTCCGAGCAGCCCTCCCCGTTCTGCCCTCTGTTCCCTTGGGTGTGGGCA